AATGTGCCTGTCGAGGGTTGCGCCTCTTATTATGACAAGTATCACGTGAACACGTAATTCGTGACACTCCGTCACATAGACCTTATAGCTAAGTAAAAACAACTTTTCGAACTTATTAAAGATAGAGTTAAGAATTTTCTAATAAAACTTCTAATAATTATATTCTTATATAAGCGCGATCTCTATATATTCTATAAAAAGAAAGTCTATAAGGATATAATAGATATCTAGAAGGATTATAAGAATTACTATAAGACAAAAAGAGTATATTCGCGAGATAATATTAAGATAGATAACTATAAGCTAAAAAATATAGTAATCCGAAAGTTATTAAAAGCTAAGTTTAATCTTAAGGCTTTTTATAAAGAGGCATAAAAGTCTAGAAGAGGACTTAAATTGTAACCCTATAGTTAATAAAGAAAGCTCTAATAATATAGGGTTTAGTAATAAGAAGGAGGATTAGGTAGTAGATATAAAGTAGTAGTCTAAAGAAATAAAGCGTCTAAAACTTAAATAAGAAAATATTATAAAGAAAGCGGGCTATAAAACTATAACAAACGCGATATTAGCTAAATAAGTAATTAAAGTGGAAATAGATACTCTAAATAAGGAATTACCTATAATACCTAAGAATATTATTAAGAAAGTACCTATAAAGAAGATAAGAGAAAATATGGCGAATATTAGTAAGGCCTTTTTAAAGAAAGCTATTCTAAAGTTAAGAAGAGTAGATAAAAAGACTAATAATAAAAATAGTAAGAATAAACCTCCAAGTATAACTAGTAAAATTAATAAAAACTAAATATTAGATTTAAGAGATAAAAACTAGCTAATAAGCCTAGTTCTAATAAATATTTATATACTAGAAGCCTATTTACTTCAATACTAATTAACTTATTAGTAAGAGAGAGAAAGCTATAGACTATAAAAGTTTTCGACGCTTAAGGAAGAATTACTAGGAAATATACTAGATTATTTATGAAAAATAAGAAGGCTTTAGAAAAGGTAGTTCTTTTATAAAAAAAGCTAGGCTTACTTATAAAAGACTTTATAAAAATAGAGCTCTATAGAAAATTCCTAGACTTATTTACTATTAGAAAAGAGTTAAGATTACGCTTAAAATATATATAAAGTTTCTGAGATAAAAATAGATAGTTTACCATAGTATTAAATGTAGTAGTAGGTAAGTTAGTACTAACAATTACCTTTAGCTTAAGTATAAGTAATACCTTTACTAGTAATAGTAGGGAAAAAAAAGCTTATATAAGTATTATATATAAAAAGATTAAAGAAGCTTAAAAGATACTAGCTATAAATAACGACCGACTTATTAAAGCGATATAGGTAGTAAGTTAGGTTTATAAAAATATATATAAGTTAAGGCTTAGATAAAGAGTATATATAATTTATAAAAGGAGAGAGTTAAAGTAAATAAGGATTTCTTTAAAAAAGCTAGTACTATAAGAGATAACAACTTAAGAGATCTAATTATAGAGTACAAAGAGTAGATTACTAGTCTAAAGACTATAGAATAAAAGTGTGACGGTTCTAACCGCCACTACACCTCAGACCAGCCACTGGCTGGAACCCAGCGGATACCGTGCTTCCTGAGCCCGGCTCAGTTAGCCATAGCTTGGCACAACCTCCTGTATATAAGAACCTCTGGCTCCCAAGCTCTGCTCTCTTCTCTTCTCTCCTTAGCTTAGAATCTTTGAATAGACAGTTCTACGATTCCATAACCTACACCTTGGACGCTCCTTGAGCAACATATCGTACGTGTCGTCACACCTACTATAGTACTGAATACTCCTTCTAGGTTATTTGTAATAGCTACAATCCTTACCTAAGATTCTTATCTTGATAACGCTATTTTTATATTATATTCCTCTAATCGTAGATAATCCTCTGATAATAATTAACCTTATAACACCTATTAAATTAGTAGTAATTAGTTGTTTTATTATTATCTTTATAGTAGTAGTAGAGGTAGATGTCACGAATCACGTGTTAGCAGGTGACGAGTGAAGACCAGGCGGCGTCCTGACAGGTTAAGCATTATCACGAACTCTTATAGCGAATAGGGATGCTTAGGCTAGCTAAGCGATCCAAGGATTTCCTTTGGTTACTGTCACGTGATCGACTGGCATCAGAGGTGGTCGGCCTGACGACCTCTGAGGAATCAGAAAGGATCAGAGCGACGGGCACTGATTTAGGAGAACGAAGGTTCTATATAAGACTGGCACGTCTGCCATTAGCTAGGAGCTTCGTGCTCAACTTAGTTTACTTAGTTACCAATACCTTTTGACTTTGACGACTTTGTACAAGTGACGAGTTTACCTCTGAGTAAACAACCCGGCGCATCTGATCTTCTTATCTGCATACCAACCTTCGGAACGATTACTTTTGTTAGATAGTTTGAATTTCGTCACAGTAGACTACCTAAACTAGAGCCTGTTTATTATAGAGCTAATATCTCGTCGAATTATTAAATTAAACGTTAAATAAAAGTATACTTTAAATTTTTACAAAAGGACTAGCCTTTTAATGAGAAACTACTCTTTATAAGCTTATAACAATAATTAGTAGATTTATTATTATTACAGACAAGTAATCGAATAGATCAAACAATATATACAAACTTGCTTAGTCACCCTCGATACGCAGAACACATCCTTTAGTACAGGTCTATAGTTAATTAATATTCACTCCTCTTAAATTTAGTGCTGTTCTCTGATTAGTCAGAATAGCCTCTGGAATTCCAGAGCCTTTTTGATGGAATTTTCCATTCCATTCCACCTGGAATTCCATGGAATAGGTTCCATTTGCCGAGCGCTGATACTTTATGTAACCAGTATAAATAATTAGACTCCTCTCTCAATGAGCAGAAGAACTTGTTTGAGAATTTTGTTCCTTGAATATTTAGAATCGCTTTCCTTCATCGATATTAGTACTTGAACAGATAATAATATGCACTTTCTCGATACATACAAACAGATGCTATATGTATCCTCTTTCTCTCTATAAGATTGTTGGAAGAAAAGCGTAGAGTTATATTTCAGTCTCTCTCTTCGCAGGGGCTTAGGGTACTAAAGCCAAAAGCAAAGGAAACAATTTAGGAATAGATTTTTATTTACTAGATTATCTTGCGCTTTATTAAAAACAGAAATAAGAAATAGATGATAAAGGTTAGAAGAACTAGTATTTCATTTTAGCTACGTTACGTAGCGTTCAAAGCACCGTTAAATCTTGTTTTTTCAGAATAAGAGAAAAGGGTTTGGTTTTTTGAAAAGGCACGCATTATAACACACATAAAATTCAAACTTGTTTTGTGATAGACTACGTGAGCAAAATTCATGAGTAAAAGAAGTCTAGCAAAATATATAGTAAAACCCTTCTGTCACCCCATGCCCTATTTTCGAAGACAAGTGTCTTTTTAGTTCTGGTTTTGAAGGTCCCGTAAATTATCGAACAAGAACTTTTTGATATCTTCAATCACATCGCCTTCTTGAAAGAGTATGGTCTTCGAGTCATATCTTTTGTCACCAAAGGAGATGTGTGACAAGGCATAAAGTTGGGGAACCTCAGTATCGAAATCTTTTCCCAGGATGGTGGATATCAGTGGGGTTATATCTGGCTTTGCCAGCTTGACTGGAATGTCCTCCCGTAAGGTATCTATAATTCTCTTGCGTTCTGCAAAATTCATAATATCCTGTTCAATGATGGACTTGGCTCTGTTTGCCTTTACATCGCTGGCTGATGTTGACGCCGGAGCCCATCAAAATCTACTGGCGCGTCGCTTGTTTTGCATTCTGGTACCTCCTTCAACCATTGTTGAAGCATATCGTCCCAGTATTCTTGAAAACTAGGGAAGTCTTCAATGATAGACCAGAAATCTGGGGAATCATAAGCATCTTTGAGGGAACGGCTGACCCCATCAGGGGTTTTGTACTGAAGGTCACCCTGCAGCCTGTTTAGTACGGCGATGTATAAGCAGTAGCTATCGATGAGGAGTTCAGTATCCCTATTCTAGAGCTCGGTGAGATCGAGAACCTCGTCAGAGGGAGGCGAATCGCCAAGGTTAGGCTCCATTCTGGATCTCTTGGTTGATTCTGATAGTAGAGAGTGTAAGCGTGGAAACTTCAATTCTGTATTCAAGGATGCCTAGTAGAATATTGCGCTTCCGTGGGTAGAGCAAAGAGGATTTTCTATGGGTATTTATAGCCATTGATTGGGAATGTAAGATTAAGTTTGTGATAGTCTAAGGATGGGCTGAGGCATGGCCCTCAGATTCCTTTGTCATGACGAACACCAACAACACCAACCAACATTTCTCCCTTCCTGTAGGACGAATAATAATCAGTCAATTTGAGGTGTGTTGGAGTTCGTTGGTGTGGGTAGTCGCTGGAAGAAAGAGAGCAAATGTTAGATTTTCAGCTTTGCGGCGTGAGCCTAGGATTGTGAATGGTCCTTTCTAAATAGACCGTAACGAGTGTATGATTCATTTACCTATACTCTGCTTTTTCTGAAAGCCCGCCAGTCATGTTTTGACGCTGAATATGGCCAACTGAAAATCCATACAATGATTGAACCTGCTGCTGCTCTTTCGTATAATGTGTGGCGAATTTGGAGTGCTATGTGCTCAGAGTTTTGTCATCTAGAACTCCTAAGTTGGTGGTTGGTCACAAAATAAATACCACGACGATATTGTTGTAAGTGGAAGACCGTCAGAAATGGGTAAAATATTGTATTTGGAATAACACAACGCAATTGAACTCAACGCAATTCCAAGTCAACGGTAAAAACAAGTATGTGCGTAGACCCCCAAACCCCCGCAAGATTGTTGCTGCTAAAACATCCAAGAACATAAATTAAAAGTCAGGCAAGAAAAGAAAGTCTCTAAAACAAAACACCAATCAAAAAATCCCTCCAGTCCTTCCCAACAGCCTTGAACGAGTGTGTTTCTCGATTCCTAGCCCTAGAACCAACCGTACTGCTCAAGATTATTTGAAGGCGCTTCCATAGTTCGTTTCTTTGAACGTCGCAAAGGCGGCCTCTTTTTCTTCTTCATTCTGCCCTTTAATCCTGTTTAGCGCCTCCTCAATAACCAATAATTTCTCATCAAACGACATCCTTATAGCTAGAAGCCTGGTGATATCAACAAGCTCATAGTAGCAGTCACGATATTGGAGCCCAGGGGGAACTTCTTTGAACAAAGCCTTCTTGGATCTGATACACTTTAGAGCCAAAATTCGGTTATCGAGTTTGAATTCCTGATCTTCTCGTTGCTTGAAGCCGGACACATAGTACTTCACGAATTCCCAATGAAACCACTCCAAACGGGGTCGAGATTCAGTGATTATGGTGGGTATCCATGGAGCTAGATTGACATCCCAATATTTCGCGAAGTCCACATATCCAGGATGTTTTCTAACAATATCGAAGTATTCGTCTCTGGGATCGTCATGTATCGAATCTAGACCTGTACCTTCCACCTGATTCAAGACTTCTATGTAGAATATATAGGTGCTGAAGAGGTGGAAAAAGCTCTCAATGTGACTACTAGTAATATCGCTCATGTTGAACAGTTTTCAATAGTGGCGTTTGTGTATTTGTCTTTTTATGCTGAGGAGCCTGGTGGTATGTGATGTGAAATAGGAAGTGGAAGAGGAAAGTGGAAATATTTCTTATTATATAGAAAATTCATCATAAAGAAAACAGTACGTGTAAGGGTGCGATAGCGACAAGGCCAACTGTATGCGTAAGAACTAAATTGTCTACAAAGAGTGGAAGTGATCGTAAGATCTGAGGCTATTTACAGTTCCAAGGGCACAGGCCACATCGCTTCCTCCACGTCTGTACCCTCACAGTACGTGAATGTGATTTGTTGGCTGCTACGGCATGCTGCGTATGACCTAGAAGAACGTAAATGGGATGCGAATGGGAGACTGGTGATCAGATTATAACAGGAGGGTGAAACACAAGGATTTGCAAATGCAATTTTCTTTGTCTGTCAGTAATGGATGGAAATAGTTAAATAGCTTCCTTGTAGTGTGAACTTATTAAAATGCTTAGTCGCTTCCAGTCGGTTGTGTTGCAAGGAAGTTGAAAAACATGTGCCGCCTTTATAAAAACGACAGTTCCAACATAAAAGATGGACCACTGGAAATAATTCAACGCAAATAAGGAAGAACAAAGAAGTCAGAAGTCAGCTATACACCACCCAATAGCTGGAAGCCCACAACGCTAGAGGATAATCACAGCTACAATTTTGTCCATGGCTGGGTTCGGATTCGAGCGCCCCAGTTTCTGCTTGTTGTTGGATATAGACGCAGGGTTCTCAATTCTCGAGGATTCATAGAGGACATGATTACAGAGATATGAATCACTGACCCCCGTTCTCCACCATTGAGGCTCTTGCTGATGCAAGTTGGTATCCTGTGTTGTTGTGTCATGGGAATGTCAACCACTGCTAACAGGATATTTCTCGGGCAGAGACTAGAGCGTTGAAAAGAAAGAGACTTTCGACGAAGGATTTCTGATAACTTCTCGAAGGCCATTTGTCTCTCACTTCTAACCGCTTCTCGGATTGTTTAACCAATTCTCAAATGCTCACGCATCTCACAGTAGATTCAGAGACCGCAGATGGAGTGAATATCTTTCCAATATCGTATCGGAAAGACAGCAATTTACCTGCAAAGCCATAAATTGCTACAGCGATAAGGTAAGTCAAAGGATTTGTCTTCAGCTGTAAGACTGTTTCGATGGTCGAGATAAAGTTCTGTTCATGAACTGACGTTGGTCAATGATGATTAGTAAGCTGAAAGTTGCGGGGTAAGCCCGGGTCAGGTACGATTTAATGCCGTCGATCTACTCTTTCCTGCAACAACCTTAACTTAGCCTCCTCTTCCATCACATCGAATCGCCTCCTCAGATTTATAAATGTTTTGTTCGGACTCCTGGCTCCGGCCCGCAATGTAGAATACCACAGAAACATCCCAGAAGAGATCACACAGTCGCAAAGGTCGAATCGCATCGAAAAACGCGATTCTTACTCCCAAACACGCCATATATTTACAGAGTCTCACAAGATCACAGAGGCTTGGGATTATTGTGTTACTCGTTGGCAGTGCAACAATGGGGAGAAAGCAAAGCTCGCTATTTGCTGTGGAACTTTCGTATACTAGAGGTGTCCGTCAAGGGCTATTGCGAGTGCAGAAACCTGCTAGATCGCCGGTTTTGACAATTTTTGGTACAATTTTCACAAAGTGCTACAGCATCCTCGCCCCTCATTCTTCTGCAGCTTTAATATCCGGCGCCACTTTACCCCGCTCAAGAGTAGCTCCGCGTCCGAGTACCTTCTTCTTTTGCAACGACTCCTTTAGTCTTCCGTTGCTCTGATTGTTAGTTTGCGCGTATGTGGGCAGACAAATCAACCGTTCCTCATGTTTTCATTCTCTAGTCTGAGTGGCAGAAGTATGCTGCTCCATGATGTCTGCGGTTGCCAAGTTTTATCGTAGCCCAAATTTCCCCCAACTTCAGATTGGAAATTCTTCAATTCCGTCATCACTGTTATCTGCGAAGCTTGTACAAACACAGCATTCCATTTCCCTGCACATTTCTTGCTTGTCGAGCGTATTTAATATATAACTATCTGATACCTGCCACCAACTTCCTTTGTGGTTCGTCGATGTCAAATACCGAGCCATTGCCAAGCGACCATGATGTGTTGCTTCCACCCTTTTTGGACAAGATATTTCTGTATTATATGACATGGACGCAAGCTATATTTACAATCAGGAAAGGCATCCAATAGCTGCTCTCCTTTACCGTGTCGCTTTGGAGCGGCTCAGCCCTGTTCATACCAAGCTTCACAAGCTTTCTAGATCCCGAAGGCGCGTTGCCAAGTCTTATATACCTGCCTATTTGAGTCAGGACGTTTCTCTTGCTATACAGACCCCCTGGCGAAAGGAGATAAACCCCTGGCTTATGTTTGTATTGCTTGTCACATTCTCTATTACCTGCATAGATTCGCCATGTTCTTTCCTGTTTTGCAACCGGCCCATCTGCTGCCGACCATGGATACAAATTGTTCTCGATGGATATCTCACCAATCAAACACTTTTTGCTGCGATCTTATCTACAGCATCTAATATCCCTGGACAAGAGCCGTTTCTGGAAGACCCTTCGAACGGTATATATATCGCTGAGACGTCTATAAACTCCAGTAGTGCAATTGCAGTCACCACTCTTTCCAATTCATTTACCGGTCACTACTCGGAATACGTACTCCAACATGTTGGCTCTTTCAGCTCTTGCGCTCGTTTGCTCAGTAGCATGGGCTAAGGAGATTCCTGTCGATGAGGACAGGGCTGCTAGAATGTATGACTCTGGTTTAGTCCACGAGTCTATCATGGCTGCCAAACATGTATGCCACTATTATCTAGGAACCGCATACAACAAACTGATCAAAATCCCTTAGAAAACTTGGGCAAAGACAGAAGCTTCAGGGGCCATGAACTCAGCACAATATCCAGAGTTGGGATACACTCCATGTGTTGATGGAGTGGCAGCAGCTGTAAGCAACTCTTCCCTTTTCTACTTTTCTTAAAGACGGTCTCTTTGTGGTCGGGAGCAATGACCTCCCCAACCTTACTCACGACTCCCTGGTCTTGGACTAAGAAGAAAAATGTGTGCTAACTGACCACAGATTCCTGGCGATGCCAACAACTCGTTCAGATGTTCCAACGTAAGTATGGGTTTATTAAAACTCTGTGAATACCAAACTCACTCCAGTCTAGGCTGATTTGTATCACTTCCTTGCTCATGCCGATCTTGGAAGTAGCGGACAAGGTTCTTCATCGTGGGGTTGGACCTCTGAAGATGGGCGGGAATTCATGGCTATTGGCCAACAAGATGGAGCTGCATTTGTCGAGATTTCCAAGGAAGGAAAATTGGTATATCTCGGTCGACTTCCTCAAGCAAGCACACCTTCTATCTGGAGAGAAATCCGAGGATATGAGCACTACATGGTCATTGGGAGTGAGGCTGTTGGCCACGGCATTCAATTCTTTGACATGACCAAAGTTAGTAAATTTACAAAAGGTCGAGTCTATTTGAATTAACAAAACCTTCAGCTTTTGACACTCGATCCTGCAAGCCCGAAAACTTTTGACGCTATTGCCGACTTGGCGGGTTACTTTAACGGTCTCCCTGTAGGACGCACCCACAATGTTGTCGTCAATCAAGAACTTGGATACGCCGTCTCGGTCGGTGCCCAACCAAGAACCTCAGCATGTCGCTCGGGTCTGATTTTCATGGACCTTTCTGATCTTTCCAATATCACAAGCCCAGGTTGCTCAGGCGCAGATGGTTATGTCCACGACGCCCAATGCTTGGTTTACCGTGGACCAGATGCCAAATACAATGGTACAGACATCTGCTACGGCTACAACGAGGATTCATTAACCATCTACGACGTTTCTAACAAAGCAAACGCCAAAATTATCTCCAAAACCTCCTACGAAGGTGCCTCATACACCCATCAAGGTTGGGTTCTTGATCCCATGAACCAAGAATACCTTCTGTTGGACGACGAATATGATGAGGAAGAACAAGCCGGCCTCGCTGCTGATGGTTTCCCTGTTACCTACATTTGGGACATCAAGTCTCTCGAGGCACCCAAGCAAACCGGATACTTCAAAGCCCCAGTCCGAGGTATCGACCACAACCAATATGTCATTGATGGATTGACATACCAATCCAACTACGGTGCTGGTCTTCGTGTCGCAGATGTCAGCTCCATCCCAGCAGATCCTACTGGAGCGAGTGTTTGCGACGTTGCCGCTTTTGATATCTACCCTGAGGATGATGCCCTCCCAGATGGTGGTCTTATTGATTTCGTGGGTAGTTGGAGTAGTTATGGGTACTTCAAGAGTGGATTCGTGGTCATTAATACTATTGAGAGGGGTGTTTTCGTTGTCAAGTTGACTTCGAAGATTTGTACATAGGGTCTCTAGGGGTTGTGAGAGTGGAGAGGGTGTTTATGATAATGAGGTATAATATGATGTAGTAATCTGAGACTGAATTGCCACCTAAGCTAAATTATTTTCTGTGCGGGAGTACTTCGTCCTTTTTGGTATGAGTTCGGTCTGTGTTTTTCATTAGGCGAAAGAGTGGGAGCTAGTCGGAGGTATACGAATTGGATACGCTCCTAAGATATGCATCACGTGACTCGCCCCCTGACTAGGTAACCAATGTTCCATACTGTACCCGTGAAGATTGCTTAAATGCACATTGATCTGTTTCTGGAATACAGGAGGGAGTCAAATATCCGCATGTTTTCCAATCCACAAATTTATACTTTGGCTCAAGGACAGAACACAGATCCTCGCGCTTGGATTATCACCATCAATTGCGTGTCAGAGCAAGTTCACATATTATGAGATCTACCCCGTCGGGACTACGACAAGTTGAAATTCACACAATAAATTGCAATAGGAGAAGTAATCTGGTTCTGTACTCACGGTGATGTGTCCCCCAAATTAAGGATTCTGAAGGATTTTGAAGACGGCTTACAAAACAGTTTTCGAAATCTATCAAGAATCATTTCGGTGAAAAAGATTGGGTACCACTAGATATACAGCCCTTTGAAACTCTAATCATGTAAATTAGTCCTCCGGTCTTTCCTTAAGCGAATTGTGAACCATTCATTAGAGACTCCGCCTACTCAAATCTTTTCAACCAAGCACTTTAAAGCCATAATAGATGGGCAAAACATGAATGAGTTCCAACGCAAAGGCTGACTACAGGTATTCTTACAGTTGATACAAATAAATGTATATAATTGTCAGAGGCTCTTCGTAACCTTCCTGCCACTTGTGATGAAGTACCCCTTTTCTCTTTTTGCAACCCCTTTTCAATCTTATACAAGATCTGCTAAACGTTCCTCTGAAGCAGTGTCCAGCTCCTATTCTCGTCTCCGTCCTGCCTGTCCTCACCGTACAATCAAGAATGACAAACTCTAGTACATACTCCCATACTGCCAGTCGTAGCTAGCTGGTTCGTCCGGATCAAACCCCTGCCCCTCGTACGGCCATTTGAAAGTCCTTCCAGGGTTCGACCCCTAATAATTCTCATCATCATGCCCAATCAAGTCCGGTGCTGGTGGACATAGTCTGGGAATATTCTTCTGTCATTCGGCAAATTCATTGGGTGGTGTGCAGGAGGTGACAAGCATCTTCACACCTTTCGCGATACAATCTTGCCACAATTCGCAAGCTTCTTCTCGGGTGAAGCCAGGGTGTTTGTATAATGTCTCGGAAAGAGAACGTGTCTTGTTTTCGGGATATTTGAGAATACTCCAGTACAAATTGAGTTCTTTGAGGTGTGGGATGTAGGTAGTCTTGTTGCGGATGAGTGCTGCTATAGATGGCACTTCTTCTTCTGTGGTACCCACCAGGGTAAGGTATTCCAGAGACTGAGGAAGGGCACGCATCATGAAATTTGCGGGAGGAAGTAATGTGTTGGGATCTAGCGCAGATCCAGTGAGGGACCAGGACATGACCTTGACGGTTTTCAATTTTTCGAATTTGCGAGAGAACCAATTGAGAATTTCTCAACCTCTCGCCATTCCACACAATCACTGTTGTCCATCCAGAGGCTGAAATCCAGGAGGGTGGATGTGACACCAGACAAGCCTTGCATGAGGTCGCTGACTAGGGATGGAGAAATGGACCAAAGACCTTCGTCATAATGAAAACGCTCAAGTAAAGGAAAACGTGAATAGAAGTTTCGCTGGTGTGGCAAGGTTCTCTCACTGTCATACGCGATGCTGATTTCCAAACTCGTGGCAGAAAACTGAGGTTTTCTCACTCCGCTCCAGCCCAGCCCATCATCGTAAAGCCAGCAGTTACTGGCGCTAAAAGTCTTGACCGAGTCCAATTGAAGAAGGGCAGTAGCCTCGGAGGTTCGAATCCCACCATCTTCCCACTCTTGGTACATCGAGACCTCTGTGAGATTAGGAAGCGCTAGTGGTGATTTGGAGAACTGCTGTTGAAGTTCAGCGGCGTGATTTAAGAACTTCAAAAGCCAAGGTCTATCATTTTTATCCATGAGGTCCCCGACCTGTGTAGTATGCAATACCTCGAAATTAGGAAGTCGGGATAACAAAAGTGTTGCCCAGGCATCCCAACTGCCTTCTTGAATAGAGCGGTACCAATCCAGGGCATCTTGAGGAGATTGGGCAGCTTCATCCACAGCACTCAGACGTGACAAATTTTCCGGATCCCAGGAAGCTACTTGAGTGATGTCGAAGAGTATATCACCATCATAGATATCCTCCGCATTGATATTCACGCATTTAACTTAACCTCCAAGGGATGGAACTTCAAGTATTCTGCACAGAAACCTGGCAATGTTAGAATGCGTACCCCCCCGGTCAAATTCGAAGAACGAAAAGTAAGCCATGGGTAACCCAAGGCGATAGAATTGACGACAACACCGGCACAGGTTCAAAATATCCCTCGCTGAATGTTTGCTAGAAGAATGAAAACATAGAGACAATAGTTGGTTAAAAACCTCCAGTATGAGCTCCTCTGATAGGCCCTGCAATGAAGCTTTCATCATCTTGATTCTTGTCCCTCACGAGCAACACGTCGATTTGATGTGATCTGTGCTTTGCTTGCGGCGCTTTCGTAATTCTTCAAAGCTGAAAATTTGGTTAGTGGGAACAATATATACTCACAAAAGATAGAAAGGTTAGAAGTTCTTAAATTAAGGTACTGTAGGTATGTTCAGTGTGTTGGTGTTGTGACGCCTGCGGCCCGGAAGGGCTTGGCAAGTCAAGTGGATCATTGCCGGGAAAATGTCGGCGATGGGCCGCAGATAGGCGACTGAAATTGTTTGATCATACTCGAGTACTTGTACAGTACAGAGTACGTACAGAGTATGCATTATATTCTTGTTATGCTTGCAAAGTTGTGCCTGTATGCTCATTACTCAACCAGCTCAACTAGCTTAATTAATCTGGCCCCAGGAGAGTTGGGCAATAGACCTTTTGATTTGAGGATTTTTTGCACTATCTTATAGCTGTTTTTTCTTTTGCCATAGTGAGAGCGTGGGGAGTACTCTCAGTTACCTACTGTAAGAGGCCTGGTCATTACCCTGCACCCACTGGATAAAGCGCGATTCTGCTAAAACCTTGGCATAATTGACTTAATTGTCCTAAAATATTCAGGGAATGAAAGGTGAAAAGTGCTACTTATTCAAAAGCACTTGTACGATCAGTCTAGTTGTACGGCACTTTGAGCATAACCTAATTTTAGTATCATATAGGTGTGTTCATGTCAATGACCACTTATCTCACGTGATGAGTAGTGAGAATATGTGGGTAGACTGACAGCCTGGACGATGGGTTGAAATTTAAAAAGACCCTCCTATTAAACCTGTAATCAGAAGGCCACAGAATATAACTTAGGGGCAGTTGGTGTTTTGTGAAAAACCTATAAAAAGCCTTGCTCCTAGTCATCGTTGTTGTAATGTTGTAACAAAGCTGAAGTGCTTTTACACATAATGGAACTGTGGAATTATAAAATTGATTCTGACTTGAAGGTGAACAAATGTTTCGGATGTTTTAAGAAATGGACCTGCTTATGGCTGTGTCTTTATTGTAATTTCAGCTGTTTTGCTGAACAACATTTGTTGTGATGCTTTTATTTTTCAGGTTTAACAGAAAGGTAGGCATATCCCCAGTCACCACTGCACACTTCACCATGTCCTCTGATAACGATTTGAAGTGCAACATTTCTTTGAATAGATACTATAAGGGTCACAAGACAAGGGTTACTCTTCTTTTCTTAACATGTTTTCTAGCTTCTGTGGCCTGCTCGCTACCCTTTTCCCAATTAATTTTGCAAAATGAAGCTAGAAATAAACTAATATAGTCTGCAACAGACAGATTTGCTTAGTGTATACTATTGTGAAATATATTGAGCTAGGTAAAACATGGTCATTGTTACGGTGCTTAGCGAAAATGTCATTCACGCTTTCAGCAACGGCAAAAGTTTTGGCTGATCTGCCGTCCCCTTATGATTTGATATAAAGTTTACATAGTACAGCGACACTTCACAGGTCCACCAGCCAGTCTGTACCAATACTCCCAGTAGGATCACCCAGGATAGCCAGTCTTGTTACCGTTGCGCGAACCTCCCTCTTTGCATCGAAAGTGGTATTTCACGGCATCAATTTACATTCAAAAGTGGCTAGGCTAACTCTTTTCAGAGTCAATACGTTGCAGCGATGGCGAACGATGTGGCCGACCGACAAAAACCAAGTACCGGATATAGCAGTTTGGCTCCTGAAATTCGACTAAAGATAATACACTTGCTCCTTGAAAGCGAGCCCTCACGAGTTATCGACCTACAACCTCCTATGCCGCCTGCGATGAAGTGCGAGTGCGTCCACGGCGAAATTATCGATATATTCCCCTCCCCAAGACCTCAATATCCCGTCACTCTACACATCAACAAGGAGTGTAGATTTGAAACACTTCGTCAGTACAAGTTGGCAGTCCAAGCAATTTGGCACGATGATAGAAAGTTCTTTTCGAAGCCAACGCACAAAGGCGCATATTCTCCAAAGCCGCGTCAATCCACGGAACCTTATTTTCGATATCATTTGTGCTACAACCCATCAAAGGATATTTTCAGAATCAAGGAGAACTTCTACCACTGGTACCACCAGTTTATATTCCTCAATCCTGGTGCTGAAGACCACATCCGGACCGTACAAATCGATTACGACGTGACTTTGAGTCTTCCTGGACACCATCTTGCCCCTTCTCGTCCATCCGCCATGCTTCCGTACCTCCGGAACTTCGCTGGACACCACATCCAGACCGTACAAGTCGAGAACGACATAAATTCTCGTTGTCCTAAACACATTTGTACCCTTTCTCGGCAACTTACTATACTTCCATATCTTCGAAAGTTGGAAAGTGTTATTGTCAACTCCAAAACAGATTATCGGAAACTGTATAGAGTTACCTTATACATGTTGTGCCAATTTAGGTCTGAGCCCTTGGAAAACTTCCCAAAGTTCACACTGAACGTAGATGGCGTCTCAAGCACTCTTGAAATTGAATCGACATCCGGCGTCCTTGGGATAGATGGCCACCCTATTCCATACAGAATCGGCCCCGAATCGAAGATAATCCGTCCCGATTTTGGCACACGACACTGCCGTATGCCCAGGAGTGTTAAGAGAATGATCAGTGATATTGCTCGTGATAGGGGACAAAATATTTTCCACTGGGATGGTTATCATCGGAAGCTAGGCAGTCCATTGAAGTGGAAAGATGCTGAGATGGGCATACCAGAGCCATTTCTTCCTGCTGAGTTACCATGCCCAATTAGACGCGATAAAGGGGGTGAGATGGATCTTTGCTGCGATGACTGTGGATTTTAAGGTCAAGAATGAGAGCCTCGAGCTGACAATGGGAATTTACTAGCTTTTACCGCCGACAGGGGGATATTTTCTTAAGGCTGAGGCTCTGAAGTGCAGTTTCTTCGCCGAGCTTTTGTTTCTGTACATAAATGTTACTCTGGTGTGGCATGAATTATAACCTCGCTTCCGGTCGCTAAAATGCAATGAAGCTATTTGCCACCAAACCAAAGTTTGAATGATGGATATGATGTGACTGTTGTTTCCTGCAGTGTTGACTTATTAAACCATTCCGAGGAAGTTGTCTCGCTGGAACACGCGATGTGTTCTCAACTTAAATTTAAAAAAGACTTCTCTATAGTTTACACCAAAATAACTATCATAATTGCAAAACACTGTGGAGTTCCTCACCCCCTAACGCTGGAATCTGAAAGGTTGTCTAAAGCTGATTGATATCCTACACTGTGTTGAAAAGAGTCAAATATTCAACTCTTTCACAACAGCAGATAAACAGGCCGATTGGAGTAATCTGCTAGTTGGAAACTACCATGTTTGACGTAGTGCGAGTGCCAAGGCGCTCACATAGGGTGCGTTGACGGTTGGTTGTGCGCATCTCAAACAAACCTCCTCCTCAGCGACAGACCAGACACTTAGAAGGCGCGAACTCGAAAACCCCCCAATATGACCTAGCCTGTACAACAACACAAGCTGTACTCCAGCAATCCACCGGATGTGTCACATAACGGAAGCCAGCACTTGCGTTGATTTGTTGAGTCCTTCCTGAGTCTTTGAGGTGGTAATCAACATGCCAGAGAGCGTAGCCTCAGATCAAACACAGGCTCTAGAGCCACATTCGAACTTGCGAAGACATGGAAACGACTCATTCACAACGAAGCCGTCTTTCAACGAAATTGCGCCAGAAATCCTTCTCCATATTTATCACTTGTTTCTACCACCAAGAACCCCCCCTTTCGGAACGACCGACTTCAAAATACTGCCACCTGCCGATAGCCCTGACAGAATCGACCTCTCATACACTCAGCATTATCCCATAACGCTCCACATCAACCGGGAAAGCCGCTACGAGACACTGAAAGCTTACATGCTGGTGATGCGAGATATCAGCCAGTTCCGACAACAGATTCATATCACTCTCAGACACATCCCCTGGCCCAAGAGAAGAATCACCACATGGTGGTGCTTTGACCCAGCGAACGATATTGTCCAAATTCCTCATTGTAACTCAACTCGATATATTGTAGAAGCTGTGTCCTTGAACCCCGGATTCTTGGATAACATAAAGCATGCAGAATGGGTAGAAGAAGGGCCTAGTCTAGCATTCCCAGCTCACCACGCCCTCGGAAATGGCGGCTTTTCATACTTTTCGACTTTGTACATCGAAAAGAAATTTGAAAGTATTGAATACTTGGCTCGTCTTCAGGGAATCGAGACTTTTACGTTCTTTGTCACGGATCCTAATGCTGCTGACCCCAATCACGATCAGAACACCCCAGACGATGTGTATCGAAAACCTATTTGGATTGCGGGGGCAACATTCTACGTTTTCTTTGCTGGTCTGGCTAAGATGGACCCCGTACGTACCATTCCAAAGACCATCCTTAAGACACCGAATACTACAATACCATTCGTCGTCGATCCAGACGTCAGCGTTCAAGAGAAACTTCCTGGAGATGCATACGATAGGTCAGATTTGAAGATAAGGCACTTATTTGATTGGTTGGCGCAAAAAGTGTTGGAGGAATTCAAGAAAGTGTGGTTTGCCAGAACATCAGAAGATATAGTGACAACCTGGAAAGATGCTGAGATGGGAGTAGTTGATAAACTGACATGGGACTCCTACTATGTACGAACGAGGAAGCACATGAGAACCGAATAACAGAAACTCTGGGAAATGGACTGGGAATGATGTCTGGAACTGGTGTCAGTTAAAAGGGTTTTTGAAGACTAGACTGCGAATTTCTCGTTTCTCATAGAGAGATCACAGATGGTTCCTCCTTTACGACGTTTTATTAATCTTTCATCAGTCAACTGAACAGATTTCTTTCTCGCTTTAACCTGTTTGAACCCTTTGTAATCACAAAACAAATAATAAGAACCATTTGCAGGATTTTCATGTTTTCACAAAATCTTGACATTATGGCTGCTAGTGTAGAATAGGAGTATCTGTTGTTATTTTGTCTCACTAAGAAGTGGCACAAAATGACTGCCAGAACCAATGATAATAATTATCTAAAAGCTGCTCTACGAGTTTGTGGTAGGACACAGAATAACTCCACTAGACAGCAGAAGACTAAGATTTGATATTATTTCAGTTTCCTCTGGCCTATCCTCTTGAATCCATTCTAAGTCAAGTTGACAAAATCACCCCCTCCACAATGCAAAGTTGCTTCCCTACATCCTTCACGTTATTGAGATGGCTGCAGCGAATATCAATCTATTCTGTACGAGGGACAGGGCTGTATATGGTCGGTTTTTGGGACAGTCAGTTGGAGATACATGGGCGAGAGAGGGTACGGAACTTCGACGCTTTCGCTTTTTGGGATAGAGGGTTTGAAAAGACTCTGAGTTCTTGTTTCCTGAAGAATGAGTACTATCAGGTGTTAGCATAGTCTTTGAGCCATTCAGGGGGTGTGTTTTACCAAGCCTTCTGCGGAAAGATGAAGTGGATTCTCTCCATGTCCTTGGATTGTCCGTAACTCAGCACGGCGATAACAGGAAAAGACGCTAATGGGAATGGAAATGAAAAGTGGAGATAACTGTAAACCTTAAGGGTGTTGGTGATCGGTTAGGGCTTCCATGTGTGGGCATTGAGTTCTTTGCGCCAATAAGAATGAGATGGCTGGGATCAGAGCTGTCAACAAGGTGTTTGTGTTGAAGAGTAATCCAGTGCTGTTTTATTGTCATCTCTTGCTTGGACCTTTGTTGCTCAATTATTCTTATATCTAGCTAGGCCTTCAAAGCGACACAACTAGTTGTAATGCCACTCTTTCTTACATCTAAATCCTATTTGCCGTGGCTGTTTAATTATAATGAGTAAACCAAAGATCTGTCTTATAGTGAAACACTGGAATATGAATTATTTTAGCTTGCGCCTTGCTGCTTTATGCTAGCAAAAAAGATTCCTCTGATATCAGCTCTTATAGTGTCCAATTCTCATGCACATATATTCATTCACTACATAGGGAACAATAAAATCGGCCTCGGCTTGCCCCTTTGATACCTAGCTATGGCGAATTTCCACACAACATCTTAACCTTGTTGACCGTAGACAATCGTTTTACCATAGAATCGCCTGCTTTGAATTTCTTGCTGCCTATACTTGAATTTTTATTGAATAGACATAGCACACTCTACGATAGCTTCTTGCGGAACAAAATGGACGGTTCTACTCCTCGTTCCCACCCCCTTTCGCCTAATGCAAATCCTGGACTGGCACACTCAATTTCTCCATCAGGCCCGAGGATCCAAAGCCAGTACGCTGTCACGTATTCTGACCGTAGCAAGTATGGCATCCCAGGGTTAATTTTGTTGGCGAGCAACCATTCAATCTCGCAGACGCCATCACATCTTCGCAAGCGAGTCCTTGCTATTGGCTCTACAATCAATGGAAAACCCCAGAACGATTCATATTGGATTAATCTTTTTGAAAAGCACCTTCATGGTCATATTTTGTGCTTTTTGGAGAGAAATATTCCTGTTGTGCGCGTGTATCTCAACTCCGTACGGATTGGATACGAGCAAGCCTTTCGAATTGTTGTTCAAATATCGCTGGTGCTCGATGTAAGACCCCATCGCCAGAAATAAACCGATGTACCAACTAATTGAAATAGCCGAAGCTGCCCATATCCTTTTCCCAGTATGAAGAATGTGCCCTGCTGCTTGCTTCGTATACAGACGGCGAGTTGTCAACCAATTGGAATGGTGAGAAGTTAGTTTGTCCAATTTCAAGCGAGAAAGTCTATGAAGTTAGCTAACAAATAACAGGATCCACGTCGAGATATCTGGAAGACCGTATCCGGAGCCAGAAATCGACACAAATCCGTCTCCGAATGATTCTTCAGGCTATAATCCGGAATTCTATAAATACCAGGCACCACTACCCTATACATCAATAGAGGTGACCGGTGGTACAGAGGGGACCTTGGGCTGCTACATAAAACATATTGAGAATGGGAGAATTAGGATTTTCGCCCTCACATGCAGCCATATTGTGGACCGCGATACCATATTTCCATACAGATACTACCCCAGTATCAATATTCTCGGGGTGCAGAGCCCATCCGTGTCTGAAGTATCTGATACTCAGAGCGAAGTATCGCGGATTTTGGGCCCTCCCTATGACGAGTCTTTCTTGGATGATTACCAGGAGACGTTCAATCCGTTTTTTGGGCACATTTTCGCGACCCCTGGTCTTCAAGGCCATGATTGGAGATTGGCAGGTTCGGAGGGAGCGAGCGATTGGGCTTTGATTGAGGTTTCGGAGAGTGTTTCTGCTGCATTTGGGAATAGGGTAAGTCTTCTCTCTCTTTTCATTTTCATATTTCTATCCAACATTGTCATTCATAAATATGCATTAGAGTCGCTTTTTCTATGTTATTGTTTCTTTTTGTCTTTTTCGTAATACCGTTTTATATTCTGTTTTGTATATTTCTACATTTTGAGTTCTATATTTTCATTTACTAGTACCTTCTTGCCTATATTTTCATTTTCATGTTCCACTTAAGCGAAATTCAGCGAGACTTTTTACATATCCGGAAAGAGACCATTGGACTGTATTATCTTAGTGTATTCGAGATAACGATATTTTTCGGTTAAGAGGAGGCAAGGTTTTCAACTAAGCTGGGTTCTTGTAGATTCTTGTTATGTCTATGGTTTATTCTAGTAATTCAGTTCTTGTAAAAGTTTCAAAGAATTAATTCACTTTTTTGAAGTTTCTTTAAACCACTTTACAAATCATTCTAAGCCATATACACTGTTAATATGCTTGATTTGGTTATTTTAATGCAATTGGACAACCGAGTTTCTCTGGCGGCAATGCGTGAGAAGACACTTTACGTAAAAAATAATAGTCTTCTTCCTGATTTTTTTATCCAGAACATTTTAGGGCTTGTTTGGCTCGGAATAATAAATTTAAGTTGATTCGGTAGCATACCCTTGTTTTCACAAAACTCAGAAAACTTTGAATAATTATCGAATATAGTTTGGATAGGATTATCTATTAAAGGGATTCTAGTAGTATAAAAAAGCAACGAATACACTAGATATAGCTATCATTACTATGGTTTTAACCTTCCTATCGCGCGTACGACGTCTTTAAAGAAGGGATTTCATAATATATATAACTTATATATATAGTTATATAACGTGCATGTATAGCGAACCGGCCAAACAAGCGAACCGGCCAAAATTTTCTACACTCGCGATTGAAATTGTAAGAACTCTACTACAACGCCTCTAATTAAAAAACACTATTCAGAAATCTCTTCCTCAGATACTTCCTCTATAATATTACAGGTGCGCGTATTATGACCAGTCTCTCCGCAGTTGCCACAGCGCCGTGCACGTGATTCTTCCCTCGGCTTCCGACCACTACTTCTCTTTATTTCCTGCATTACCTGCTCACCAACGTCTCTATCATCCTGTAGGTCCTGCGCTTCCTGTTGACTAAGTGATCCTCCTTGCTGTAGGCGTGTTTTTTTAGCTCTACAGCGCTTACTTAGTACTTCATTTGCTTGTCGAAGTCTCTGGTTCTCAGCTTTCAATAGAACTATCTGGTGCATTACTTTTGATGCACCCTTCGTAAACTGGTCAATGGCCTCGTAAATAGGGGTTGGAGAGCTACTTTGGTGGCGTAAAATTCGATCTTTAATAAATGCAGTCTGTGATAAGGCTTCAGTAGGGTTATTTGGTGTCTGGGAAACCCAAGGCTGAGCGGAATACGGGGGGGAGTTTGGAGGCGTTGGCGTCTTTAGCTTAAGATCAAGTGTAGAAATTACACTTTCTGGGTCAAATGGAAGAAGCCCAGCCCCTCGGAACCCTCCTCGGATATTGCTTTCTGTCATTGCAATATTAAATGCGGCGTGGAAGGCAGGAAAGAAATCATCCTTAGTAATATGGATGATCGGAGCCCGCATCATATCTTCAATTTGCTGACCATATGCCCTTTTCAAAGGGCTAAAACAGCCAACGTCGAGTGGCTGGAGTATATGAGAAGAATGAGCAGGCATACAAAGAGTGATAATGTTGTTTTCCTTGCAATATTCCTCAAATTCGTCGGAGTGGTGGCTTTCATGGCCGTCGAGGACTAATAGACGATAACCACCAATAGATTGGGACTTTGTATGCTTCTCAAAATGTCGAATCCAATCCATGCCTTTCTCATTTGTTGTCCAACCATTTTCAGTAATAGCAATCACCCAGTTAGGTGGAAATCCACTGTTTTGGTACCAAGAAGCGAGGTGATTTTTTGCGGCAACAACCACAAACGGTGGAACACACCAGCCTTGGGCATTAACCCCCTGGATTACTGTAACCCATTCCCGATTACCAGGCTGTACTCTTTTTGCTTTTACACGTCCTTCTGAGCTTGTAATAAGCATTGCAGTTGAGATAACGGCCATCATAAACCCAGTCTCGTCAAAGTTGTAGATATCTGCATCGTAGATTCCGTACTTCGCTATTGTGTTTTGTACAAGCTCAAACCAGCCTAATTCGCTCAAACCAGCCACGAATGACTTCTGGATCTTCGCACTTAGCTCTCTGATAGTCGTATTTTCGTTGGAAGCGTGTCTGGAGTTCTGGGCGGCGCTTAACAAAGTTATAAGCCCAACGCGTCCCGACGCGTGGCGCGTCGCGTGCTTCAAGAAGTCGATTTGCTACATCTTCAACTACAGATATCCGCGGAGGAAATCCTTTGGTAGCTAGGTCGAGGATATGTTGAACAAGTACTGATTCCTCTAGCTCGGTCATTTTCCGTGAATTGGCTAAAATATCGCGTCGTGAAGGTATACCAAGCAAACGTCGACCTAGCTTCCGGTGGTCTACAGAATAGGTCCTGGCAGCAGCTCGAGCACGTAAATTTGGGTCTTTTTGCATAGCTTGGATAGCTAAGACTAACCGGCTTTCGTCATTTTTCAGAGGCATCCTTCGTTGTAGAGAAATTTAATATTTCGTGGAGGTGTGGTGGGGTCGCCGGGTTTTGGCCGGTTCGCTTGTTTGGCCGGTTCGCTATACATGCACGTTATAAGTTAGTATATTTAATAATAATAATAAATTTAATAGTAAATATAAGAGTATTTATAGAATATAATTATAAATACTAAACCCTATTCCCCTCTAATATCTTAAAATATATAGCTTATAGCTACCTAGTCTCTTACTTAAAGGTTAATAAAATATAAAGACCCTACTACCCTAGTAAGGGTACTATTACTTAAAGGTAATCCTAGTATAACTATTACTCTTTAGTAAAGTTTAAGCTATTAGTAGATAAAATAAATAAGGCTTACTAGTTAGATATTAGTAAATTACCTTATTAAGTTATAGATATATTATTCTATCTATAGTCTATAATTAAGCTATTAAAGTTAATTTATAAGGCTTAAAGTATAAGTCTATCTAAAGTTTTATATAGTAAGGCTTAGGGTATAAGAGTTATTAGCTAAAGAAAGATCCTATTTATTTATTATAGAATTTAAAAGTTTTATTAGTTTTCTATACTATTATTTAGTTTTAAGACTATACTGTTAGTTAAATTTATATAGTATTATCTATTCTATTAAATTAACTATCTTATATATATCTAGTAGAATAAGTTTAGGCTCTTTCTTTTACCCCTTACCTTGCACGTGCTACGCTAACAAATGCTTGCTACTTACCTGTCCCCGCTCTCTCTCCTACTTTCTCTTTTCTTTCTTTCCGACACTATATTATAACCGCGAGTATACGATAGCGAGTATATAATAGCTAGCGTAAGAGGGAGTATAAGAGGGATAGGGGAGGCGCGAGGGGCGAGGGGTAGGGGGGTAGGGGAAAACACGTGTATAACACGTGCTTACGAGGCCTTATACAAAAATAGGGGTAGGAAAAAAGAAGGGGGAAGGTAGGGGTAGTAAGAGGGTTATAGTAGAGAATCTATACTATAGAGAATACTAAATTTAAATTTAATAGACTAATAACTCTACTCTTTAACTCTTCCTCTTATATAAAGTAACTTTTAGGATTTACGATTTACGATTTAGTTATCTGGTTTAGCAGTAGATTCGGGATGCCGTAGCTATATAGCTTATTAGTAGAAGAGTAGCTAGTTAATATAATATATTTAGAAGAATTTCTACTTTTTTATATAGTAGAGGATACTTTTTTTTTTAGGTAGATTTTGTTAATTAATATAGAGAAAACGGTAAGATTTAACCCTTGTTATAGACTACATAGTCATAGACTACCGTAGTCTATGCGGTATAGACCGCGCTCCTACTAAGATCGATGTTTTTGCGAAAAGTCGATTTTCCGATTTTGCGCCAGAGGGTTGGTAACGGCCACCATACAAAACACCTCACAGACCCCTCTACAAAATCTCCCTTTAATACTTACAATCAGATTCTACTTCTCACACAAGTACTCTAATCAACCTCACACCAAGGCCACCATTACTCCCACATATCCCCACGCATTAAAGCAAATCATCAACCCGCTCTTTATCATTAGAAAAAAATTACATGATTCATCTATTCCTCCCATTTAATAGGACTAATTAATACTAATTCTCCTACTACCCCACCTCCTTTCCATCCTCCCCATCCTCCCACACACCATCCACAAACCCACAAAACCTCCCTTCGCTATTCACAATCAGATCCTACCTCTTACACAAGTTACAAGTACTTTAATAAATCTCACATCAAAACCACCATCACTCCCACACATCCCCACACACCAAAAAAGCAAATCATCAACCCCTCTCTATCATCAGGAAAAAAATTACATTATCCATCTATTCCTCCCATTTAATAAGACTAATTCTAATCCCCCCAACAGCCAGCCCCCTTCAGCTCATAACGCTCCATCCTCACTAAACAAAACTCACCCATCTCCCTCTCCAAAATGCAGAATGAACAAAATTCAGGAGATATCGCAAAATATGCAATCGCTCAGAAAAGTCAAAGAATTGCAAATAGAAATGCTCGAGTAAGGTAGGTACAAAAAACCAGCAGTAAAATATGAAAAGGACAATGAAAATAAAAGCTCATGAGACCATGTAATACAATGCAATGCAATACCATATTCAAAAGCAATGCAATGCTAAAAAAACCATGCCGTCTTAAAAATAGCGATGTATATGATTTCCCTTTTTAAATCCCAAACAAAGCAACGCCCGCGAAACGCGAAACGCGAAACGCGAAACGCAACCCGTAAAACAAAATCTCAACGAGGTTCTAAACCCCCCCCGCCCCCCCCCCACATGTTACCGCTCAGCCATCATTATACCATGAAATCAATTACCAAAACATCCCAAAAAACATATCTCTTGAATGCTCAAAATGCATGCCTGCCGCTGTAAAACGTCAAGATACAAACGCCCATATATGAGTATTATTCTAGCCCAGGAAAAGATACGAAAACGTCCGCCAAATCGCAAGTCCAAATCAAATCATGGCCACATGTTTAATGTAGCTTCTCTCTTAAATATACAACAGCAGCATATCCCGCGCAACAGGTGGTGCTCATACCATGTCCGCACCAAGGACATTTGACGCTGGTACTAATGACTCCACTGACACCCAAGTGTTTGTCCTCGACAACGTTATCGGGTTTGGCCATGCATTCGTAAATCTTGCTAGGCATATCATGGAAGTATTTGCAAGAACAGCAAACTACAAACATCTTTGCCATCTGCTCTGGCATCGCATTTGGATGACCAAGCTGACTTGATGGCGATCCAGGGAAACGAGGGCTTCTAGGAGAGCCTTGTAGACGTGGTGGAAGACTCAGACGTGCGTTTTGAAGATAGTTACCCGAAGGAGATTCCAGAGGGCCTTGACCAGCTTTCTGAGGGCCGGTTGAAATTGGGGCTGGTTTGATAAGCTCTCGGGTTACTGGATCGCGAGGCGAAGCTGACTCTTTACCCTTCAGACTCTTCAAAAGACCACCTTTTGCCTTCTTTGGCGCAGGTTTAGTAAGTGCTTGGTGTTTGAGTGGCGGAAGGAAACTCAGATCTTGCAACTCTGGAGTGGATGCGGATCGATTGAGACTCAATTGCCGTTGCAAGGCACTTGCTGATTTGCTCTCTTTTGGCTTTTCAATTCCATTAGCCAGATTTGGTGCATCAGTAGATCGCGTGAGTGATCGAAGTCCTGTTGGTGTTTGCGTCCGCTCCTCATCATCAACATACCCCATTGGCATTGCAGTTCTGCTAAAGTTGTCTTGGCTATGGTACGGCGCACTGTCGTCCATAATCGCACCTGACATCATAGTAGGCTTCTGAGTTTTATGTGGAAGAGAGGTTGTGGAACTTCCGGGTCCATTGGCAAAGACGTTGGCAGGTCTGGGGCCAAGTGAACTCGTAGGTGGAAAGTAATCCTTTTGCGACTGAGGTCTCGAGGCCATTGGTGTGGTAACATTGGAAAACTCGTCCAGGGTCGAATATTCCTCACTGGAATCAGTGGCTGTTCGAGCATGGGAACCGGATCTGTCACTTTCCGCCGTAGCATTCGAGGAAGCATGAGCTGCAGGTCGTTTGGCCAACTCCGGTGGAAAGTCCTCTCCCAAAAACTTGTTAACTTTACTGGACCGCCCGGCAAAGGTGTCGGTCACCGGAGTTGGTGGTTTACGTTTCGCGTATGCGGGGTTCTCCACAGTATCAAAGATACTGGAAACAAAACTGTTTGCGCTTGGAGATGCCATTCTGGAGGGAGATGGCATAGACGTATGTTTCTGTTTTGATAAGACAGAGTTAACTGCGAACTTAAAACCTCTGAAACCTTTAGACGCTCTCTGGGCTTGCTGGGAGCTTACCATCTCTGGTGCTGGAGAACGAGATGGAGAATGATCCTCCAACTCCAGCTTCGGCGGTGTATAGTCACTAAAAAAGGAAAACGGATTTTCAATTTCGCTCACTTTCGCTTGCACAGCGATATGCTGTGTTGCTGGCTGAACAGTGGCTTCATTGCTCACCTGGCTCTTTACGGAGTGGTAAGATGGTGAGCTGTCTCGGCTGGCAGATTCCGTGGAAATCTTGAACCGATGATCATCTTTGATTGTAGCCATTGCTCGATCCTTGCTTTGCCTACGTTGGTTTTGAACATAGCTTGAGGCGTCGCGGCCTCTTGGCTCAGATGACCGATCTCTACTCTTTAAAGAGGATCTATCCATGGAGTTGGGAGAGGAGCTCCTTGGATAGTTGTTGATCTCCCCACTCGTCCTCGACCGGCTAGAAGGCGGATATCTATTCTTGCTGGGATTTGATGCATCGTGCCTCGAGGATGGTCGATTTTGACCAGCTGGCATCTGTTCAAACACAGGTGCTCGGGCTTTGCGTGTATTAATTTTTCTTTGATTAATTGAACCTTCATCTTGCTTCGAGGAATTCATATTCACTTCTGTAAACTTTCCAGCATTGCCCCGCACGTCATCCCATTGAGCAGGTGTGCGTGAAGGCTCCACATACATTGAATATGTAGCTGTTGGGCGTTGTCTATTTACCAATGGTGCATTTGGGGAGACGTCACGGGTAGAAGAGCTACTGTCTACAGTAGCATTTGGGGGACGATCGTGGGCTAGAGATAACCGAATTCTGTCTCGAGTCGAAGCTTCCTCTGAAAGCCTCAGCTTCAGACCACCAATAAACCCATTTTTCACATGGCCTGGCGGAGCCTCCTTTGCTGGCGTAGTTTGGGGAGATGCTGAATTATCATTACTTTTCTTCCCACCATGGAGAAAATTCTTTAAACTCAAATCAATGCTTCCCCTCCTCGATCGGTTCGCGTTGTTTCTACCGTCATCTTTTGTCGATGTATCGGGCATAGATGACTGGACTGCGGGGAATGATGCTGTTCGATCCATCGCTGGAATGTTGTGGTACCGACTAGGAGGTGCCTTGTGTGCCTTGCTCAGTCGATTCTTCATCTTTTGAGCATATTTAAGCTCGGTTTCCGTCTTCTTGTCCGCCTCAAGCTTTTGCTTATCGGCCTTCTTCTTTGTCTTGGCGGCGTCCTTTGCAGCTTGCTTTTCCAGCTTCTCCTTCTTCTTCTTGTTCCCCAGAATATCATCCCAACCAGGGGAATGGCATATTGAAGATCGGTCGGATTCGTCTCCGCTTTCTCCTTCTGTCTGAGGTACCACGCCGCCAGCCTTGACCACGTACTTCTTCATGCCGTTGCCCTCCTTCACCATCGCAGGGGAAACCTCGGGAGATGGTACCGCGATCGAGAGGTTTGGAGCTGTCATGGTGCGATTGTGGTTTGATAGATGTGGTATAGGTTTCGAGTGATTCGCCTGGTAGGAAGTGAGATTTGTCTCCATCGACAAGTCCATGGACATGGTGTTTGTGCGAGGTTGAGGCAGGAGAGGTGGTGGTTGCGCTTGCAGGCGATTCACCTATAGAAGTACTGTCAACCAAGTCGCATCCCAGTTGGGGGTGCACCACCATGTAAAGTAGCCCTGCTTACCTTTTGTTTCCGCTCTAAATCCAACATGCGCTGGAAGGTATTGCGCCTTGCCAGTATTGGCTGGCCATATTTCTCCGTGGAGGGCATTGCGGTTGTAGAAGTCTGGGTAAGCTCGGGAGGACGCGCAGCAGATGTCGACTTTGCATAGGACCGCCTGGAAAGGAATCAGAATCGGGGGGTGTTGTCCAATCACTCTCGGCACCGCTGACAATTGGCGTGAATAGGTAGGAATAGCAAACTCTCACGAGATTGCAGGAGTCGTGAAGGTACGGAGGAATTAATTATTTTCGCAGCAAGCGAGTTGGGTTGGAAGTTGGTGACAAAGTCAATGCGGGGCACGTAGAGGTGATGGTGAGGTGTATCGTTTTTGTCGGGTTTGTCCGGTGCAAGTACGCAGCACTGTGGCCATAGACCATGGGGCATTAACGAACGTGGATCTGATGCAGTTGGAATGATTGGATTGGTAAGTACGAGTATTACTGATGACCGCCGGAGAGAGCTTTGGTAAATATCAAGAAGGTAGGCGAGCCAAGTAGGAAAATTGGGAGGGCAGTGCCTGCTGGAAAAGAAACATCCAGGATGGGGTCAGGGCAGATACAGGCGGAGGCCACAGCTTTTTTGAGGCCGAGCGCCCAGCTCAGGCAGAGGCAAAGACAGAGGTCCCCTGGTTTGTCAAACAAGCTTGCTCTCTAGGGGTCTACATGGCACGCTGTGGACCCGATGATGGTCTACATGGCACGCTGTGGACCCGATTATGGTCTACAAAGAAAGGTACGCCTACGAAGCTCCGTACCTAGTACCATACAGCTCCCCTGATTCCTGGAGACATGGACTGGTCCTCAGGTCTATTGCCATACGCCGCCATCACGTTGGCCGGTAATGTCTGATCCAGACCAGAGACACTGGGGAAGTGTGATCAGCACGTTGGTGGCACCACCAATTCGTGACCAGCAGTCGACGGTACTCGAGAACTCCGTATGTGCCAGTACTTTGCTTTCTCAGCTCGCAAAGGTCCAAAGGAACGCAAAGGTCAGCAGGAAGAGGAAGCGGCACCTTGGCACAAGCGAAAGAGGCAATAAGGGGGCAGAGAGGAAGCGAAGGCTCGAAAACAATGCATGCGAGACGTCGGCCAATTGCCAGAACTTCCATCACATCGCCTGTTTGCTGCAGCCGGAGAAGGCTCAGGAGGGGCAATCAAGATGCAAAGTGCCTGAGCGTGCGTGAGAACCCTGAATACGAAGACACGTTGATCACAAAGGGGAGCTGCCCCGCATTCGGAGAAAAGAGAAGGGCGGCTCTCTCAGAACTTACGGACACGCCTTCCTACCCTACAGACAGACAGACCACACTTTACTGAGACGTGCATCTTTTGCTGCGGCGGTGAGCTCCCCAATTCCTTCTCATGAAGTTCTTCGCAGGTGACGTCTAAGTCACTTTTCTTGGCTACTTGCCATCTTCTTTGGACGAATGGTTTGACTTGCAGCGGGCAATAGCGGTGTTCTTAAGTGCTAGGAATTTTGTTTCTCGGGGTCTTTCCGAAGCTCTGGGCGTCTTAAACTTAACCTTGACACAAACAAACTTGCCCCTCTCTTTTACGAGATCTGAGAAGGCTAAATAGGCTCGGTGCAGAGGGTCATGTTGCTAGCGCATGTGTTGTCAAGCCAGAAGGCAACAGCCGAAGCAGAAAACACACTCGTCATTATTGATGCGCCGTATGAGGGTTTTTGGATCCTCTTTGGTCCATGCCTCGCGCAAACATCGTCATCGTCATCGGATCGCTTGTCCTGTAGCGTAACTGCGTTTACCTAAAAATAGTCCTGGACCCCTGGATTCTTTCCCTGTGGCTGGTTTGCGAAATCGGGATTCTCGAAGATCCATTACCTAGCTCAACCCTGCTGATACCCACATCGTCTGTGGCTTTACAATGACACCTGCCAATATGGTACTCGTACTTCGTAGGCATTGATTTGACAGCCGCCTCAGTATTCTCCCGAGTCTTTGAACTTCTCAATAACCTCACGGGCGCCTGCAGGCGCCAACAGGTGACTCTACTTCTCACCATGCACACATCAGGGACCTTATTCTGAAAAGAAAACCCGGTTGTGCCTCCACCTCCCGGCAGTTGCAGGAGAGCATGACCATGAACTTTTCATCCATCTCAGAGCGCTCACATCGAAACAATACTTCGAACTTAGGTAACGATAATGAAGATCTCTTTCCTTTGGGAAAGGAAATTTTTCGCGGCTCGCAACTCAAGCTGACAGGCGGAGAATAGACGATGGAACGTGAAGAAAGGGGCCTTGCGAATCGGAATCAGAAATCACCTAATCCTCGCCTTGGCCGCCTCGGGTGGGAACCGACGACGACTTGATGATACAACAGTAACTCGTAAGTCAACGTTGTCAGTAATAATACTGCACTCCAGTTGGTTAGCTGGACAGGTCCAAACACAACCTCCACTCGAGGCATTCTAGTCATCTCACTACTGGTACTCTCTATTCTCTACAATGACGATTTCAAAAATCCATCTGACTGTTCCAAACCTCACGTACAAGCCAACTTCATCGCCACCCACATTGACACGTCGAGATCAGCAGTAAGCGCTACGAGAATACGGAACGTTGTTGCTAACTAAATGGGAAAACTCACTGCAGCATTGCTGCTAATATAAGACTTTTGTGAGCGCCGTCACAATAAGCATCTCGTCAAACAAATCCAACTCAACTATTTCTTCCTGTCACCAGCCAATTATCTTCAACTTATCGTACTGTACGTACAATACAGTACGCAGTATTGTACGTACATACTCGGTATGTTTACTTCTCCCTAAGCAGCGCATCTTCTTGCCTCAAGCTTGCCCAGCGGCTACGGAATACACTCTTCCACCGAAAATCTCCCACCCACCCGAAAATCCGGGGTTCGATGCTGAAACGTGTCGTCGAATCGAAACTTGTTTTGCCAACATCCATACCCTAATCTCTGAAGCATGGCCATCTCCGAGCATAAACGCGAAGACCTGGGTCAATTTACTGTACTGACTCAACAAAGCCACAACCTGACGTCGTACATGATTGCGACGAGACCTCGTCCACGTGACGCAGGAACCTCCGCGAGATGACTCGGGAGCCTTTTACGTTTCGGTACCACCTGGATGGCAGGACAGGGTGTGCTAAGCTAAATTTATTTTGTATGGAAGTACAGATATCGTAGCCGAAGACGTGTGTCGATGGTATGGAATGAGTACGAGTACTGTAATTTCATGGCAATGCATAGATCTTCGAGGTGCATGTTCGGATGTACAGACAGATCATTGAGATTTGGAGGCTGGGAAAGGGTAAAAGTACGTGTTACCCGGCTTTGAAATGCGGTGTCGAGTCTCTACCGGCAATAATCACGGCGTCGGAAGGATTACTCTAGAGGGAATGAGGAATTGGTTGTTGGTAAGTCGATGCTGATACAGTTTCATTTTGTCTTCATTTTCTTCCTTTTTCTTTTCCCTTGGTTTTATATATTTTCTTTCTTTTCTTGCCTTTCTTTCCTTTCTTTCCTTCTTCCCTTTCGAATTTCGAGGTTACGGGTCTAACCGTCTGAGTGATAATATCACACCTAAACCATCACAACGGTATTAGCATTACTGTAACAGGGACGCCACGATATTACTACTAAACTAATTTGTTTTTTTCTCTTTTCTTTTTTCTTTCTTTCGTCCCTTTTCCTCGGACGTGCGTGCGGGGATTTGCCTACCCACTGGATTTATAAATCTTTGCATTAGTATATGAAGTGTTAGTATATTTTAGTTTAAACTATTTCGCTTAATAAAGAAATTGGGATTGTGTGGTGATATGAATGACTTGTAAATTAAGCAGTTGAAGTATCTAAACTAATAAAAACATCTCTATAACACAACCAAATCCGACGAATATAAAGAACCGAGGAACAGAAGGTATATATACGAATAATATCTAACAACCAAAAATACAATATCCAATAAACTTCCAAAAAAAAGCTAATACACTAAATAACAACAACCAATCTCTCCCCACCTCTCTAAAAAATCACGAAACATGACACATATCCCCACAAACTCCGTCACAGTCTCCACATCAATCTTCACAATAGCCTTCACATCCTCAGCAACTTCCCTCACCGCCTCCGGCGCACTCCTCAAATTCGCAGGCAGATTCCTCAAATGCGATGGCACATTCCTTAGAAATGTGAAAGAAGGTAAATAACGATCATCGTCATCGTCCGAAGAAGGGGCTTCGGGATAATCTCCAGCAGTCTGTCCCACAGGCGGGTTCTTTTCGTGCCGCTCCAGCGTGGTGATGGGGGAGTAGGCGTTCTTGTGCTGGGGCTGGAGGAGCTGCGTGGTGGGGTGAGGTGAATTGGCCGGGTATGGGACCTAGTTTGCGCTTTTTGGGGTAGCGGGGGGGAGTTGGGGGGGAGTGGGTGGCTCGCTTTTTGGATGGTGGGGAGGTGTGGGTTGGTGGGGTGTAGAAGTCTTGTGTTGAGGATGTTCTTGGGGATGTTCTTGAGGGGGACTTGCTGGGTTTGGGAGAGGGTCGTGGAGTTGGATGTCGTGGTGTTGACTTCCGTGGTGTTGACTTCCGTGGTGTTGGATTCCGTGGTGTTGGATTCCGTGGTGTTGACTTCCGCGGCGTTCGCTCTTTGGGTGGTTCTAGATTTCACGTCAGCACCTGAATGAACTCACTCAGATAAATACTCACGCGTAGGAAGTCGCTGATCCGGAGCCGGTGTTTGCGTTCCTAGATTCCAAGTCAACGTCTGTTCTTACCCAGAACAACATGAAAACTCACCAAAATCAACCCCCCTCTGCACTCTCGAAGGTCCACGCCACACACCTGGCATCGAGTAATCCACGAAAATCTTCTCGTTGGGATTCTTCGTCCACACGGCAAAGGTGGCTCCATCACCCCTCACTATATCACGAAGTTGCAGACCACTATCTTTGTCCCCTAATCGTCTATCTCCATACAGCCATACCTGATTTGCAACGGCAATCTTCGCTACGGTAGCAACCCTCTGTTTCAAGTTTCTCAGCCGCGTCGTTTCATTCAATCCTCTGAATTCCAGTAGCCACTTGTCGGATCGCGCACTTCTGGGAGCCACATTGATCATTAGACCATAGCGAGCTGGGCCGGATCCCACTTCCTGCTCTGGTTCATTCTTCATATTGATATGAACATGCGGGTAAGTCAATCCGTTAATTCCCAGCTCCTCAAAGGTTGTGTTATCCATGTCCTCAAGCGGCCGGCATTTAGTTGGGAGACTCGTGATAACGAAATGCATGTCCACAATCTCAAGTCGGCCTTCATCGAATCTTGTCGCGTCACGGATTGCCTCCTTGAGATCCATGACTGTGGATGTACTATTCAGGTTGCCGACTACAATGGGCATCTGTGGAAGGATGCTTTCCTCTCCAACGGGACCCTCGATGTGAAAGACGCTGAAGATGATTTCTACCAACCTCACAGTGCGTTTTTCGGTGGCTAGTCTTACTTGTGGCTTCTCTGACATATATTTTGGCGTACTACGTGCTGTGCTTGTTCTAGGGTTGCTTCTACTGGTGATGACAACAACCTGACTTTTGCCGTCATCGTCTTTTCGAGTATCCTTACCAAAGGGCGTGGTCTGCTGATGGGGTGTTGATTTTGTAAATATTGCTGGTCTAGGACTTGACATTCGAGGACTGGACGATGTTTTGCTAGGCGTTTCGGGTCGAGGAGAAACAAAATCCCCTCCATCACTCTCATACCCTCTTTTCCCACCGAAGCCTTTTCGAATTGACATCCCACTTGTTGTCTTTTGCGGCTTTCTCGACGTAGGCTCTACAACTTCATCTAAATCTGTGCTGAATCTACCTCTCTTTGAGTCGACACGTGGACTTCCCTCTCCCTTATTCAAGAACCTGGTGTATGAGCGAGAACCCTTTAATGACGAATCTGAATCCCGTCTGGAGAGTTTCCCCTTTTCTTCAGATTCCGATGTCGAGACTTTTTCAGAATCCGCCACTTCTGACCTATTAGGACGCTTTTCAAGCTCCAAACCAAATTCAGGCTTAGTCCACTCGGGTTCAAACGACGACGACGACGACGAAGGCGAGGGCAGCGAATCTTTAGACTGAGATGTAGCGCTAATCTTAGTCAGAGTTCCCTTTAGGACTTTGAATTCAACACCTACCTTTGATTTTGAGACTGCAAAAACAACAATAACAGGCTGCTTTCTCTTCTTGGTGCTCTTGGGCCTCCCACGCGGCTCGAAGTCTTTCAAAGGTTCGGTGTTTATATCGGCCTCCTGTCCATGAGTTAGTATACTTCAAAGGATGTTGGGGACTGCAAAATTTTGTGACAGTCCCAGGACTGCTGTGAAGATCTATCGCAATATTCTAGAAATACCAAAATAAACTTGAACAGAGATGCGGTAGATGACTTACTTCAGCTGCATCGCGTGCATTCTCAAGACCCTCCGAAATCCTCTTCTTCACTTCCCAAAGGCTCGGTCTATGTGCGGGGTTTTCATACATACACTCATACATTAGATCTCACCAGGCGTCCTCTTTCTTCCCCCAACTACTAAAAGCCTCTTTAACTGCGACATTCATGGGAAAACTAGGGTCTTCTCCATTGTATTCCCACAACCCTACTCGACCCTGCCCTCTAGCAATGTGTTAGCTTATAGATGCTCCCCTTTGCTTGTAGTTACACAAATATTAAGAGCCAGAACACGATAACATACCCTTGCCCAAGCATCCTCTTCCCTTTCCATTTGGTCTTGTAACCTGGTTCGGTTGTTGTTCCCATGAAATCACTGAATTTAGTTTCCAGCCAAGGATTTGTCTCATCGTCATTCTCATTGTCAAATACATCTCGTGGATTACCCAAGGGGAAGATATGGAGTGGTTTCTTTGGTGCCTTAATGGTCATATTATCTTCTCTGCCTGGTACATAGTTGGATCTTTGAAACCATGATGGTATGGCGCCCCAACTCCTTGTACTGGTTAACGATTCTGGACCTCTTTCCTGTACTGGGCGCCTAAGATGTTCTCGCCAAGCTCTGAAATTTTCCAGGCGGTTTCTTCTCCATTTATAGCGCCTCTCAATTGAAGGGTTCCGTGGGGTGGGTTTATCTTCTTTTCCATTGTTGCCGTTCGATGGATGTGGGCTGTGGGACTCATTGCTGCTAGTATGCAAGTCGATGCCGGCGAGAGCTTTTGTAACCATTTTCGCCGCCGTTCAATCTTGTTTACCAATTCAAGTTCTGTCGGAAGAGGCAATAGAGCGAAAATAGCAGAGTGATTCAGAGAATAATGAAGATGTGGCTTGAATTGTTAAAAGTATCTATCATGTCGTTTCTTTGAGGCATTGAAAGCCGCAGCCTGCTTTGAGCAGGCATGCATTTTGTCAACAAAGAGAGCACAAGATTGTCCATTGACCTTTAGGGGATCAGCCAAAATATCAAAGAGGATTAGATGCATATTCGAGACTTATCTTAGCGAGCCTATTCTTGACATAGAGAGGCGACTCGGCTACTGAAGATATCTCTCGGGAACCCGAACCTCAGGTCGGTGACCCGGGCGGGTGGCCTGGAATTCATGAATATCACGTGAATGATAATTAGCGCGATATCCTGGAAAGCTTGGCCAAGGTTCAAACCCACCTTACGGTCCTAAGCACTTCAACGACGCCTCTCTAGCCATTGAACCACCACCAGAAATCTTTACCATTCTCTACTCAGCCCACCCGCATTGTGACCGTAAACATGTCCGACGACCGAGAAACCAAGCCCTTCAAGTTTGTGACTGGTAAGCACTGAACTATCTCCAACACCCCCCGCCGCCTCCCCGGAGAAGATGGTCTGATGCATGCTAACTTTCTCTAGCTGGTATACACCCCCTCCTCGCAGATACACCGATATCATAGTCCTAACCTCCGACTCGTCTTCTAGGCTTTGACGCCCGCTTCCCGAACCAAAACCAGACCAAGCATTGCTGGCAAAACTATGTCGATTACCACAAGTGCATTCTAGCAAAGGGGGAGGATTTTGCGCCTTGCCGTCAAGTAGGTTGGATCTCGAATGGACGGGCAGACAGTTCTGATCAGTTATGGCGTAGTTCTTTTTGGCGTATCGTTCCTTGTGCCCAAGCAATTGGTGTGAGAGATGGGATGACCAGCGAGGTTCGTACAATGATACCGCAAATAGACCCTTGGATTGGATTGGATTGGATTGGATCCAGGCTTACAATTCGGCAGAGAAAGGAACTTTCCCTACTCGTCTCGACCAGTAAATGCGATTGGGATATACAATTGGTGGGAGGAGTCAGTGCGTTGAAGGATGAAACAATTATCGCAATCCCTTGTACCATACCGCCGTCACTGTTGCGAATGATAGATAAACCTGGGGGTGATTCTGTGCTTGTGTCCCTTCATTCATACATTGCTTCGCGTGTGTCTTTATCGAAATCTCACTTTTGGTCCCAAGATTCGTTACGCAAAAACACAAGAGTGTTTCCTTTACAAGTGACCTTCCTTGGCGCATCATAAGGAGTGCTCCGGTCCTTGAGTTTTCCAGTTCTCATAGCCCAAACGTATTCACGGCTTCTGTCATACCGGGCTACGATTATTGTATATTACTCGACGCCGTCCATTTCGGTGTATGCGAGTGGAAAGTTGAGCTGCTTGTTATGATGAATTTCTTGGGTGATTTGGCTGCATGCCGATGCATTATCATTGTAATAATCTATTTCTAATGGTGATGACAGGTATTCTTTGTGTAAAAACGTCACATTACGAGACCATGAGCAGCAAATGCTCGAGTTACGCCACACATAAGTCGCTGTAACACATTTTGTATGGTTACTAGCTAACCAATGGTTGACTACCTATATGAATATTGCTGGCAAATTACATCGACGCATATTTCCTGTTAACTTAAACACAACACCCGGAGAAGGGCAGGTGAGTATATAGAAAAACAAATTTAATTACGTGGTATTTCTGAAAAAAATATTAGGTAGCACTTAGCCTAATTCCACACACCGGACAAAATTAGAAAATGTTAAAGAATGCAGGATGTTGCCGTCGCAAGGGATGATCTAAGAATTCTTTTTCTGCAGTCGACAACCTTGTAAGAGTTAAACTTGTTCAATATATGTTTCTTTCCGGCGAAATCCGCTAACATATATAGACAGAAGGTACCTCCGAGGCGAGCTGATATAATTGTTTGTTTACGATGTGAGGATTGCATCGTAAACGAACCCAAAAGCATACGAGGTAGTGTTTGAGCGATCGATTTGTTTATTCACCTATTGACCTAATTATATATTAAGAGATTCCGTGATTACGACTAGATTCACTACCTAAGGCAGCAGATGTTACTCGAAATACCTGATTTGTCCCTCGTGAATTTCTGCATCACAACAATCTATTTGTTCCGAGCAAGCCCAATTGTACAGGCGAGAACAAAAACACTCGACTTGTGGTAATTGCACCCCTTTCAATGCGGAACCATCCGTTTTCTGCAATAGTTTCTTGACAAAGAACCCCTTTTCCAAAAGTACCGCACATCGTAGTCACGGAAATTGGGGTTTGTGGCTGGGAGAACGCAAGCGGAGGAGGAGGAAGGAACAAAGGGCATTTCTCGAGCTACCAAAGATCGCATCGCTCCCTCGACAAGGACACCACTTTCTTGCAACAAAATCTCTGTCGCATTCCCGCTGATATTGCAGACACCACCTAGGTAGCATCTGAGGCATATCACAACCACCACCATCACCATCCTTTGGAATTACGACGTGGTCACGCGAATGATCAATAGTGCATTGCATTGGTGCCATATCTACATACAAATCCACCTTCAGATCCAGCAACATGTCCGGCGCGAGAGCCGATTTATTGCAGACGCAGCTGGACGCAGCGGCAATCCAACTCAAGGATCGTAAAAACGAACTTGAAAATGTAACAGCCGAGAAAAACAGCGCTTGGGACCAGGTCAAAGAATTGCAAAATGGAATCGTCGCATCGCAGAAGGAAATCGCGAAATTGAAGCAGCAGGCCAAGCAAGACGCAGAGAAATACACCAAAAAGAAGGACGACTATGATAACCTCAGCCAGACATGGGAAGATGATCAAGTGGAAAAAGAACGCTTGAAGACAGAGGCAGAAAGTCTCAAGGCAGGCAAAGAAGCCGCAGATGCTGCAACGCAAAAGGCAAAGGAGGACGCGGAAGAGTCGCGAAGAGACTACATTCAATTGAACAGTGATGTCCAGAGCATGAGAGAGACTATGGAAGAAGATTTACGGAAGCAACAAGCATCCCAGCTCACACGCGAGGGGAAGACCATCGTATCCGTCGCAGACTTTGAAAGGTACAAGAATGATAGCGCTCTTCTTAGCCTGACGACCAACGAGCTTGAGGGACTCAAGAAGCATCTTGAGTATTACGAGAACAACGATCGAGCCATGAAGTTCACCGACGATACGCCCCGTGTCAGCGATATTGCAGCCCTTGTTAATCAATCACGACGAACCGTTGGCCAAGAGTTGACTCAAAGAATTACAACCGAAGGAGGCTCACAAACTTCTCCAGTACAGCTCACAACTACAGGCTCGCAGACTTCTCCAGTGCAGTTCACAACTACAGGCTCGCAATCTTCTCCAGGACAGCTCACAACTACAGGCTCCCAAACCTCTCCAATACGGTTCACAACCACAGTTGGAGGGTTTCCAAGTACATCCCCAATCGAACCTACAGCTGCTACACCTGTATCTCCAGATACACCTCTCTCTATGTCTTCCATACCTTCTCCAGCAAAGCTTACCACTACTATTGGAGGCGTTCAAAGCACGTCTCCAATTCAAGCTACGGTCGGTACGACGACTGGTTCGATTGTGCAAAGCTCACCAGGGCAGTTCACAATCGTCATTGGAGCTCAGCAAAGCATTGCCCCAACACCAGAAGCACAACCGGCCACAGTACAGGTTACAACTTCCGAAACTGGTGCACAAACAATAAGAATCGGAATGATCGATGAAGGCATGCAGACATTGACATCATCGAGGATATATGGGTCGCAAACCGATGATACCATACCCGAGGACGAGGTCATTTTCAGCAAAAAGACAATTCGCCATCATAACCTTGTGGGATGTTTCGGGTACACCACCAAAGATATGCTCATTATCTGCAGAAAATATAGCAAGCCCCTTGTTCGTAGGTTGGCGGTAGAAATCCTTGACACCTTCCCTGCCATCTTCACCAAACTGGATGAAGCAACCATCAAGTGGGTTGATCCCATGAATGAATCTGACAACCCTACACCACCATCACTCCTGGCCATCATGAGGAACCCTGATATTGTTGACATGCCGGAAGTAGCATCTACGATTCTTGATTTCGCGTCGTATCTTTGTTTCTTCATTTTCATGATCGAATGCTGGCTTGCTCGTTCCTGGGTCATGAATATGCTGGAGAGTAATGGGCTGACTAGGGATTGGTTCGCTAATCTGTATACGCATCATCATTCTCATGGGGGGGGCATCATGCCGAGTGTCGTTTCGGAATATTGGGTTCGGGTTTGGGATCAATTCGTTCTTTCGTTGATAAAGTACTTGGGGTATGAGTTGGAAACGTATCCGTTGCCCGGATAATGAGAGGAGGAATAGAATGCGAGGTTAGGTTTGTTTGTTGTATTGCGAAAGAGTGGGATTTTGGAAGATGGATTTGTTTTGTATACTGTAATTCCTAGGGTTGGGAGATGGTTATAGTTATGGGTCTTTTTTTTTGTCTAGAAAATTCGAATTTAGAGGATGGTGGGATAGGAGTTGGATTTTGGGAGAGGGAATTTGGTTGGTGAGTTTTTTGTGGGAGTTCATGCTACTTTCCTTCTTTATAGTTGTTATCGTATGATAATGAATTAGATGAAGAATATTTCTGAGAATTTGCTTCTTTTTGCGTGCGATGTGGTTGTTGTTAGGGAAGGAAGCGAATATAAGGGTGCAGTGAGGATATATGTAGTGTGAGTTGTGAGATCATACAGTATTGTCTGGAGACATAGATTCTGGGGTTCACGTTATTAGCTAGTAGATGATGACTCAAGGGAAATCTCTGTAACTTACAGTACAAAACTAAGAGGTAATCATGATAGGGGTAAAGTAAGAACTTGGAAAGTATTGAGGGGATAGGTTCAGCCAAACTTGGTATGAGAGAGGAGGTTCTCTATATACACTGAGTCGCAGCAGCGCAATTCTGAATAGGTGTGCATACAGTAAGTGCTTAATATAAGCAAGTTCTTCTCTCCCTCCAAAGTATTACACTTGTATAGCCGACGAGTGAGTACGCTCTTGGTAGCCTTTGACTCTTGAATGTGGAAGCTTGAAAGATTTAGCTGGAGTTTAGGTGTATGAGGGCTAGGTTTGGGTTCGGTGGAGTGTGAAGTAGGAGTGGGAGTGGACCTTAGAGGATCGCTTTAGATAGCTAGGAAGGCTTGGAGGCTTGAAGTGGAAGCCAATAAAGTCAGACAGCGAGGTAAGTAAGATGGGTTTGAAGGTTAGTAAAATGCATAGGTTTTTACTATAGCTACAGGTGGTGTGGATAGGTGGGTATTGATATACAGATTAGACACAGATTTGGGACGTTTGGTTTTTGAAAATCAACGCGTTTTTTTTTGGATTTGTATGTATGGAGTGCTAATAGAAAATCTGCGCTGCAACGAATGTGATATCTAGTACAAGAATCAAACCCCTAACCAACAGCCACAACTACGCTTTCAAAGCGCTGGTGTCACAAGAGTCTTAAGATGAGTCTTATGATCCTTTATTTTCTCTTCAAGTTCACCATCGACTACTGGAATGATGGCTTCGATGGTGGGTCTCTCCTTCGCATAGTATTCTTGCTTGGTTTTAATATCCTTTTTAATCTTATCGAAAACTCTCTCGAAATTCTTCCCGTCCCCTTTCATTTTCGATTCTGATTTAGGGTCAAGATAGATTTTGTCTACTTGTCTCAGAACCTGCAGACTAAACTCAAGTTCTGATATTTCGGTTCTGCATCTGTTGACTTCTGCTCTTCTCTCATCAACCCGCTTCATAAATATGCTGTGCAGCTTTTTGAAGAGAACGGATTCATCCTCTAGTGTCAGGGTTCCGCTGGTTTGGAGAACAACTGATTTCCAGAATTCGTGGATCTTTGCTGGATCCTTGGAGATGAGCTCCAAGTCCAGCTTTCGATTCGAGGGATCGAGAGGGAGACCGGGATTGGGAGATTTGCCGAGGTTCTTTTCGATTATGTGAGTTAGGTAATGTTGGAGTGCTGCTTCGAGTTCGCTGGGGTCGAGGCCGTCGAGATCCATTTTTGAAAGTTGACGCTTATTTTCTTTTATGGTTTGGAGGATGGTGGTAGACGACGAGAGAGGGCTTCTGTAGAGCATTGGTAGTTTGTTGGTGGTTGGTTGTTGTAAAGGACAAAGAGAGTTGGAGTTGGATTTTTGGCTACTTTTATAGGGAGCCAGGCTGGGGGCTGTGAATGGTCCTTTCAAGACACCTTCTGATTAGCACTTGGAGTAGTGACTAATTCTCAGGCTCTGTAAGATTCTCCAATCACAGCTTGGTGTGAATGGACGGCATCAGTTAGCTTGAACCTCCTCTAGGCGAACCTGTTTATTTTTTGAAGAGTCATAGAGCCCTGAGTGGGATGTGTACAGAAGATTTGCATTGTGATTGTCAACTGGTACTTGGACACTGAATCATATTATGGAGTTCTATAATAAGTGGGTGCAGTAAAGTGAATATAGGAACATTGAAGTGTTCAAAATCCTTATTGACTATGGCTCAAGGCATTCTGACTCATCGCTACAAGAGGAACATGACTGTACATATCTCTTTATATAGTCAAGGAGATGAATCAGAAGCAGAATAGCTTCTGATTCAAAAACTTCACCTCATGTTATATTCAATATAGATATCTGGCCATCATGTGCTTTTGCATTTTATCACAGTGTTGAATATCCTAGCTGAAAGTCTCTATGTTAACCTTGTTTGGTTCAGGTCCTGAAATACTTTACAGCGCTCGGCAACTGGAATTCCATTCCATTCCATACCCCCCCTCTGGAATATTCCATTCCATACCCCCCCTCTGGAATATTCCATTCCATACCCCCTATTCCACTGGAATTCCATGGAACCGAATCACATGACCCGGGGAAAAGTCCGGCCGCCCCGGTGCAATAATAGGAAGCCTAGATTCGGCAAATAGTATTAGTAGCGAGAAGGTTAGGTGAATTATATGCCTTTAATATTAGGTTATAGGTTTTAAAGTAATTAAGCGACTATATAGTAACGAAGAGATTAGCGGATTAAGGTTATTTTACCAATACAGGTTTATATAAGAAGTAAAGGATATATTATTTAGGTTAAATAGCCCCTAGGGTACTTATAAGGCTATTTATACCTTAATAAGTAGAGCCTAGGCTACTAAGCGCTTAATTGAAGCCTATCTTTGTCACGGATGCCAACAAAGGATAAAGTGTATACAGCTTTTGAATCAATTGCTAGAACTAAAACCGTAGGTACGAAGAAATCAAACTAAAGAGAGAAGAGAATCTGAAAGGAGCGAAGTTATTTAAGTTGTTCCAATGCCAAGTCTCGTCACGTGTTTGGCCAAGCGAATGAAATCCTGTCAAATGAAATCCAGCTCCGTCACACTTAGATATAACTTTCTTCTTTTAAAAGTATATTTTATAATACTTCTAATACTTTCTCGTAGGTCTTTTAATCTTCTTTATAACTTATAAACCGATTTTAAAATAGTATTTGTTTCTAAAGTAAACGTTTATTTAATTCTCGAACTCTAGCTATATAAAGAGTTATGTATTAATCTAATTTAGTCTATTTAAAGTCTAAAATAGCTTAAGTTCCTTCTCTTTCTTATAAACTATAAATATTATATTATTATTCTTCTTATAGGTTTATTAAACTATATACGTAGTAACTATTTAATACCTAGGAGACCTAAAATAGTACGTTTAAGGGAGGTTTATACTAGTATCCTCTATAATTAAAAGCTAGAACTTACTATTATTACTTATATTTACTTATTTATTAGTAAAATAGTTATAAGTAGCTATTATTTCTTAATATATAACTATAGTACGTCTTTCTCGAGGTTAGGCCTAATGTTTCGATTATAAAGCGTCCGAGGCTTTTTGTCACGAATCACGTGTTAGCATGTGACGAGTTAGTCCAGACGGCGTTCTGACAGGACAGATACATCCAGATCAGTTATACCATAGCAGTGGTTACTTAGGGTTGTTGAGTATCCAAGGATTTCATAGCATTCATAGTCACGTGACGAAAGCGCGACAGCGCGACAAGCGAGTTGTCGGCATTCAGGATTTGGAGAACGAAGGTTCTATATAAGACTGGCATGTCTGCCATTGGATAGGAGCTTCGTGCTCAACTTAGTTATCAATCTTATCATATTAGTTTGACATCTTTGATACAAGAAGCCTAGCTGCTTCCAACAACCCAAGAACTGTATTCACCATAACCCCCTTCTCAAACATGTATTTAGTACAGCTTTACTCATCTGTTGGAGGGAAACCCCCAGCCGTGCTACTATAGTCTCAGACTCACACAGCACGTTAAAAGGAATAATAATAATAATAATAATAAGTGAACAACCCAATAGTCTTCTTCTTATCATAGCATACCAACCAGCGAACACCCAGCCAAGTTTAGTTAGCCAGTTTGAGTATTCGTTACACTTTTTCGAGCTAAGTATATTCGTTTATATATATAGATTAATACTAGTTTTCTTCTTTATCTCCTTTTTACTATATCTAAATATTTTCTTCTTAAAGACTTTACTTCGTATAAGTATTCGAGGTTAATTTAGTACGTTAGTATAAACAAGGCTCTTCGAGAGAGTATAATTATACGCTCTAGACTACCTTTTTTTTTAGGTACAAGAAGGGTTTAAGTACTAGCGTTATAATAAGAGATAAAGGGCTTAATTTAGGCTATTTTAAATAGTTATATTATAAATAATAGACGTAAAAAAGGGGGGTTTTAGGTAGTAGTAGTAGTCTATAGCTTAAATCGGCAAGTTTTTTCTTCCTTGTAGAGCCTAGGTAGTACCTAAGTAGTAGCTGAGCACGTGACCTACTATGCGAACGTGGGACAGCGCCTGCCGACAGGTAAATCGCTCGACTGTCGCACCTATAACGACCGATTATTAATAAAACTATTATTACTAGATAGCCCTAATCGCATATTTATCCTATTGTAATAGCCGAACTCTTCGAAACGTTATTACGTCGATACATCGATAATTAGTCCTTTGAGGAGGCAAAATCGCCAAAAGTTGATTTTGCGATTTAGCCATTTTACGCCAGAGGGTCGGTAACGGCCACCATAGTTTTAGGAGGATGGAAAGGAGTTGTAGAGATGCGGGAGAATTGAATTGAGTGTGGTACAGTTCTTAATTAATGTTCTGACTGTTTTGGAGGCAGGATTTGGTTCTAGGTTATTTTCAACGAAGTCTGAAAACTAGGTAGAAAATGGGGTCAGGTGAAGTTGTGTGTTTTTGGCGGCGAGATTGTCTTCAACGTGATTGGTCATTGCCACATCACCTTCCCAGTGAACCCCACTTATTCATTTCAGTTGCGTCGTCCATCTCAGAAAGTTTTGGGTTCATGTCAACGGCTCATCCACGCAGCAATACAATGGAATTTAGCTTTGCAGTCACAAATGTGCATCCTCAGTTTTCCAGACGGTTGCCTTGAACGTTCATTTCAGTGCCTCTCATGATCCCTAGGCGGACCGTTAACGCCACTCACCGTTAATTCATTCCTTGTAATCCTTTTCAACAATGGAAAACCGGAGCAGAATTACAGGCATCCATCATAAAACAACTCTTGATGTAGCTAAAACCACTCATACAACCATATCACACATCGCCCAAAAGCGAAACTACGATGACTTCCGCAGCAAACCCGAAGTCCAAACCACCACCGCCCTCCTCGACATCACCAACAAGAACAAACCACCAGATTTCCACCGTCCAAATCTGCACCAAAATAAATGCTACGAGCCTCTGAAAACTAGTGCGATCCGTGATGTAGTTGAGCAGCGAACCACAGAATATTCACAGAGACGCGCTCTAGCTCTAACGCCTACCCCCATCTCAAACCCCACATTGGATCTTGCCCATCCCGCTTACGGCTTGCCTAAGCAATTCGTGGCGAATCTCGCTTCTATGGGCGTGAAATCCATCTATCCGTGGCAATCAGATTGTCTCCTTCGAAGCGGTGCGCTGCAAGGGAGGGAGAATTTGGTGTACACCGCTCCGACGGGGGGTGGGAAATCCCTCGTTGCGGATATTTTGATGCTGAAGAAGGTGATGGAGAATCCGGGGAGGAAGGCGTTGCTTGTGTTGCCGTATGTGGCGCTGGTGCAGGAGAAGTTGAGGTGGTTGCGGAGTGTGGTTCGGGGGATTGTGAAGGTTCCTGAGGAGGGGAGGGCGGAGAGGTTTCCTTCTGTGTAGAGGAAGAGGGGGGATGAGGAGGGGGTTAGGGTGGTGGGGTTTTTTGGGGGGAGTAAGTCGAGTGTTTCGTGGGGGGATTTGGATGTGGCTGTTTGTACGATTGAGAAGGTGGGTGAGGCTCTTGTTGTGGATTGTGGATTGTGGATTGTGAGGGGTGTTTGCTTATGGTTTGGTAGGCGAATTCGTTGGTTAATGCGGCTATTGATGATCGCTCTATTGGGAAACTTGGGATGGTGGTTATGGATGAGTTGCATATGCTTGATGATGAAGGACGGGGGTATATTCTGGAGCTGATGGCTACGAAACTTCTTAGTCTGGACCAGGACATACAGGTGAGTTATCCATGACCTGTGTCTTTTATACTAAGACCTTTCACGATATCTTTAAGCTTTCTGCGAATTCCATCACCCTTCGACAACTTTGAGTACTCTCGGAAGCTAACCGAATCCTCTTCAGTTGATTGGGATGAGCGCTACACTGAACGTAAGTAAAATCGATGGTATTTGTATTTCATATTTTGACATCAAACAGAACGCAGAGCTCCTAGCAACCTGGCTCGACAACGCTAAATTCTGCCATTTTAAATACCGCCCTGTACCGGTTGAAGAACATCTTGTTTTCAATAACAATGTCTATTCTGCCTCTTCCTCCAACAAATTCTACAAGACTGCCACTCAACTCACATCACAGCACCCAAATTCATCTCAAATAAAACCAGAGCCATTGAGATTCATAGAACCATCACAGGTCAAAGAGTTTTCAAACGCACTGACAAATGCCGTTGTGGCCCTGGCGAATGAAACAGCAAGAGCGGGTTATGGTGCGCTTGTGTTTTGTAACAGTCGTCTAGGTTGTGAAAGGAATGCGATACTTATAAGTCAAGTTCTGCCTCGGCCGGAAGAAGTGCTTCCCGGTGTTATGGAGAAGAGATCAGAATTGCTTAATGATTTGATGAGTACTAGTACTGGTCTGGATTATACGCTTGAAAGGACAGTTCCTGTTGGAGTCGCATTTCATCGTCAGTCCTCCATTCTATGCTTTCTCAAAGCTTGTACTGATTTCTTGCATAGATGCCGGCTTGACGACAGAGGAACGTCATTTGATAGCAGCAGCTTATGACCAAGGAGTTTTGAAGGTCATTGTAGCGACCTGTAGTTTGGCGGCGGGGATAAATCTTCCTGCTAGAAGAGTGATTCTTCATGGTGCTCGAATGGGTGCTGAACTTGTTGGACCTGCGATGCTGTAAGTATTACCATTTCAACCAAGAAAGAGTTTCAGCTAATGACTCCAGACGTCAAATGGGAGGAAGAGCGGGTCGAAAGGGCAAGGATGAAGTTGGAGAAACATATCTTTGCTGCCAAAAGAGTGATCTCGAAGCTGTAGCCGAACTTATGGAAGCAGAACTTCCCAGTGTTGAGAGTTGTCTAGTACCTGGGAAGAGAGGAATCAAAAGGTGCGTCAAAATGCAATTTTCAGTCGTGCATTTACGATACAAAACCATAGACTGACAGAATTTCAGAGCTTTACTCGAGGTCATCGCAACACAACTCGCAACGAGCGACGAGTCAATTGATGATTACATCAAAAAGACTCTACTCTACCATAGCATCAACCACGACGAACTCGCAAGCAGGAACAAATTAACCATGGACGAACTCATAGAGAATAACCTAATCGCCATTTCAAACTCTTCATACGAAGCTACTCTCCTAGGCCAAGCGGTTGTCGCAGCATCGCTTACCCCCGAGGATGGTCTGTTCGTACATAGAGAGCTGCAACGAGCTCTAGATGCATTCGTTCTGGATGGCGAGTTGCATGCCTTTTATACTTTTACTCCGGTCCAGAATACGGGGGCGGTTGTTAATGTAGGTGGTTTTTCTTCTTCTTCTTCTTATCTCTACCCCGATTTGTCGATGAGGATGTTCGCAGACAAAGATGATGAAAGCTCTAACATAATCTTGCACCAACCACAGTGGCAAATCTTCAGCAAAGAAATGGACCTGCTCTCCGAATCCAACCTCCGCGTCCTAACATTCATAGGAATCAACCCCATGACCATAAACAAAATGTACATTTCCCCTCCCCCCTTCCCTCCCCTCCCTTCCCCTTCTTTCACTAACACCACACCTAGGTCCCAAGGCAGCATCCTCCCCGAGAAAACCGCCCAACAACAAGAAACGGCACGCATCTACCGCCGTTTCTACTCGGCCCTCCGACTCCGCGATCTCTGCAACGAAATGCCCATCCACGCCGTCGCACGCAAGTACGATATCCCCCGGGGCATCGTGCAGAATCTCGCGCAGACGTGTCATGGGTTTGCGGCGGGGATGGTGCGTTTTTGTACCTGGATGGGGTGGGGGGCGTTGGCGGCGGTGTTGGATCATTATTTGGATCGGTTGAAGGCTGGTAGGTACTTTTTTTTTGTTCTGGCTTTTGGGGGGGTTGAGGGAATGTGGGTGGGAGGGGGGAGGGGGGTTTTGGTGGTTTGGAATACGCGGTGGAGATAAATGGTNGTACTTTTTTTTCTTTCTGGCTTTTGGGGGGGTTGAGGGAATGTGGGTGGGAGGGGGGAGGGGGGTTTTGGTGGTTTGGAATACGCGGTGGAGATAAATGGTAGAAACTAATCTATACCAGGAGCGAAATCCGACCTCCTAGCTCTCGCAGAGATCACATACATTAAAAGCCGAACAGCTCGGATCTTCTGGGAGAATGGGTTCAAGACCGTTGGTGCGGTGGCGGTTGTTGATCCGAAGGATCTCCTTCCTGTTTTGTTACTCGTGAGTTTTCTACCTCTCTATCTACCCTTTTTACACATCCCGCTTTTCTATACCCACTATCTCATCTGTCACACGCACACTCTCTCTCTCTCAAAAAGTATGATTATTCACTTGTGGGTGTATATTATTTACTTATGAATGATACCCTATCAGGCACAACGCAAGAAACCACGTCTCGATCCTGTAAGCGAGGAGAAATATATTAAGAAATTACGCATGAAAGCGGAGGTTATTTCGAAGTCGGCGAATAGGATTTGGGGTATGTTTTTTTCCTATATTTGTATTTGTCTAAATTTCCATTTGTGTTTAAACTTGGGTTTTGTGGATTTGAGGTGTGACGGAGGTTCGCTTTGGGTGGGATGTTGGGATATTGGGATGTTGGGATATTGGGATGTTGGGATATTGGGATGTTGGGGAGTGGGTTTGAGGCTGTGTTGTGTGTTGTACTGGGGGAACTTTATTGACGATGTGTAGAGAGACAGATGCAAGCGGAGTTGGATGCGGAGTTGGATGCGGAGGAGGAGTGATGGGTGTGTGGGTTACCGGGTGTGGAAGGGGTGAGTTGGATGCGGAGTTGGATGCGGAGGAGGAGTGATGGGTGTGTGGATTACTGGGTGTGGAAGGGGTGAGTTGGATGAATGAATGGCTACACTATGGACTGATTATCTCCTAAGCGGGTAGGGGTGACACTCCAGATGTACTCTTACTTTAGGTCCGTCATTCGAAGGGCCTTAATGTCGGACACTTTATACATACCAAAAACAATAGCGTACCACTATCTCAGAGTTCAAGCAAAAGAGAAAAATAAGGGAAGTGAGGTGAAGTGTAAAGGTATATGCTACAAGGTACTGTGCCTAGGTAAGATTACTGTAAGATTACCTCGTACACTTACTAGCGAAGGGGGGGCTATTTAGAGAATAGTTTTCTACAGGTCCCGAGCTTAAATAGAAAAGTATATTTTAACGATATTATCGCTATAGCCATGGAAACGTTGTTTACTCACGTGACCCGATACTAGTATATTACCTAGCGTTTATAGTCTAGCTTACTATAGTACCTTCTCTTCTTAAAGCAATTAAATATCGAATCAAGGACTAATTACTTTAACCCCCTTCGAGTACTCTTGAAGAGTACTAGGTAAGCCGATATGTATAAGAAGAGATATTTGTGACGAAACTCAAACTATCTAACAAAAGTAATCGTTCCGAAGGTTGGTATGCAGATAAGAAGATCAGATGCGCCGGGTTGTTTACTCGGAGGTAAACTCGTCACTTGTACAAAGTCGTCAAAGTCAAAAGGTATTGATAACTAAGTAAACTAAGTTGAGCACGAAGCTCCTATCTAATGGCAGACATGCCATCTTATATAGAACCTTCGTTCCCATGTGGATCTGAGGATCCCCCAGATCCCTTGTCTGGATCCTGGGATCCTCAAGATCCCAAGATCCATCACGTGACTACATACAATGAAATCCTTGGATGGAGCAGCAAGCCTGCCCCACCCTTAGTTGAGCACGAAGCTCCTATCTAATGGCAGACATGCCATCTTATATAGAACCTTCGTTCCCATGTGGATCTGAGGATCCCCCAGATCCCTTGTCTGGATCCTGGGATCCTCAAGATCCCAAGATCCATCACGTGACTACATACAATGAAATCCTTGGATGGAGCAGCAAGCCTGCCCCACCCTTCACTTGCTATAAGAGCCCAATGATAGTGCTTAACCTGTCAGGACGCCGCCTGGTCTTCACTCGTCACATGCTAACACGTGATTCGTGACAATATTCTAGTATTGTACTAGGAATTTATACTCTACTCGCTTACTTAGTATTTGTTATAAGTTCGTTCTACCACGAGATATCTCTCTCAAGGCTCTTAATCTCAAGCCTAAAATTTCCCTGTTGTCTACTTTAAGTTCCCAATAAACTTCCTTCCATTTTTTCCCACTATAAATTTAAATTTTTCATCATGACGGCACAGCTAAATCCGTATTTTTCCCGCAGATATTCCACCCCCACCCAAGCTCAACTGTAGAGTAGTCTTCCCGCATCACCCCGGCAGCTATGCACCAACGCCTCAAAAGACCTCCTGCTCCGATTCAGAGGGTCCCATTTGCGTCTTAAAAGGAACGTCTATGGTCCACGATTGGTGAGTTCCAAATCTTCAGATAAGCGACGTGCAGGAGGTTACTGTAATGGTATCCAGATTTTAGATGGAGTTCCCCCACCTGTCTGTCCTATTTGTGTTGATAAGTACCTTCAACTTCCCCTCTTTCTCTGCTTGTTTCTGTTCCTGTTCCTATTCCTGTTTGTGTCTTTGAAGAAGATCGCAAGTCACAAAAATGCACATCTCCCTCCCCTCCCACCTCCTCCTCGCCTCCCTCCCCCTCACCCACGCCCAAGAAACCATCCTAGGCCTCTTCATCTTCCACAGACACGGCGACCGAACCTCCAAATCCTTCGCGCCCACCACGCTCACCGACCTAGGATACGCACAAGTCCACCAATCCGGGTCATTCTTTCGGGATCGCTATGTAGACAGCAACGCAATATTGCCTGTATATGGAATCAGTAGTTCGGTGGTGAAGAATTCGCAATTGAAGGTCGAGGCGCCTGTGGATACGGTGTTGCAGAATTCGGCGGTGGGGTTTCTGCAGGGACTGTATCCGCCGGTGGGAGCGGGTGTAGAGACGCAGAGTTTGGCGAATGGATCGAGGGTCCTGCCGCCGTTGGGGGGGTACCAGTTAATTCCTGTGAATTCGGTGGCGAGTGCGTCGTCGGGGGCGGATTCGGAGAATAGTGCTTGGTTGCAAGGTGAGTTTTTTTGGAGAATGTTTTGTTGATGCTTTTGCTTTTGTGGATTGGGAAGAGGATGTGGGATGTGATGCTAATGATGTGTATTGTAGGTCAGAGTGGATGTGGAAAAGCAATGGTTAGCTCGAATAACTATTTCTACTCGAATGAATACTTTGAGAAATTAAGTGCTACAACACCATTCTATCAAAGCATTTTCCCCGTCATCAACCGTACCTTTACCAGTGCGGCAAACACCTATTTCAATGCTTATTCCAGTAAGTGATTCCCGCAGACTCTCACCCTCTTACAGTAAACATCAAAGTATAAAAAGTCAAAAACTAACTCTCACACCAGTCTACGACCTCATCCACGTCTCCCAAATCCACAACACCTCCATCCCCTCCTCAGATTTACTCACCCCCTCAACCCTCCACCAACTCCAAACCCTCGCCGATTCGCACGAATTCAACCTCGCCTACAACACCAGCGACCCCATCCGCGCCATCGCAGGACGCACCCTCGCCGCGCAAATCGTGCAAAATCTCAACTCCACCCTAACATCTAAATCCAAAACGCCCCTCACCATCCAGTTTGGCGCCTACGCCTCCTTCCTCTCCTTCTTCGGGCTCTCCCAACTCCGTGACGTATCCGAGAACTTCACGGGTGTAGTAGATTACGCTTCAAGCATGGTCTTTGAACTCATCACCAACGCCACCGTTTCTAACACTAGTTACCCTAGCATGGAAGATATCTCCGTCCGCTTCCTCTTCGCGAATGGAAGTGCGTACGAGAATCCTTTGAATGAGTATCCCCTTTTTGGAGGTAATTCGGCGGTCATACCCTGGAGAACGTTTACGGATGAGATGGGGAAGTTTGCTATTGGTGATCAGGAGAGTTGGTGTCGGGAGTGTGGGAATAATACGGGGGTTTGTGCTCCTGTGGGTGAGGGGGTGATGGGACAGAGTGGGGAGATGGGGGGTAAGAAGGAGGGTGTGAGTAGGGTTGTTGCGGGGGTTATTGGGGCGATGGTTACGCTTGCTGTGGTGCTTGGGGTTGAGGGGTTGGTTTTATTGGTTGGTGGGTTGAGGGTTGTTAGGAAGAGGGGGGGAAGTGGGAGTTTAGCGAGTGAGGGGGCTGTGAAGGCTTGATTAAGGTGGTGGAGTAGGTTGGTAGGTGTTATGAGTAATGAGATAAGCATTATGACACAAGAATTATATCTAAAGATTTACAAAAACAATAAAAGACCACAAAGCTAATTACCTATCTTAACACATGTTATACCTAGGAAAGAAAAGAGCTGTTATAATATTATAGCCAAACTACTATACAAACATAAACGATAAATACCTTATATCACAATCCTAATAACTAACAACCCTACCCTCTATTACGCCCCCCTACCAAAAAAGAAACTCCTATACCTCCTTCGCCATCTACCGTCTATCGCTACTACAAGTACAGTTATACCTATGTTGTTTACTCACGTGACCCGACACTGGTATCCAATCTATAAAAGCGATTCCATTACAGACTAGCTAACCATCTCTTCTCTTCTCTTCTCTTCTCCAATCAATTAAACATCACCGTCCAGCAAACATAAATTGATTACTTCACTCCATCAAACGAATACTCCCTACGAGTCCTGGCTACACCGACACACCCCATCTTTAAAAGGAATCTTTTGATCTGAATTACTTATTAAGTTACTACAAAGGGTTAGAGTTCCAAGTTCCAAGTTACAAATAGCCACTTCACTAAGTTCACATCCACAATCTGGAAAGTAGTAAGTCCTATACAAATACCACACCAAAGTTAATGAGTTACTACTCTATCCTCATGCCAGACCAGACCAGATCAGAGCACATCAATCCCACAATAACTAACATAACAATAATCCCAAAGCCTCGCATCACTCCCCAATTACTCTCCAATCACTCTCCATAAAATCACTCTTAAAATCCAGATATCTAGACCGAACAATTCTTCGTATATATTATCACCTCATCTACACCATAACATCTCATCTACTCAATAAACCCACTAGCTCATCCCCTTCTGGATATACGTAAGATTAAATAAAACCACTTCCAGTCTTACAGTACAGTACCAGTCTATATCGCTTCCCCTAGTTCGCATCCCCACTTCGCTTCGCTATATAACCAACAAGACTCGATATATAATATAACACCTCTATATCTACCCATCCCTACCTACTCAATAAGACCAAAGAACTCCACCCTCCAAAAAAGAAACACACACACACACACACACGCTATTTATCGATTGCTCGGGGGGTATATAAAAGAACCAGGCACCAAACCAAAAAAAGAAGAAGAATCCAACAGCAAAAAAAAAAAACACAAAAGAAAAAAAGAACGCACGAGGTGACCTACCTCAAACACCACCCCAGAAAGCCTTTCTAAACAAAAAAACCCAGAAAACCACATCCAAAATACGACGAAAATCAACAAAGTAATTTATACCCCTTCTTCCACTTCGGCCACGCCGCCCTCTCTGCCTTCTCCTCCGCAATCAAACTAGGAAGATTCAACTCCCTCCGTCCCGTCGTCAAATCCATATCCTTCGACCGCATAATCGTCGTCCGGAACCAGAGCTTATAGCCAAAGTAAAAAAAGACCACAATCGGGAAAGCAAGGTAGGCGAGGAAGAAATTCTTCACCTGGCCATGGGGTCCCTTCTCGCCGTAGTTGACGGGCCAGGCACCGACCCAGAACTGCGCGATGAGGACCGAGATGTTGAAGGAAAAGCCGATCCAGGAGCCCACGACGCCCGACTGGGAAACGAAGGCGAGTTCCGAGAGTGTGTGCCCTTGGATCCGCCAGGCGCGTCGGAAGCGGATGTGTGCCAGGTTGATGGAGGCCCAGGTGAAGATTGAGGAGAGGCCTGAGAGGGCGAGCATCCAGTCGAGGACGGCGCCTGAGGAGCTGGTGCCGGCTGTGTAGGCGATGAGGCCGAGGGAGGAGGCGAAGCAGATGGCTACGATGGGTCGTCCTTTGCGGTCTATATACCCGAAGATCGCAGGTGCCTGTCCTTGGTCTGCTAGCGCGGCGAGGGTTCGTGAGGAGCCGAAGACGGAGGAATTTCCTACTGAGAGGACGGAGAAGAGGATCACGAGGTTCATAAGTGAGGGAAGAACTTCGATTCCTGAATTTTGAATGGATATTACAAAGGGCGAGGCGACGGATTCGGCGTTTCCGTGAGAGAGGAGGCGAGGGTCGTTGTAGGGGACCAGGAGTCCCACGAGAGTTAATGATAGGATGTAGAATAGCGAGATTCTCCAGAAGACCTGTTTAATGGCGGTTGGTAGAGATTTTCGTGGATTGGTAGTCTCGGCTGCTGCTAGACCAACTAACTCAGTCCCTGCGAATGCAAAGGCAGCTGTGACGAAGACACTGCAAAGTCCTTTGAAACCATTGTGGAAGGCGCCTGGATCGTGCCAGTATTTGGCTCCAATGTAGCCTCCATTCACACCTCCTCCAATGTTAAGAACTATCCCGAGTAGACTATAAAAGTTAGCTTGAATTGAAAGCCCAAATTTCTTTCCTGCTTACATATATCCAATGATAGCAATAACCTTCATAATAGAGAAGGTAAATTCGGCCTCTCCATAACCCTTTACACCAAAAAGGTTGATGAATACTATCATGAACAGAAAAATTGTGACAAATATAGCTTTGTCGTATTTTCCCGTCAGGTCCCAAAAATTGATCGTGATAGTCGCTGCGATGATTTCGAGAGGTAGTACGACAAGCCATTGCATCGCGTAATTCTACTCCATATTAGTTACCATCCAAACATTCTTGCTTTAAAGCCTTACCCAACCCATCGCAAACCCCCAAGCCGGATCCAAAAACCTCGTCGAATACGCAGAAAAGCTCCCCGCAACCGGAAACAACACCGCCATTTCCCCAAGCGCATGCATAGTACAATAGAGCATCACCCCAATAAGCGAGAAGCAAATCAGCAAACTCGCCGGACCACCCGACTCGAGTGCTTTCCCAGACGCAACAAACAATCCCGTCCCAATCGAGCCCCCAATGGCAATCATCTGGAGATGCCTCCCCTTTAATTCCCTCGCCAGCGGTGAGTTCGCCGTCGCAAGCGCCGCATTCTCCGGATCGTAGACTCGTCCATTGCCACCTATCGCCCCGCGCGGGGTCACAGCCGCCGCAGGATCCCGTTTGAAACTCGATATCACTCGCTGGGGGACGCCTTGTTGGAGTTCAATGGCTTCTTCGTATCTGGGCCCGCTGCGAGCGCTGTATAGAGGCGAGGGATATGTGTCCTTGGAGTATTGACTGCTCTTCTCGCCATCGTTCATGGTTCCGGCCTTGGAGTCTTTGCGTTCGCCTCTACTTGAGGAAGGCGTCATGTTTCTGGAGAGTGCTAGAAGTCCTCAAAGACGTAAGAACACGCACTTTGTGGTTGGAAATTCGTTGATGATGGATGTAGGCTCGCAGTTGGTTACTCGAGTAGGCAGATCTGTATCAATAATTTCATGCGCCGTAAACTTCGTGGGCACATGTCAACCGGTAGACATGAAGAGCCTCGAAGGTTGGAATAGTATAAGATGGCGAAATACAGATAAACCAACCGCACAGAATTTTCCAGGCGAAAGAGGAGAGGAGAGATAGATTATGAGGGGATGACAAGATGACTACATTTGAGAGAGCATAGAATCTGGCATAGGCAAACCCGATCACGGCTGGGGATCCCCTTCTCTGGGCTGTTGGATCTGCAACTGCGCCTGCACATTCTGGGGTTTTCCGTACCGGCAAGGCCTATCATGCACTAAAAAAAATTGTACATGTGGATGTGACTGTAAAGTGACAGGGCCCAGGGGCCTTGCGCGCGTCGGGTCTGTCAACTTGAGTGGCTGCGGGGATTTCATGGATGGCAGAAATGGTTGCCTTGTGGGGTGTGAGTGGTGTGTGTGTACGCGGAGTGGCCTCCATCCATGTCCAGAAGCTTTATTGATCCAGCTTCATTGCGCGATGGCGATGGGATGGAGAAAGGAAAGGGATGATGGGACTTCAGATGACGATGGCGTAGTACTCCATATTGTACGTCTCAAGTTCCCGTCCCTCCGTCATCTAATCCTGTCGTGAACTCTACGATACCAAGGAATCGTACAGTACCAACTTTATTAATAAACCGGCATCTTGCTGCCAGTGCCACGTTGTGCAGCAGGAATCCTGGTTCGCGCAAACCAGGCCAAGGTCACGCCATCTTTCTTGACGACGAGCCGCCGCTGCCCTTTAAGAGTTTCATGATGCACTTGGATCAATCCCATCGAATTAATGATACTGTCTCTCTTATATGTATATAAATTCGAAAAGTACCGAGTACTTGTAGACTAATTTGATATATAGGCCAAGAGAAGAAGAAGATCAAGGGAAGAGGATCAAAAAAAAAGATCAAGAGAAAAAAGAAGAAAAGGGTCAAGAGAAACGACCAAGATAATAAGCTCCGACTTTTAATAATAAAAATACATAATCATAATAACCGGTTACCTATATACAACCCGCATCCCATCCATTGACTCATTATGAGCCACCAGTTTTGACGACCTCCACCGTCTTCGTCTCGACCTTGACCTTAGCGGGAGGATCGGGGATGATCTTCCCATCTTTATCTCGCTTCTTACGCTGCCATCCCGTCTTGAACATCTTGCCCAGCTTGAACCGCGGGAAGATGTGAGCTTCAGTGTTCATGACCACTTTATCTAATGGGATCAAGTCATTGGGTGAAAAGAGGAGGTAGAAATATTTCAAAGTTTCAGCCTATCGAATCGTCAGTATTTTGGGTCGCGGTAAGTTGTATGAAAGGAGAGAAGAACGTACCAGCCAAAAACTTTCCATATTATCCCTAAATGGAGGAGGAATGGCATCCGCGTTATCCAAACTTGTGAATCCACCGCCCTCGTCAACGGCAGTGTACTTGAGGAAAGCGTTGAACATCGCCCATCCCCATTCTCGGTACATCACATCACCTGTGATTCGCCACATATAGAACAAACTCTCGACCGTTTCTGGTCGTTGGAGGTTATGTCTATCAAGTCCCTTGATCAGGAAATCTTTCTTCCACTCTGCATCTGGCGAGTCGTCATCCATGTCAATGGTAGACTTGTGCGGTGTTGATGGAGGTGGTGGCGGCTCTTCCATATGAAAATGTGCAATCTCAGGTGCAAGTCCTGTCGCCATGACTTTGTACATTCCCCAGCAAGTTTGCATCAATTCACGAGCGAGTACCATTTCTTCATCCTTCTTGGTGCTCCACGTGGGGAGTTTGCGCGCTTCAGCTTCTGTTAATCCACCCGTAGCACCCAATGCGATGGTCCCAGGCATGAAACAAACAAGATGATCCATCTTTGGTGATAAAGGTTCATGTAAACCTTCAGGTCGTTCTGCAAGTACTGTAAATTTAGATGGTTTCGAGTAAGTGATGAGATGTTTTCGAACACCAGCCAAAGATTCATCCCACAGCTCCTCGTATATGGGCTCTTCTTTCGATGTTTGAAGATACTGCTTGATGAGATACTCATAGTAAGAGTCCCCTCGGCTACCAAGTCTGATGTTCTCTCCACGAAATGTGCCATCATTAGCATAAATGTAAATTGGGACAAGTCCACCCTCTCGACCATTATTATCGATCACTTTGATGACGTGTTCTGCCTTTTCCCAGTACAATGTCTCGCCGGTAAGTTTGGTGAGATATTTGAGTTCAAGTTGCAGGGTAGCTGCCTCTGCAGTTGAAGAAGCGCCTGCATCAGCGTGCGACTCGACACCTTTGAATGTCTTCAAATTGACACTGGCGTAAGGGACACCTGATGGAGATTCAAAAGCACCCATCAGGCGATCAGCCAAATCCTTAGCTTTTTCCAGGTATAGATCTTCACCAGCTGCGCCTTCATCGTCATCTGTTAATGGTGCCAAATCTGGAAATGCAGTGGATAAATAATGGGCAGACAAAAGCCCTCCCAGCATTCGAATGGTCGTCTCAAAGGTATTAACCTCTTGATCCTGCTCGTAATCCAACGAGGTTTTCATCCATTCTCGAGCATGGGTAAGTCGACTAGTCAAGTTCATCAACATCATCGTATCCAGCGCATCCACAATAATCCACCCCATCCCCTTAGGCGTCATCTGCCTCCCATTCTTCGAAACCGGATGAAATTCATCATATCCCCACGCATACCGTTCATATGCATCCCAACTCAGCTTAAACGCATCCGTAACCCTATCCCTGCGATCATTCCAGTCGATTTGACCCACCTTTTCAGGCCGCTGTAACCATTTCCAGGTCTCCTTTGCCTTCTCCGTCGTATTCTCGTCATCCCCAAAATACCCCAGAAAGTACAGCAAACCGAGGAACAAGAACCCTCCAAATCCAAATGTCCTCTTCCGTTTCCATATCGATCGCTGCCGCCGCGAGGCTACATACGAGTACGGTTTGTCCTTATACATCGGTAGATCCCTCGACTGACCCAGAAGTCCACCCACACGACCCTGGATCCCCCCAATGACACCCCCATTACCCGCAGCCCCCGATCGCGCCGTCACGCCCGAGGATCCCCAGACCCTATTTTCGAGTTCGCGCTGCGGGTTCGTGAAGGAGGGGACATTCTTGGGGACGGAAAAGGTCGACATGTCCTCGATGGCTTGCTTGCCGCTTTCGTATGCCTGGGTGCCAGCCTCGACGACTTTCTGCGTGACTTCGGTGGCGGCTCTGGTTGCTGTCCCTTTGAGGATGTGGTAGGCGGGCGAGCGATGTAAGCTAAATGGGTCGCGGAGGGCGTTCATGGACGCCGCTAGATCATAGCCGAGATGAATGGCAAAAATACATAAGGGCGTAAAGGAGCGACAAATGGGTTCTGTTAGTAGTGTGCAACTGCAACGTGAGTCTGAGAGCTGAGGAATTCGCTACGGCTACCAGTATTCGTATTTACTTACAACACGCTGTCCTCGAGCCTTGTAGCCTTGGCGCTGGGAGCTGGCGCCTGATTCGCTGATTCCCTCGGAGTTTTTAAGGGGTTCGCAGCCTTGTCGGTAGTGGAATGCAGTACAGTCTCGCGGTGGAAAAGAAAAGTGGCAGATATGCCTTTTCGATATATTAGCGTATTTTAATTTCAATCTTACAACTGTTCCGAATATCCTAGGAGAATGACTTAATTACATGAGGTTATTGAATGAATCGTTCTTCTTGTTCGAAAAAAGGAAAACTTCGGAATGGTTTAAATCAAGTTACGCTAGTGAAAAGGAATGTCTTCGACTTGGCAGTGTAACACTATTTCAATTGACCAATGGCCTCACAAGCCTCAAAGTAATTATCAGAACGTCCGAGAATAGGATCTTCATAAATCATTCAATAACATAAACACATCTACTCTACATCACTCCTCCAATATCTTCAAAGTCCTCTCAAAAGCAGCTTTGACCTGCGGACTTCTCTCCACGTTTCTTCCCTCAACAATCACACTCCTAATCTTCTGCTTCAACTCCTCTCTCCCCTCCTTGGCCTTCCCAAATACATCACCAACCAAAGCCTTCGCAATCGTCTCCGCAGCTTCGCCTTTCTTCGTTCTCATGGTTTCGGTGCCTGAGCCACTTGCGATATCTAGTAAGGAGAGGAAGCCAAATGCGAGCTCGTAGTTGTTGGTTTCTGAAGCAGAGGTTGCTTTGGATAGTCCTTCGAATAGGGCTTTGCTGCGTTCGTAGATTGCCAGTCTAGTAGCGGTCGTGATTTTTGTAGAGGAGGTAACCTTCTTAGATATCTCTAAGAGTTTGTGTAGGTGTGTATTGGGGGCGAGTTTGACATTGACTGCACGATAGAAGGCCGAGATACCATTGGCCATCAACGCTCCATCGGAACTATCTTTCTTGGAGTCATCATCGGTATCCATCTTGTCCTCGTTTGTAATGTCCTCCAGAAAAGGCCCGATGATGCTGTAAACATCATCGAACATATCAATATCAATTCGAACCTCGCTGTACTTTCCTAGGCTGTCAAAGGTATGCGGCCGATATGTCTCGTTGTTACGTTTCGCCTCTCGAATCGCAATCTTCTTCATCTGGGCTGCTATGGCTGAGTCATTTTCCCACAACGACTTTCCGTCTTTGGCTAGTTTGACAAATGCTTCGAGGACAATTTCTTTGCCATCAAATGTTTTGAGAGCAAGCGCCTTTTCGAGAGCAGGCCAGATAGCTACTGAGTTCACGTTGCTTATATCAGACCCTGAACATGTAACAACATCAGCAATCGCGAGAGCTGCAGTATGCTTGATTGTCCATTTAGGAGAGTCCAGGTTTTCAACAGCCAATGCATTGATTTCCTTCGAGTACAGAAGTACTGCACGGGAGCCGCCGACATTTTCGTCCCAGGTCTTTTCGAACTGTTTCTTGACATGTGCATCAAAATCGTGTTTCGCGAAGAAGATGAATGGCAGGAAGGCGGCAGCGAATTCATTGAATCTATCAGTAGCAAACTTCGAGACCGAATAGATGATGTCTGCTGATATCTGCCGACGTACCTCATCTTCCGCGTCGAAGTATAACTTCTTGGAGTACGTTGAGAGTTTCGTTACACTGGCGGGAGTTGCAACACGTGCCAGGTAACCACAAGCTCTCGCATACCCCGAGCTGACGGCATTGTTCCGATCAAGGACTGCTTTTTCCATGACCTTCAAGAATGAATCTGCGTGTGGGCGGAAAACGAAAGTATGTCTGGTTGCAAGACTAACAAGCACCCCACTGCAACCGATCTTTGACGGCATGCCAATACTTGTCTTGATTGTGTTTTCGAGCCGTGGCACAAGCTCTTTCATTGTAGGCTCATCAAGGATATCAAGGCAACGCTCGATAGCTTCCATGATTGGAGATTGTGAGACCGCAGTAGTTCTCATATTATCGATTTTCTCCTCCGTCGTCTTGTAATGAGCCGCTCGCAGTCTCACATACTCGACACCTTCCCCTTCCATTGTACTCAAGAGACCAATCAGCTTCTCGACTAGATCCGGGATGAATGGTAGCAGTGCTTTTCCACCACTCTTTATAAGCTTCAATACTGTGACTGTCGCAAAGATTCTGACCTCTTCAGCTGAGCTTTCCATACCTTGCTCCGACAAAAGGAATGGTAGAACTTCTTTGAGCATCGATGAGGCTTTTGAGGAAGCTCCGACTTCAATTTGGCGAACAAGAATCCCAGTCAATGACATAGTCAGAGCCAGAGCAGCCTCTCTTACTGAAAGCTTGATGTCATCCAAGACCTTGAAGGTTTTGGACCAGATTTCACTCAAGTACTTCTCGTATTTTTCAAATTCTCTTCCTGACACAAGGTCGGCGATGGCTGCACAGCTCGCTTGTCTGGTGCGCCATTCTTTGGCAAGAATGCTAATGAGAAGTTCTTGTAGGATCTCTTCAAAATATAACTCTGTTGTTGTTGCAGAATCCTTTACCAAAGCATTCCAGATATCGTTCATGGAGCGTTGCACGTTGGGATTGGGGTCGAATTTATAGCGATACAGCTTCTTGATCAGGGCGGCATCGACAATAGACTCCTCTATCAGCATCTGAGATAGTCCAAATCTACCAAATGCAGCTCGAGTTGTCCAAGTTGCAGCGTTTTGTGCGAGGGCCATGAACTTGTAGACCAAACTAGGATTACCAAGCTCGTCTGCCAGAGAAACAATATCTTTGTATGAGGTTACCGACTTGTTGTCTCCGGTAGGCAAGGCGCCAGGCTCAAAGAGCTCTGTTTCTTCATCAACCTTTAACTGTGTACTGGTCCCAGTGAACGAGGCCATCAAATCGTTAACAAGTTGTTTTCGAAGTGCTGCATCACCTTGCTCATAGACCAAACTTAAGCCTCTAGAAGCGGTTTCCTGAACGAGATCATCTCGTGCGGACAATAGGCCCATAAATGCCGCTTGACATTCCCTCAAGCGTGATTGTACTTTGACGTGACCGCTATTATTTGAAACAACAGAAAAAAGCCAAATACCGGAGGCCTTCTTCAAAGAAGGCTTGGTGGTTTTACAATCCTTCAGCAATCGTGTAACGACAGATTCAATTGTGGCAGCACGCCCAGCTCGCCCTTTATAATCCGCATCCACGTCAAGACTAAGAAGCAAAGCTTCGGATTCCCAACAAGCACTGGCTGAACTGAGAGCTTCACCAACCGCGAAATGAACCTCGGCTTGCTTAAGCTCAGAAAGCGCGTATAGGGTGGTGAAGATGGAGGTTGTGAACTCGGAGTCTTCATCAAACACGAGCGCAAGACGACCAAGCCCTAATATTGCTCTTTCATTGCCTTTCTTCGCCTCAGCTGCTAACAGCTCAATCAGACCATCAGCTTTCAAAGATGACCCGCTGATTCCTTCAGCTGTCAAAATCCCAGATGCACTGATTTGTCCAACCGCATTGAGTACAACTTCCTTCGTAGATACGTCTCTTGTTTTGGAAAGTACCTCAAAAAGCAGGTTGATAACCTGCTGTACTAGAGCTCCATTGTGTGTGCCAAGACGCCCATAGAATGCAAATCGACTCAAGAGGTAGCCAAGGGCGAGAATGGCACCAGATACCTTGTTTAGTTCTGCACCTACAGCCGAAGACCAAGGCTTAACATCTTCAAGGAGCGATTCCACTAGTTTTTCGACAATTTGGCCTTTTGCCATAGGGTGAGAAGCCAAGATACCGAACGCCTGCGACGAAATTTCGCGAGTTGCGACGTTATTTGACTTGATAGATGGCAAAAGTTCGTTGGCTCGATTTGCGATTCTACCAACAGCACTGCTTGGTGACAACGCCAAAATATCGACAAGACATTTTCCACAATCGCCCAATCCATTTCCGTCATTTCGAAGCATGCCCTCTAGTGCCGCCGAAAGGTACACATCGAGGGCCGACTCGTCTATAGTTTTAATATGGGTTTTCATGATCTCGCGAGATCGCTTGTCGGACCGGAAAAGCACATCCAGTTGACGCTCCCAATCAGCGTCCACATCAAAAGCGATTTCGGATTTTTCCAAGGATCCCATGAGTAGCATACGCCGGCAGTAGCTAACAGCAGAAGGGAATGCGTTGATTTTGGGCCCAGAGAAGTTCCCGAAGACTGAGATATGATCGACCTCCATTCCACTTTTCATACTGTTTGATACGGTGGAGTTTTCCAAAATACTTTTCCCAGTAAAGAAAACCTTGACCGTCTCGTTCCAGTCGGGCAGCTTATATCCTGCTGATGCTGACGATGAGGTATTACTGAGCAAGGTATACCAATATGGATCCTTTGAGTGATTAGTGTTTTTCGGGATGGTGGTTTGGGTCTAAACATACCAGCCCTTTCTTGCCCTCTTCCATCACATCACCCCGCTCATCTTTGCGGCCTCCAAGAGCTAAGATATCTATCCATCGGCCTACTATGTCATCATATCCAAGGCACCTATTAGCCCATCGGACGGTTGAAAATCGAGCACTTCGAACATCTTCATCATCCGGGATTGTCATGTAATGCAATAGCAGCGAACGCAGTTCATATTTCAATTCATCGTCTAGTGGGGCTGCAAAATTGTTTAGTAGACTTGACAGAGCGCCTTCAATACTGACAAAGATAGTGCTGGAAGACTGGTCTTCTGTTAAAGATCTGAAAAGCCAGCGCACGAGGGACAAATCTTTGTGACGAGCGATGGAAGGTGTAGTTTTCGCAAGGGATCCCATAGTTTCGTAAGCCAGCGCTCGTAGAGCAGCGACTTCGGTGTCCGACTTTTCGTGAGGAATTGGCCATCCCTGGTCCTCGATATAGTTGCGCAAAAAGCCAACAAGTTGAGGTGCAACCTGAGCAATGTTTTCAGGCGAGGACATATGCGAAACCCAGTTCATATAGTTGAATAATGCATTTCGAAACTTTGTTGTTTCAAGGCCCTTGGCAGGAAGATTTGTATTGTCATCTGGCTGAATCGCTTGCTGTACAATGTTCACAATCTGCCGTGGAAAGGTTGTTGAAATGGCCGATTTCGTCAGTAGCACAAGTAGTCTTGTCTGGAGAGCGGGCTTTAGCGTGAAATAGGTTTGAAGCAAATTGCTGATCATTTCTGAGTCCTCGAGAGAAATCGCCGAACGCTTCAACATGTCATCACCAGCACCGGCAATACGAGAATTAGAATCTCCAGATGCAAACAATGCCGCCAGAAACCGTTCCTCGTCAGTGAAAGCACCGCTAGCCAAGAAAGCAAGAACTACAATTTTGGTCTGGGTAAGATTAAGACCCTCGTCAGACGAAGGATCCCAAGTTTCTTGTTTGCCGCTCAACGTGAGAAATTCGTACTCTTGAACAGTCAGGCCAGGGCAAGTAATTCCACTGGCATTGCTGCGTATAACTGTGAGAAGCATGAGCTTGCTGAACCAAAGGGCCGCAAATTGAGCGTCCTTGGTGTGTTTATCAAGACCAAGTTGCTGCCTTAATTCAAGGTCTTCTTTGCTTCCACGCAATGGGATCCGGAGCTGTGGTAGAAGACGAAGGAATAGGTTGAAGATAGTAGCACACGTAGGCTTTCCGGCATCTTCTGCAAGACCGTGAAGTAAGACAGGCAACAAATCCATTTGCTCCTGTAAAGTGCATTAGTATAGCAAGGTGGTCTTTGGGGAACAGATCGTTTGCCTTTGATGAGAGTTTGCCAACGCTCTGCTGTATGAACATGAGATCAAAGTGACGAATCATTGCAACACCCGGATTCTCTTTGTATTGAGTCAATAGTTTCGCAACTGGGAGGACAATGCTCCTATAAAAATAATTATTTTGTATTCATTGGATTTTGCATTGAAATTACCTACTGGTTGCCGGCCAGGCGGATTTTGATATGCTGGCATGTTGAAATGACCTTATTGCGTACCGATGCGTGTTCGCTGGCTAGTTTCAATAGTAGAGGCGACAAGTAAGTCGTAAGTAGCGGTTGTAGTTTGCTATCCTCAGCAAGGGCAATCCTCATCTCCACTTTCCCGCAGAGCTCGAGCTCCCGGGCTTCGGTGGCAGTAGCGGACATCTTGAGTGTGGTGTTGAAGGAGGTTCGTAAGATGGCGCATTACGGTTCGCTCTCAATCTGCGGAGAAGTTTGGAATTTCTTCTGAACCCTTGGTCACGCTTTAACTTGCTACTGTCAGCAAAATAGGCCCCAAGTATTATGACTTCAATCTCATAGTACCTCCCTATTGCGCGGCCGATTTGCCTGCAGGCTTGGTGTTCGAGTGACCCGACGGGTTCCAATTGCTGTTTCCTGCACGTGCCACAAGCTCACGTGGGCATCCGATTGCCTAGAGCTCAGGTCCCGTCCAGCTGGAGAGGGATCCGCTGTGCTTACTACGCGTAGTATAGGTAGCGTAGCTTATGCTTATCGGCTTGCGTTTGGCAGACTGGTGCACCCGTGGTGGATGAATCGTCATTTCACTTCTCACCCGACGCTTTCTTTTCACAACCACCTCACCCCTCACCCGCCAAACACGACACCACACAATGCTTGCATTCACCAGAGACGTCGGCCGCTCTTACTTCTGACCCTTTCATTTTCCATTCACCACACAAACAAGTTGGAAGTAGACTGAGGCATCAAGGTTCATCAGCCCTTCAAAAACATTGAGTCCACTGCCCCCCAGTCTCCGATCTCCCACCACCCCGCCAATCTACAACACATACCACCTCAACTTTTATCGTTTTCCAGACCTTGACCCGCTTCGTCTAGGAAGTAGAACAAGTTCCTGCGAGTACCAAGAACGCAACTGATTCCCAACATCGCAGCCATGGATTCAGACGCTGTGGATATGTTTGTGGCGGTTACTGGGAAGAGTCAAGCTGTGGCGAGACGGTATCTGGAAATGACCGAGAACAACGGAGAACAAGCAGTTGCACTATTCTTCGAATCTCCCGATCTGGCTGCTGGAGCAGACGAACCCTCGGCCCCTCCTGTTCCTTCAAATACACGACCGCAACCAGCCCCCGCAACTGGCCCGCGAAGCTCCAACCAAGTCATAGATCTCGATGATGAGGATGAAGATATGGAGGAAGTCGAGGAGGATGAGCAGGCTTCAGCCGCCGCAGCTATCGGTCAGGCAGCAGATTTCGAAGATGACGAAGCCATGGCTAGGAGATTGCAAGAGGAGTTCTACGCAGGCGGTGATGCAGCCGGAGGGTTTGATGCAGACGGCGTTCGGGCACCCATCGCAAGCACCAGAGAAACACTTATGGGACCTGATGCTGATTGGGGCTCTGAGGATATACACCAGGCAGTTCAATATCAGATGCAACGAAGATTAGCACGCGGACGTGGTGGTATGCTATACTAAAACCAAGAGTCCTCTGGTTTTGCTAACTTTTATTTATTGCAGGACGATCAGGTGTTTTCAATCAACAAAACGACCCCTCGATTTGGGATGATGCGGCCGCTGGTGGCAGCAGCAGTACTCCATCACAAGCCACTGCAGGTGAAACAGTTGATTCCAAAAGCGCCCGTCTTGCAAAATTATTTCGACCTCCTTTCGACCTTATGAAACAAATTCCATGGGATACTGCTCGGAATATGGGCAAAGAAGAGAAGAAGTGGATCATGGTCAATATTCAAGACCCGTCAATTTTTGACTGTCAATTGCTCAATCGCGATATATGGGCAAATCAGGGTATCAATGAGCTCGTCCGGGAAAACTTTGTCTTTCTACAGTATTCCAAGGACGACCCCCGAGCAAATCAATACCTGCAATACTATTTCCCGGGTCATGAAAGCCCAGATTCATATCCACACATTTCCATCATCGATCCACGAACGGGAGAGAAGATGAAGACCTGGTCTGGACCGAAGAAGCTTGATCCTGTCGAGTTCCTTATGCAGCTCGTGGAGTTCTTGGATCGTTACAGTCTCGACCCGTCGATCAAGAATCCAGTCGCGAAGCACAAGCCAGAAAAGCCAAAAGCATTTGATGTTGGGCGACTTACAGAGCAAGAGATGCTTGATCTGGCTTTAGAAAACAGTCTTTCGACTGGTTCATCATCTGGACCGAAGGAACACGACCCTGATGATCTTACCAAGAGTTTCGGAGATGTAGGTAAGGGCAAAGGCAGAGAAGGCGATGCCACAGAGGCTTCAAACGGGCAGGTGGATGAGTCGGAAATGGCAGCGCCGTCCACTTATTCACGCATCTTGTCGGATAGACCTCACGTAGAGCCAGAACAAGGCCCTGGTGTTACCCGCATTCAGTTCAGACATGCCAATGGAAGAGTTATACGAAAGTTCAAGGTTGACGACCCCGTGAGCCGACTGTATGAATGGCTCAAGGCCGATCCATTGGAGGGAAAGAAGGGCATCGCTTTCGACTTGCGAATGATGGGAAAGGACTTGAGCGAGGTGTTGGAGGAAACCATCGCGGCCGCTGGTCTCAAGAACGGGACGGTAATGGTGGAATATCTGGAGGAATAAACTGGGATTCGGGACTTTCAGCATTCTGCATCATATACGGCATCATATCGTGGCGTTGGTGCTACATATTCAGCTTTCTGTTGAATGCATCTCTCTTTTGTCACGTCCTTATCGTGGTTCTCGGCGCTGGATCTACATCCTCAGTAGCATAGATGGCAGGCTTGTCACTACATTCAAGCGTAGATGGCAATGAATGAATGAATCAATAATAATATACCAAGTAATTTGCACCAGCACACACGTTGATGAATCTCAGTGGTGAAGATGGTTTATTCTTCATACAGAGTTGCCTGAGTTGTATTTTAATAAGAATAATCTTCATATCCACATCGGGTAAACAGCATGAGGCGAATTACTGCCACTTTTGACGTCCACTTCTGTCTGCGTATTACTCTATTATGCTTCTTCCGTATGGAGTTTTTGAATGGTTTCCGAGGAACTTATTCACCAAATTAAGTTTGAGGAAGTTGACGATTACGTAGGGCAAGCCTTTCTGATTGGCAGGAGATTTTTCGTCCAATGAAGTTGGAGAGCGCTAGGGTGGTGTTTACGATACCCCTGAGCTTAAGCCCAACTTGGGCAAAGCATTGGATGGGAGGGGCAGCATGAGGAAATGACAACAAACATGAATCCCATGTTGATTGAGAAACTCAAAGCAAATGTGTCGATGGTGGAAATCAATGGCTCATGACTGTTATGTTTCTGGTGAAGGACAAATACTGTGACTGTACCAAATCCAGGAGTTCTAACTGCACTGGACGGTGTCTTAACTGTGACCTGCGATCGGCCAGTGGATTACGCCTTCCCCAGATATTGATGAAACAGGGAGCTCGTTCCTGCTTCCCCCTTCCCCTTCCCTTATCCCACACTGCCACTGCGCTGGGCTGCTGAGCAACGGCATTGTTGTGTTGCAACCCTTTCACCCAAGAAGGCCCCTCTAGAAAAAAAATAGACAATTCATGAACTCTCCAGAATCGCAGGAATCACTCCACCACTCCACTCGCAAGCATAAACATAAGTATTCCATATCGTATTCTGTCGCTACTCTACATGCTAGCCTAGCCACTGCCACTGCCACTGGCCTCACTTCCAATTCTGACCCCGCGATTACGTTGACACCGCCCGCACCTCCCTCGGCTTCTGCATTCACGGACAAGACTCGGTCGGCCAAAAAAATAGGGTGTTGATATCAGAAACTAACACAGCAACAACTTCTACCAACTCCCTCTCAGGCATTGAGCCGCGCCTTGCACCCCAATTCCAACCGATTGCCTTCTGTCGTTGCGGTCGCAGTAGTGTGCACCTGTCCGAATTACTGGGAGCCTCTTTACAGGCTACCTGGGACCTCTGCACGCCCCGAAAACCGAACATCCATCCTGAAGCTCTGGTACATCGCGTCGGCACATCTTGATTTGGCAAGATGGCAAGTGGAGGTGGCATGATGAGTGGGGTGGTCGATCCAGAGACGTTATACACAAAGCAGAACTGCATTGGTATGCTTTCACCAACTGACCGACATGTTATATTATTGTGTAGCATGACTGACTTGCACATCAGGTGGTGGCAGTTTTGGCAAGGTCTACAAAGGGTGAGTTACTCCTAGACACAAGTCAACATGATTTCAAATGCTGACCAGTCACCATCTAGAGTGGACAAGCGCAATGGGCAAGCTGTGGCTATCAAGGTTATCGACGTTGAGAATGCTGAAGATGAGGTTGAGGATATCATACAGGAAATTTCGATTTTGTCCGAACTCCACTCCCCATATGTCACACACTATCACGGGTCATATTTGAAAGGTTCCGATCTATGGATCGTCATGGAGTTCTGCTCGGGTGGCAGTTGTGGAGACTTGATGAAGCCAGGTTTAATTTCAGAAGAGTACATTTCGATCATCATTCGAGAATTGCTCCTAGGTCTGGATTATCTGCATGGTGATAAGAAGCTTCACAGAGATATCAAGGGTAAGTCAATGTTACAGTTCATAGAGGAATAGGAACTGACATGTTCCAGCTGCCAATGTCCTGCTCGGAGCGAATGGCCAGGTGAAGTTGGCTGATTTTGGTGTCTCTGGACAACTCTCAGCAACGATGACGAAGAAGAATACGTTTGTGGGTACACCGTTCTGGATGGCACCCGAGGTAATTAAACAATCTGGTTATGATCACAAGGCAGATATCTGGTCCCTAGGGATCACGGCGCTTGAGTTGGCAAACGGGGAGCCACCATATTCAGACATTCATCCCATGAAAGTTTTATTTTTGATACCCAAGAATCCTCCACCAGAACTGGAAGGAAACTTTACCAAGGCTTTCAAGGAATTCGTCGAGTTGTGTCTGCAAAAGGACCCAAGAAAGCGACCTTCTGCAAAGGAATTATTGAAGCACCCCTTTGTGCGAAAAGCCAAAAAGACTTCCTATCTCACTGAACTGATTGAACGATTTGAGCGCTGGGCTGTACACCACAAGGGGGATTCCGATGATTCTGACGATGGTCGGGACGAGGCTCCAAGACCGGCACCTGCGAATGAAGATCTCTGGGATTTCGGTACCGTTCGCCCTGCCGGGGGAGTTAGAGTAGGTGCTGGTAGAAACGGTCTAAACAATATGGGAGAATCTGCCACCAACGCCAGATCCTCCAAAACCTCGGAAAGCGACGGTAATTATGCGGAGCGACCTCGAAGCGTATCGCCGACCAAGTTAAAGACCGCTGGTTATATTCCTACTATTGATACTGTTAAAGCAATGAACTCACCCAATATTGAACAGCCTCGTCAATACTCACCACAATACTCACCACAGAGAAGTTATTTTCCAAGTGTCCAGCCATCGCCCTCAAAGGTTCCTCTGCCTCCCTCTCCTGAGAAACACCGCCTGGCAGCACCAGATACACCAAAACCCAATCAATATTATCAACCTCAACAAGACTCGCCAGACTATGACCGAACATTGCAGGAGCAGCTTCAAAAGGAGATGAGCTATCTGAACATGACAGGCACACCGTCACCTCAGCCACCCAGATCACCTCAGCCACCCAGATCACCTCAGCCACCTAGATCACCTTTGAACCACGCACCTATGCCGTATCTCGCTCAGCCTGTAGCTTACCCAAGGCCTTCATCACAGCAACCATTACCAAAGCCTGGTCCCATTACACTACCTGAGATTCCGCCCTTTCGAGGAAGTCAGCCACTTCAGCAGGTCACTAATCAACTGAATCCAGTTACACCAAAGCAGCAAGCTGCGAACTATGGACAACCATTCGCTTCTCAAAATATCAACCCACGTTCCATGCTTAGGGCCCAGCCACTTCCAGCATTACCGTCTAAGCAGCGTGACTGTACTCCTTCTAGAGACAGTCTAGCTTCCGATTCAACATATACGCCTTCCACCATGCCTTCTCCAGTACCAAGCCCCACCGGTGAACTCGATGCATTGAATGATGTCATCTTCCCTGCTCTGGAGGGTGCATTGAAGCGACGACAAGTCAGTCTCCAACAAGCCTTTGGTAAGAGCGGCACCACCCCAAAACAACAAAGAGCACAGGCTGCACATGACAAGATTCGAGAGTTGGTGATCAGATTGGCCCACACCTGTAAACAAATTGATCATTGGGACAAGCAGGAGCCTGTAGGCATGGAGAACGGTGTTGATATCTTCCTTGAAGGTTTACTGGAGGAGATATTGGTTCGAGTTGAGCCTGGTGATGATGAGCCGAACGATGGACGATAAATTCTTGATGGAACGACTAGGACTAATGATACGAAGGAATGGAAAAAACACAGGAGGCTCCTTTTCTCTTCTCGTGAGGGGAAGATGGGACGGACAGGATGGGTGGGTCGGCTTGGGTTGGGATGGGATGGGAAAGCGCGGTTCATTGACAATCAATCATTGGGTTGGGAGGAGTTTAATTCTGAGCAAAGCAGAGCATTCATGGATGATGATGATGTAAATACCCTAGAGATTGGTTTGCGAGGCTTGTGATTCATTAGTTCTTTTTTTTCTTCTTCTCTTTTCTCCTCCCCACCTTTTTTGCGGTGGAAGGGCAGAAGAAGAAAAGATATTGTTTTAGTATTATTAATTGAGGTCTGGAGTTTGGTTCTTATGATCCTTTTTGGGTTGTCTTTTTGGGTGATGTGATACGATGTAATATTTGGTTTCTAGTGGTGTATCGAGTATTGGGAAACTTGGAGAAGGACTTCTTTGCTTTGAGCGCAATGCAGTCTGTATATAGCCTAGGGAAGGGGTTCTTTTGAGTGTTTTGGATGGTGGTTTGTGGTAGATGGTGGGTGGTAGTATTGTAGCGGGTATATGTTCTTTCTTCTTTTATTTTCCTAGCGAGTGGGGGGGGCCAGGGGGGCGTGGGGGTGGAGGTTGATATCCTGAGTTGTGGAATTTCTTTTTGGGGTTTAATCTCGACTACTTACTGGTGTGAGCCTGTGGGGAATTTATGGATTGAGGTATGAGGGTGAGGTGTGGAGAGTGAGGTACTGGAAGATAGTGGGTGTCATGAGGATTGTGGTGGATGGTATGGTATGGTATGGTGTTATTGGAGATGATGGGAGGATGGAGGTGGAGGGGGAGTAGGAGGGGGAAGTGGGGAGGTGAAGGGGTCTTGATGGGTGTGGTGTGGGATGTGGAAGTGGGATGTGGGATGTGGTGGATGGAGGGAGGGAGGGATGGAGGAAGGGGTAGCAGACAACCGACCCCCTTTTCGTGTGGTCGGCTAATTTCTTCCTAACGTCGCTTCACATTTTAGAAATCTAACAATTATTGTTAGCATTGATTTAACACAAATATCTTGCTTTTGTTATTTAAATTGTTGTTGAGCTGTTACAGAGTTAGAAACAAGGGCACAGAACCACTAGTTTTATTACCAAACAGGAAGGGCTAAGAATTGAGGTAGCGAGGTGTCATTTTCAGGCAAACAGGCCAGTTCGTTACTATACCTCAGTTCCCAGCTCAACCATATTAGACAGCAGGTCAACTAAGCAGAAGACCTGTACCCCCCGCCTCCCCTCACGCAAAAATAACTAGCTCATTCCCTACTCCTCTGTTTCTTTCTTGTCCACCACCACAACATCTGCCAACAACCTCATCAACCACCAGCAGCACGCGACCACCATGGCTGAAACACCTTCTAGCGCATCATTTGCGCAAGATAAGGATCTATCCCTAGTTTATCAGCTCTTAGAGGTATGCCCATCTTTGGGTCCCAAAGACGCAAGAGCTATCCTTGACGCGACAGACTGGGAACTCAACGAGGCTGCTGTCCTTGCACTTGGGTACCCCAACGGAGGCAATCTTGGCCGAGGCGCTATTGGTATGATCTCTGCTTCTTCCTAAAACATTGGATACTGACATTATTCCTTCGAAGCTCTCACGACGAGTCCAGAGCCTCAAGATAACCCCGACAAGGAGAATCAGTCCACTGGTAACATCACCAGTCAAGCCATCAACTCTAGTATGTGTTCCCTTCCCATTCACAGATTATCTTTGATGTCAATTGCTGATCCATTAGATATCTTTGCCGCATATGGTAGTAACACTCGTCCTGAAGGAGCCTCCGGAGAGGTACGTCCTCATATATGTAAGCCAAATCTCCCGATGTACTCTGCGTAACAATTCGCAACAAGCTAGTTCTAACAATTTTCAGCACCACCACTCTTTATCATCGCTGAAGACCCATATGATGGAGACTCAGGCGTCCAAGGAAAGGTCAAATATTTGGAGTCGCTCTACCCTCAGTTCTTGCAAAGTTTACTACTCGATATTTTTGGAGGGAACGTAAAAGAAATGGTGCATCATTTTGATGGACTGTTGGGAATTCAGCGCGATTCAATTGATGGGAAAGAAGCGTCCACGCCAGAAAAGAGAGTTCCTGAGGAAAAGAAAGGTAAAAAGAGGGATTTGGTCGAAATGGTAAGCTACATCTGTCATGGTTTCGTGTGTTTCAGCATGCTGATTCCCGTTAGAAAGAGAATGAACCTACGCAAGGCGAAGCTTCTTCCAAGAAGCCAAAGACTGAGAAACTTCATGACCTAGCTGCAGAGTGGATTCGGTATGCTGCACTACCATTTCGTCCTCTCAACTCACTAATTCTCTTCTCAGAAACAATCTCAGAGGTCAATCTACGGGTGCTATCATCGTTTTCAAGAGCGGACAAGTACATGAAGTCAAATTTCACCCCTCGTTCTTCGCACGCCTACCAGGTCTTAACACAATATACATCAAAGCTCTCACTGCATTTCGCGACACAAACCCGGACAACAAAGACGAGAATCCTGATATCCAACTCACAATGCCCGACTATCTGAGTATCGAGGCATTTGATCTCCTCATCTATTAGTGTGCCACCCACCTGTCGCGAAACACCCTGTCCGACGTCCTATTGGCCTGCCCTGCGGACAAACAACTAGACATTCTTCTTGAAGCCGCCCTTTTCGGCGAATCAGTCAGCTCGGCTTTTGGATGGTCTACCTCTTTGCCTAACACCATTCGTGAGATCCTCAGTGATTCTCGAGAATCTTTACGATGCCGACATCTCGAGATCGCTTTCTCCGCCACCTCCCCCCTCACAGATCCCGACCAGAAGGTTCTGGTCGAAGCCTGCTTTCGTGGGTTTTTGAAACATAGAAATGGGACTGGTGTAGGGGAGTGGAAGTTTGATAGTATGATGGAGAATATTGGGTTTAAGGAAATGCTACTAGAGGTTTTCACGGGGGCTTGGTGGGCAAGACATGAGGAGTTGAATGTTATTATGGATCCGTTGGATAGCAGTGAACTTAGTGTTTAGTGACTTTGAGCGAATTACATAAGATTGGCCCTAATGCCCTTATCATACATCCGCATTTATGTCCTGTTGAAAGGACTATAGGTGGATCACATGGATGGATTAAAGTGAGACTAGAATATATAATTGAAACAACATAAGTGAGTACAATAGATAAGTGTAGGAAGTGTCTTGATTCTATCTATCGGAGCAGGTACGCTCGTATATAGACAAAATCCCCCTAACTAATACTGGTAGATATAGCCGTCTAAAGCTTGGTACGTGTAAGAGAGGCGGGCATTACTCTATATACACCTAAGTTATAAAAGTATTATTCTAAAGACCTTATATAACTAAATGTTGTGCTGGGTCTACTTTCTCTTTTGCTCCACTTCCTTATTTGATCCACTTATAGTTCTGCTGCCTAAATGCTTCATGTCTGCCTAAACCTTACACTCTTTATATAAACACCTTAGATAGCTACCTTTTACAATGCAATCAATTCTCCATGACCTTCAGTACCCAATACTCTTTCAACCCAATACTAAATTAATCATACGAATAGTTTAGAATAATTACTACTTTTTACTCCTAACTAACCTAGGTAAAATAGAATAATTAATTTACTTAAACCAGACTTTTAGTATAATGACTTTTGATAGTATATATAGAGCAATACTCGCCTCTCTTCACGCATAATTCTAACTAATGAAACAAGTAAACCTGTAAAGCTCATAATAAACTAAACAACCATATTCACTGATTCGGCTATTTCAGCTTATTCAGCTAAGCGACGATATCAATAATTTCATCAAGTCCATTATGCACAACTACTCAAGCAAAAAATAATCGATAGGTAAGACTAAGGTAAGAGTCGATATATGGTCTTTGTTTTCATTTTAGGAGATATTTCAGGCAAATTGCGAGGATGTTTCATTACTTCAAGTCACCGACGGCCAATGTGACTGTACACAACTATTAGTGGTTGTGCAGGGTTTCTGAGCTACCCCACCTACCAACACTCGGCCAACATCCTTCGCTCTGCTTGTGTCATTGTATTCTGCAACATCAAATAAAAAATTGCACAAGCTCACCGCTCACCACTCATCTCAAGAAATTTTACAAGTCAAATAGCAACAATGCGTGTTGATACTGCCTCAAAAATGCAGCGAATTGATGCACAGGTGCTTATTCCAGGACGTGGTTCTCCAATCACCAATGGCACACTCATCTTTTGCGAGAAGAAGATCACCTTTGTAGGCGAGAAAAGCAAACTACCGACCAAATATCAAGAGATATCTCCAATCGAAGTTCCTATCCTCATGCCCGGCTTATGGGATTGTCATGTGCATCTCTGTGGATCGGCAAGATACAGTTTAGGTGATGTCGCTTCGACTCATATGGTCGTCGCTGGCGCTCGCTGTGCTCGAGAAGTCGTTGCGATGCTCAATGCAGGGTTTACCTCTGTCAGAGAACTGGCAAGCTATGGTGTCCAACTCGCTACAGTAATCGATGAGGGTTGGCTGCCTGGCCCAAACATATATTCGTCAGTGAGCATACTAAGCACTACATCTGGTCATGGTAATGTCCGTGGAATTCCTCTTGATGTCTTATGGCGCAAGATAGAGAATGGTACTCCATTATACCTATGCGATGGTGTCAACGAATGCATTAAGGGCGTACGAGTTCAAATTCGCAAAGGAGCCAAAGTTATTAAACTCGCTGCTAGCGGGGGTATTGTAAGAGAGGGGGATGATGTTTTTGCACAACAATTCAGCGACAAGGAATTGGCTGCCATCGTTGACGAGGCAAGCCGGAATAACCTTCTTGTTGCAGCCCATTGTCATGCCAACAAGGCCATTCTGGCTGCAATAAAGGCTGGTTGTCGGACAATTGAGCACGCGACACTTATAGAAGATGATGCAATCCAACTGATGGTTGAGAAAGACGTGCTATTAATTGCGACACGCGGTATTGTTAAATTTGGGGCTGAACAACCCGAAATGTGATCACCAGAGCAGTACGCGAACATTGTAAGATCAACAAGCAACACGCAGAAGGATACCGCAAGGCTGTAAAGGCAGGTGTTCGTATAGCTATTGGTACCGATATGCTTTTGAATTCCTTCAAGCTGCCATGGGGCTACGGGATGAATGGCGTGGAGTTGAAATCCGCGGTTGAAGCTGGAATGACACCACTACAAGCCATCGAGGCAGCAACGGCCAACGGACCTGCGAGTCTAGGTCCAAAGGCGGTGAATTCGGGTTTGCTGAAAGAAGGATTTGACGCAGATTTCATTGGGCTTGACAAAAATCCCCTCGAAGACATTGAAATACTTGGCGATGCAAAAAACATAATTCATGTTTGGAAAGGGGGTAAATTGTTCAAGACCAATGGACAGCCAATTGGTTTTCTGAATTGAGGGAGAATAAATATAGCAAAGTACTCATCGGCTTAAAGTTTAGTCCTTAGTCATGAAACTCATTTCCCGAGATTTTATATATAGTAGAGCATGGTCTATCCATTTACATTTTTCCAACTCTTACTATTGTCTGAAGACATGTATGACCCAAGCGCCAGAAACGCCAAGTATATATCCACCATAACTGAATCGCTTTTTTAAGAGATCTTTATTCGCTAGAGAAAGTCATGGTCTTCTCCTTCAGATGACTCGAAGTATATCATATTTGAGTGAAGGACAGCGAATGACCTATATTATCTTCGATTTTAAGGTTGTATACTGTTATTATACTACTTCAATTATGGGTAGTAGGCTGTTTAAATATCCTTTTGAGTATTTAATGCTGGTGATCGTTTCATAGCCGCTACACAAGCATTTGCGCGACCCTACCACTATAAACTAATAATCCGGTCATTAAGTATAGCCCCTTGTTTTCGGTTGGCTTTTGAAGGCAGCGTACATCTCTATGTTGGCCTGGAGACTGTTGTAGAGGAGAATATTGGAAGTTACTCGGACACCTTATAGAGCCATCGACTACATTCTCTCTAAACGATCTCGCTTCTTCAACGATATTTTTGTTAAGAAAATTCTTCATTGATCTTTGTTGATCTCAATGCCGTCCCTGATCAGCTTCTTTTGCCACTCGCCACTCTTTGACCCTATGTTGCTTCATCTTGACGGGTTCAGCATTACAGCTTGTGCGCTCTTGACAAACATTTACGGTGGACCTGGCGGACTCCTCCGGTGACTTCTCTACTTTGCCCTCGTCATAAATTAATTATTATTCGTCATGAGACTACCATTATGTAATGAAAATGGGGAACTATGATAATTATTGGAGCAGATTATGGCGATAGATATGATTAGCTGATAGTGCGAGCGGGTAGCAATGGTGGGCCTGTTTTGATAGATCATTGCAAGATGTCCAAATTGAAAAGTTATGCAATGTTCCCTACCGAGCAGGACTTCATACGACGTGCATGAATGTAACTTTGGTGCTCGTATTCTTTACTGTACCATTGGGAAATGGCGGTGCCGCACAGGAACATCATCGAAGTAAGCAGTCAAGATAATAGGGAGGCAACTCAACTAACTATTATCGACCGATCAAAGGTTTCGATTCATGTGGGCGACGTGTATTTTGCCTCTACTCACACTAGAGTAAGCATCAGAGTACTTGTCAACTACGATGTCAAAACCCGAAAGTTCAGAATGGCTGCTTGGGGATGAATCCGTTGATACAAAGCCCACATACTCAAAGGTTGAAGGAAGAGCACTTTCGAACTTCATCATAGGGGCAAGTTTAATTATTCTTACAGTATTGAATATTACCCAATACTGGAGGTCAATTACAGCGCCTAATCCTTCTCAGATTGTTTATAGTAAGCTCCCTATGATCTCCTGAACAAATGTTTCTAAATTATGAAGGCCCTGTACAGCATTTGTTGAGCTACGAGTTACGGGAATTTGGGACAGGCAAACCTGGCGATCCATCACCATATTTTGGCGAGCCATCTACTAAACTTGACAGAGCATGGCGAGATTTATATCCAAGTATGATTCCCAAAGTCAAATGATACAAGATTAACAGTACTGTAGGTGTTTATCAACTTATTCCAAAGGAATCAGCGGCTCAGCTTGTGGAGAAAACACTCATTTTCCCACACGACCCTCAACGGCGATACGTCGTCGAGTTAGAGGTGTTTCATTTGATCCATTGCTTGGTAAGTTACAAGTTTCCGTTCGTTTGATGAGTCTAGCGGTAATAATTTCTACCTCACCAGAACATGATTCGCAAATCCACTCGTCCAGACTACTACAAGGGATTCGCACCAGGAATCGTAAACAGCCACACTGAAGACCTTCTTTTCGGTCCAGAACATGTCAGCCACTGCATAGAATCAATTCGACAAGCAATTATGTGCCATGTAGATGTCACTCCGTATACTTGGATCTGGAACTCTACGTCAGGGCATATGCAGAATGTTTTCGCAACACCACATACGTGTAGGAATTTTGATGCAATCAGAGACTGGGCAAGGCCGGAAAACAATGGAGGGAATGTCTCCGCGGGCTTTGATGGTCTCTATAGGGAAATGAATGATCCACTAGATAAGAGTACTTGGATAAACGGATACAGAGGGGACTGATCAGTTCGTTTTCCGGCTTTACTGAGCATAATATCTGTATCTGAAATTCGCGAATCCATAATCTTTCAATCATCACCGTTCGCTAGGAATCTGAGAAAGGGGCAATAATGTGACCCATCAGCCTTTGCTTCTTCGCCAATGACGTGATTACTTGACAATCAACTTCTCGCATTGTAAAAGGGTGCAAGTAGACTTTCAGACCATCTATGTACACGGATTCCTCCTCAAAGTGTTAGTTGTGATGAATGATTTCAAAGTACAGGAAACGTACCGCCCTGGTGCGCTCTTTGCACATTCCAATCATTGGTAGAAAATACGACGAGCTTACATCCATTCGCTTCTGTCTTCGGCGCTGGGCTTTCTCGGTACATTATTACTACTCTAGTACCCTTTCAAATTCAATTGGCATTCGGGACAATGCCTCGCTAGAATACATCCGTCAGAATCAACCATAAATACACAGATTATACACTCTGTATACTTCTGCTGGTGAAGAAATAAGTGATTTTCCTGTTACATGAATGTCACTTGGCGAAGCTTTCTTCTCTGTAATCCAGTACCACATTAACCTTGCTCACTTGTTCATCATAATTACCCAGCCGCGGAAAATCCGAATAGATGAACACTTTGTGGATTTCCCTGGCAAGATACTCATAAGCATGTAAGCCGCCAAGTAGATAAGATCCCCACCCCCAATGCTTCTTACCATTTTCGTGAAGGATATACAATGCGGGGAATGAATCCAGTTAAGACGCCCCGCGATCTTCAAGGATTCACGAACAATACGCATATATGTTCTTCAACCCGCCGTTGTTTTACATTGATAGCCTTGCTACGCTTACGCCCGGTCCTTGGCTTTCGAGCTAAGCGAGAGCTTGACCGCCTATATGCAATTGTTTCCATCCTATCAACTTGCCTTACTTGCATCACTCAGTACAGCACGTCAAGTCCGACTATAAATGGACTCTCGGACGTTTGAAAACACATCAATTCATAGGTCACCGTTCCGAGCATCTTCTTCTCAGATTATGCAGGCACGGTACACGCCGGAGAACCTCCCAGATCCGTCAATACACTTACTCAACATAAGAATCATCAAATATTTCTAAATCTAAGTAGCAAAGTGGGATAATTGAAATCTGCTGCCATCGATGCCCTTGAAGTGTTCAGCATAAATAGAGGCCAAATTCCCATCTTTTCGATCAAAACCAATTCTCTCCATCTCAGCGAATAAAAACATCTTCTACCTCTACTTGTCTTCGGCTTGTCAATCCACCATCAATCCTCATAAAAAAAACATGAAATCATTCAACTCCATTTTCCTCTCCGCACTTCTCGCCACCAATGTCATCGGTGCACCACTTCAAGTTCGCGACGAAGCTGTAGTTGACGCTACACTAGAAGAGAACGCCGTCGACGTGCCTACATTTGACTGCTGCGCTGGGTGGATAAAGGAACGGGATGCTACAGCTATCAAGGAGGCCAGGGAGGAGGAGAATGCCCTTGACGATTTGGTTGGCACTGTGAGCATTGAAGGGTCACCTGTATGGTTGAAAACAAGGGAGGCTGAAGGAGCGGCTTCTGTCTAGATCAGGTGATCTAGCAGCAACCCAGGATGGTGAAGTTCTATCATTTATTGATTGACTTTGGATTTGCTTCAATGTATGAGGGGATGGTTTATGGTGGCTTGCCTTGGTTTTGTTGAGCATAGGTTCACAATTACCGAAGTTAATCACGGACATTACTGTAGCCGATGACTGAAGTGCGAGCCTCAAGTACAGTTCAACACAAAGAGACCTCGTTTTTACCAGATTCCTTTGCACTTCTTATTCCGGATTCTCAATCGAATTCAAGCATACTACCAAACTGTGTATTCTTTATGGTGATGCAAAAGACCTATTCAATACGACTCTCCTCACCCCCGCGATTGCTTTTCTATAAACCCCCACCCCACCCCCCTTTTATTTTAACCTCTACGCAACCACCTGAAAGAAGGTAGGTTGAATGAGCCGGCAGAGAAGTCGTCATTTGGAGCATCTTCTTATTGTCTTTTGTGAGGCGTTGAAGTATCTGGATAATGTTATGAGGTTGAGTTTGAGGCTGGGAGCCACATCCTGCTCTGAATATACGGGTTGGATTTCGATATTAGGGTAAGTAGGCAAGAAGACATGTCACTTTACCTGGGCAGACAAGCTACCGCATGAGGTAGTTCTTTGGTCTCCATCACATTACATCTTGTGAATAGCATCATGAGTGTTAACGTCATTGAAATTTCTGACTTCGCGTCCAAAACTAAATCATGACAATTGGTATTGGGCAAAGTATGCTTCCTTTTTTCATTGGTGAAGATACAATTTCAGTGTTCGCAGAACCAAACAATCAATTCCTAAGTTCTTCAATATAAATTGTGGGGATGACATGCTATACAACTGGACATGCTGCACAATAATGGATCAAGGGCCAACCAACTCCACTTCCAACATGTTGGAAACTCGGCTAACATCCCACTTCTCGCCAGTGGTGCAAGTACAGTAAACTACGGACCCTCAATTCAAAAGCTTCATACTTCGTAGCCATGGCCCCAAATAGGATTACCGAGCTAGCATCCATAATCTCACTCAACACAGCAAAGGTAGACGGGTACCTAGAAAAGCACAATAAACCCACCCCATCTTTCAACATCAACGCCCCCTTGGACCTCGGAATCCCACCCGAAGCCCCAGAAATCGAGGCCACTCGTAAAAAAGCCCTCGCAGCATCCATCGAGCTACAAGATTTACTTCAAGGACCAACTGCATGCTCAAGACCAGTTCTCAATGGAACATCGCTGAATGCGATATATACATATGATATTGCGTCTAAAGTCCCTCTTGATGGGAAAATCTCATTCCAGGATCTAGCTAAGCGATGTGGATTTAGAGAGCTGGAATTGAGACGCGTTTTGCGCTTTGCGATGTGTTGGCACCGTGTGTTTTGCGAGCCGGAACGTGGGTATGTTGCGCATACTGCGGCGAGTGGGCAGTTGATGGAGGATCAGAGGGCGATGGATATGGCTGGACTTATGTTTGATGAGGGATGGCAGAGTATGGCTAGAGTATGTAATCTACAATAGGTGTGCAGTTTCACAGATGGGAATGACTGACGGTGTGTAGACTGTGGAGGCGCTCCAAAAGTTCAAAGGCTCGGAACCCAATGAAACGGTATTTTTTAGTCAAGCTCTGATTTTCAGGCTATTGCTGATCAGAATAAGGACACGCACTCGCCCATAATACCAACGACAACATGTTCGACTGGCTCGGAAAGAATCCTGAAAAAGCCCGTCGATTTACAAGCGCCATCAGCACTTTAGTGCCTTCAGGTCAAGCTGCCGCCTTTCTAACCAAAGCATTCGACTGGAGCTCTCTTTGCAAGAGTACAGTCGTTGACGTCGGAGGCTCAACAGGTGGCGTGAGAATTCTGCTAGCACAGGAATTCGAAAATCTCAATTTCATCGTTCAAGATTTGCCAGAAGCGATTGATGGGGCAGAGAAAAACGTCCCACAGAACCTGAGATCTAGGATCGAGTTTATGGCCCACGATTTCTTCATGGATCAGCCAGTGGTTGCGGAAACTTATCTCCTTCGAGCCATTTTCCACAACTGGCCGGACCGCTATTGCGTCCAGATCCTCCAAAGACTCATCCCTGCTCTGAAGAATGGTTCGAAGATAGTAATCAACGATAGTTTGGTACCCGAGCCCGGGACCTTGGATTTACTAGCAGAGAGAAATATCAGGTTCGTTTGATGACCATGTCGTAATGTTGCGGAAGTACAAAATACTGATAGAATTAGGGCGTATGATATGTTGATGATGACCTTGTTCAATTCTAGAGAGCGAGAGAACGAAGATTGTATCGAGCTGTTCAAAGAAGCTGATGAACGGTTTTGTTTTCTTGATGCGAAGAAACCAACAGTTGGAACGATGGGAGTGATTATTGCAGTGTGGAGAGAAGAGCAAGAACTGAAGGAGGTTGTGTAGTATATATACGCAGAATTGGAATACAAGCCCACGTCGCAGACAGGTACCAAGCATGCCGTCGCACTAACGTCTACGTGTAACCAAACCGCACGCGATAGCCGTCCTCGGGCCATCGTCCCCCAAACCCCACAATCCCCCCGAAGTTCCCACCAACCTGCCCAATCACAACCTCTCGCTTATCCAAACCCTCACACAAATCGCAAAACAACATTCATATCCCCAAATAACACGTCCGTTACCATCAAGATTGGGCTAACTGCCGCCTGGCCCAATCAGTTAGGGGGTGTTCATCCATCATCGCCTCGCCCCCTAAGCTGTTTCCGGCCCAACTTCAACTTGATTGAACTTGAAAGAAAAAAATCCCTGATGGAAGGGGGATTTCTCCTGAGGCCCCCTCCCACTGCCTCCCACTGGGAGGGGGTCTAAAGGATTTGCCTTTTTTTTTGAGCTTTTTTTTTGGGGGTAGCTAATGTTGAGAGTCCTTTTTTGCCCACGTAACTACGCAACTGTCTACTGGACAGCGGTGTGTCCAAAGGAAGGGGGGCTGATACCACACAGGGGCCTTTTTGAGACTGTCACTTTTTAATCGCTCTATTCTCCAGAGTTACCGATGTTTCTGACCCAGCCTGGCCACTGTGAACCAACCAAGCTCTTATCGGAAGATTATACTCACACACACTGACGTTACACCTCATATCTGGAGACGAAAAAGGACTATGGGAAATCTTATTATGTTCTAATCTTTAGTGAGAGAAACCACTTACTTTGTCATACAGTAGATGACTGGAGCTGCCAGAAATAACCTCCAAAGTTGTAAGCATACATCTCATCGGGAATTTAAGCCTCCAACTTAAGAGTCTCGAACTGAGCAATGGTTTCCGAAAATCCCGTGGCCTCGCTCTCAAGATCCTTCAACTTTCCTTGTTCAACCTTTTGCAACTCTTCGCTGGCTTTCTCTTTGTAGCCCTCGTCACCCAGGATCTTATTTTGCTTCTCAATAGCCTTCTGGGTGTTCTGGAGCTTCTTGGAGGCTTTAGAGATTTCGGCATCAATGTCGACGCGACCTTTGACATGAAGGAACACCGCGGACGATGCAGAGACTGTGAAGATTACGCAACCTGCGGGGCGAGGAGAGCCTGGGGGTAGGATAGTGATGGATGCCACACCTTTGCCAGAGAGAGATTTGATGGATTGTGTCTGGGCGGTGGCAGTATCATGAGAGGTAGTATCGTTGGTTTGGATGAAAACTACTGTGGTTAGATCGCTGCGGGGAGGAACTTTTAGGATGAAAACTAACCTTTGCCCTCATCTTTGAGACAGTATTCTGCCATCAATGACCGGATGCCTTTGGATATGTTCAATACCAGCTCATAGGCGTCCTCAGATTTTGCGTCGTCCATCTTTGCGTCATAGACAGGATATTTGGCAAGGACAATCGAAGGTGTTTTGTCATCGGGACGACGAGGTAATCTCTGCCATAACTCTTCGGTCAAGTATGGCATGTATGGATGAATCATTGTCAACCCACCTTCAAGGGCTGTGTACAAGGTGTCTTGGGCCGACCGCTTCTCCGCTGCGGTGCCATCTTGCAGGATTGCCTTTGAGTTCTCAATATAAACATCACAGAGTTGGTTGAGCCAGTACTGGTAGACGAAAGTTGTTGAGCGCATAAATTCCCGGTCTCCGAGAGATTGGTTGACGTTTTTTGCAGCGATTGTTAGCTTGTGAAGAATCCATCGTTCTGAGAGGGACTCTTTCCCTGTGATTCCGCCCTGCTTCAGGGGTACAAAGTCGGCATCCAATTTACCCAACACGTATTTGGTTGCTTGGTAAATCTTGTTACAGAATTTACGGTAAGCGTGAATGACGCGAACATCAAAAGCAATATCCCCACCACCGGTAGTATAGGAAACCAGGGCAAATCGGAGTGCATCTGTGCCGCATTGGGGGATACCATCCGGGAAAGCAGATTTCTGGTACTTCTTTGCCTTCTCAACTTCCGCTGGGGCCAAGTTGCCAAGCAAGAGCTTTTGGTGAAGGTCATTCAAAGTGATACCCTCGATAACATCTTGTGGGTCAATGACATTGCCCAGTGATTTCGACATCTTTCGGCCTTCTGAGTCGCGAATCAACGAGTGACAATATACTTCAGTGAATGGCACCTTTCCGGTCAGCTTTAGACTGAACATGATCATACGAGCGATCCAGAAAAACAAAATATCCCAGCCGGTTTCCAAAACACTCGTGGGGAACAAGGTTTCGAGGTCGTGAGTCTTATTGGGCCAACCCAATGTTGCAAATGGCCAAAGACCAGATGAGAACCATGTGTCTAGTACGTCCTCATCTCTTTTGAGTACGAAGTTCTTTCCCGGCAATGCCTTTGCAGCTTTCTCATATGCTTCTTCCTCGGTTCTGCCAGCAAACCAGAGCTTTCCATCTGCTCTATCATGCTCTTCGCCATAGATTTCAGCAAAGTACATTGGTGCTTGGTGACCCCACCAGAGTTGTCTGGATAGACACCAATCATTCACGTTCGACATCCATCTTATGTAGCTCTTCTCGGCAGTTTCAGGCAAAATCTTGATCTCTCCTGAGGTCACAACCTTCAGGGCCGCGTCCGCCATCTCTGACATCTTCATCCACCACTGTGGTTTCATGAGTGGCTCGATCACATCCTTTGACTTACTACAGAGAGGGACGGACATAGGATTATCCTTCTTGTCGACATACAATCCAGCCTTTTTCAAATCGTCTTGGATAGTATATCGGACATCAAACCTCTTTTGACCAGCGTATGGACCAGTATTCTCATTCATCATACCGTCATCTGTCAAGATGTTGATAAACTGTAATTTGTGTCTTGTACCCAGTGCAAAATCGTTTGGATCATGGGCAGGAGTGATCTTTACCGCACCAGTACCAAACTCCTTGTCGACGTAGTCGTCAGCGACAATTGGCATGAGGCGGCCTTCGATAAAGGGATGAATAGCATTCTTTCCCACAAGGTGTTTATACCGCCCATCATCAGGATGAACAGCAACACCCGTATCTCCAAGCATGGTCTCAGGACGGGTGGTTGCAACCTCGATCAACTCGTCCGATCCTTCAATCTTATATTTGAAGTGGACAATGATACCAAACTCAACCTTCTTATCGTAACCTGGTACATCGAGTAGAGTGCGACCAGTCAACTCCTTGTTGTCGACTTCGAGGTTTGACAAGGCCGTGTTCAGTTGTGTACACCAGTTTACGAGTCGGTTTGCCCGGTAAATGATGCCCTCGTCGTGTAAAGTAACGAATGTTTCGGTTACAGCACCAGCAAAATTTGGGTCCATGGTAAAAGCTTCACGAGTCCAATCAAACGAGCCGCCCATTCTTCGCAAAACAGTGTTGATTCGGTGGTGGTATTCTTCCTTCCACTCCCAAACGGTTTTCACAAACTCTGGTCTTCCCAAATCATGACGGGTCTTTTTCTCACGGCGCCACAACATGTTTTCAACCACACTTTGTGTCGAGATACCGGCATGATCGCAACCAGGAAGCCATAAGGTGGTCTTGCCGTGCATACGGTTCCATCTGATCATCACATCCTGAAGCGCATTGCCCAGAGCATGACCCATATGAAGATTTCCCGTGACATTGGGAGGTGGCTCCACAATGATAAAGGAGCCCTCAGGCTTCACCTTACCATCTTGTGTGAATTCAGGCTTGAAGAACCCCTCCTTTTCCCACCAGGAATACCACGCAGATTCGACGGCGATAGGATTGTAGGCTTTGTACTGAGGATCATCGAAAGATTTGATAACTGTAAATTGGTCAGCCTCTCCATTCCTAGGATCTCGTAGATCTGGTGGACCGTCTTACTCTTCTTCTGCCCGGCAGGTGTTTCTTCAACATATGCTGGCAAGACATCCTCTTCAGCCTTTTTTTCCGCCTTGGCCTTCTTCTCTTTGCTCTTGCTAGTCGTGGGGGCGGCTGCTTTGGAAGCGACTTTGGCTTTCTTTTGATCAAATTTAGCCTGCTTTTCGGCTTTCTTGCGCTCTCGCTCTACTATTCGTGCAATGAGTCAACACAAATTCAATTGTAAATTCGGTTGTGGATTATGTTCTGATAAGCTTCCAATATGACACGATATAGATCTACCTACATTCTTTCTCGCTTTTTACTTTCTTCTCGCCCTCTCCGACTTCTGCGGTGCCAACCTTACTGCCTGCATCCTCGCCCGGTACATGCGATCCTGTGGGTGATGATTTGGCGGCTTCTGCTACGGCTACTTTGGTCTCGTCTGAAACTGGGGGTGGTGGTCCAGACACAGGTCCTGTTGGCTCACCAACTATTTCAATTGTGAATTAGAAGCCATATCGCAAGTGATTGAGGGGCAGTTTTCCTACTTGGGTTCGCCGACGCAGCGTTGGTAGCCATTCTGACCAACGGATATCGATATCTCAAAGTACTTCTGAACGGCGACCTGCGCACCCAGAGCGCTCTGGGCAAAAATTTCGACGTGGTGGCGTCTGATTCGAAAATTGGGGGGTTGAAGAGGGGTCGCTCAGATCCGTTTGCACTGAGCGGGTATTATTTGTTGGAGTCACTGTCAATGACTGACTCCAATGTGCCAATTGTGCGGACCAATCAAGGGGCCCCCTTGTTGGCGGGGATGTCAGCCTTGTATGCAAGGCTGCAAGGTTTATATCCATAACGCTTGATTTCTAGTGGAGCAAGGCGAGCGGGCGGCCCAACCAGGAAATATCGACACCAAAAAGATATCAATAATGGATATCCTTCATCGACTTTAGTCTGTACAGTACATGTTTGTTTTTCTCTCCTACAGCTGATTGCAGGCGTGCGGACATTTCAATTCTTATGACAACCTTAACTCAATGTTCCTCGTCCTGGGAAAATGCCTATCCACGCCCTTCCTCAGTCCACCATCCATCTGCTTGGATCAGCCCAAGCCTTGACGATTCCCACATCTTTAGTCAAAGAACTCATTGATAACGCTTTAGACGCAAAGGCAACATCTGTGGATATTCTCGTCTCTCAAAATACCCTTGACAAGATCCAGGTCCGAGACAATGGACATGGCATCCCACTGAAAGACCTTGATGCACTTGGTCGACGTGGGCATACCAGTAAACTAACGAACTTCGAGGAGCTGAGATTCATTGGAGGCACAACCTTGGGTTTTCGTGGAGAGGCACTTGCGAGTGCCGTTCAATTGGGGGAAGTATCCGTCACCACCAGAACGGATGGAGATGCGGTTGCCACCACGGCTGTTCTGCAAGCCCCTGGAGGCATTGCTCGCCAAAGCCGCACGTCTCATCCCGTCGGTACCACTATTTGTGTTACAAAATTCATGTTCAAGCTTCCAGTCAGAAAACAGACTGCCCTCAAGTCTTCTTCAAAAACTCTCATTAAAATCAAAGAGCTTCTGCAAGCGTATGCCCTCGCTCGTCCTTCGGTTCGATTCAGTCTGAAAGTCCTCAAGGAGTCAAAGGGTGGCTTTTCATATGCCCCGCGTCCCACTAATGGCATCAAGGAAGCTGTCTCCCATGTTATAGGCAAAGATGCTTCTGCGCAATGCGTGGAGAAAACATTCGTCTTTTCAGAGTCACAGCCCATGGGGCATGACCAAATTGATGACTATGCAAGCACTTCTGATCAAGTTGAGAGCAGCCAATTCCACGTCTCGGTATATCTTCCCAGACCAGACGCAGAGCCGTCCAAAATCGGGCGTGGTCAATTTCTCTCTATTGACTCTCGGCCAGTATCTCATGATAAAGGTACCATGAAACGTATCGTGACTATGTTCAAAGGATATCTCAAAGTTGCTCTTGGGGAAAATGCCGATATCAAGAATCCATTCATTCGATTTGATATCAAATGTCCCGTCGCTAGCTATGACCCCAACGTGGAGCCTGCAAAGGATGATGTTTTGTTCGGGAATGAATCCCTCCTTCTTGATTCATTTGAGTCATTCTTCAAAGAGATTTATGGGGAGAAACCGATCACACCCGCTGCCGCGCTGCGATCAAATTTGACCAAAAAGCTTGACAATTTCGAACTGCTCCTCGCACGGAAACCCACAGAGTCCCCATCTGTTGCCTTGACTACACAATCAAATGCTGATTCTTCAGACCCACAAACGTCGGAGCAATCCAAATCGCTGGCCATGGAATCTTCTTCTCTACCTGCTGCATCACCTTCACCCCCAAACAGTCCTCTTTTGACATCGCCCCCTCCAGCATCCATTATTCCTAGTAGATCCGAAAGTCATAACAGAAGAGGCGCTGAATCTGATCATGAAGAAGACAGCAGCAATGGCCGTCGTAGGTGGGATTTCGACATTTCAAAAGACTTTGTCGAGATTGACCCATCCTATAAGCCTAGTCAAAGCAAGAAACGTAGCAGCTTCCGACCTCCAACATCGACTGGTTCGCCTCAGGTCGCAGAATCAACAGTTCAACTGAACCCGTGGGTTATTGCCAAAATGACGGCGCCTGTTCAACCAAGTTCTAGTGTCCATGAACCACTTCAGGTCCCGCCATCCTCATCACTCATCAACCGACAGCATCAGGCTATGTCGAGCAGTAAAAATCAATCTTCTGAGCCTACACTATCGGACCATGCATCGTCTGATCCAGCTCCACGATTGAGGCTGTATGGTAGTCCAGAACTAGAACTGTTATTAGAATCTTCGAGAGCCGTTCCACCTCGTCGGCATCGAAATTCTCTCAATATACAAGACTTGTTGCCGCAGCCTCGAGTTTCTATTCCACATACTGAAAATTCGGAAGTCTTCCAACGACCACCCAACGACTTCATCAGCGCAAGAAACATGTCTGACACTCTTACCCCGCCACCTCCACCTGCCACTCACAAGCCGAATGCTCCCAAAAGAGCAAGTGGACTTGACAAACCATTTTTGCCTCCGAGAAGAATTGCTGATAACATTGAAACCCCATACTCTTTACCCCAAACGACAATTTTGGCCCCTCGAGAGGATGGTCCCAATTCACGAAGAGGGCAGCGGTGTGATGACATATCGGAACTCGATTGGGCAATGACGTATGAACACAACAAGGAGCTCGCGACACAACAGCTACGTGAAGAACGTCGTATTGTTAGGAAGGAAGCAAAGCAGAAGGAGAAGGAATCAGATGAATTCTACAACACTAGTCAACCATCGCCGCACAAAAATCGCCAAAACGCAGCTATAGCCGCACTCGAAGTCGATAACTTTGTGTCTCCTGCTAACAAAGACGTGGAGAAAGAACCTGTTAGAGCAGCTTTATCCCATAGTGATCCGCGGTCGTATTTGATGAGGCATCCAGAATTTGCAGCTATTCAAAGTGGATCATCAAAGTTGACTCGAACCAAATCAATAAAACTACCACTGGAAAGAATTCCCGACAAGAGCAAAACGACGGGGTTGGTACTGAAACATTCAATGGAGTCGGACGCTGTCAAAGAATTTGCCAAAACCATGGCTAGGCATGATCTATATGTTGCTCGTGGCATTCAAGAATTGGGCCTTGGTGGTGGTGCCTCTTCAAACAAGAAAGAAATCGCTAGGAAATTCCAGGCTGTCGTTGAAGAATGGATGGCCAGAGAAGATATGGATTGTGAGGTTGATTACAAATTTCAGAATCTTTATGCGCTGAAACTTCGGGCTACTATGTAATATATCATGGAGTTTTGCATTTTGCTCTATCATTGCTGGGAATTCGGGATTTGAACATATTGTACTCGGTGTTTGGCTGTTGCCGGGATTTGTATCATATTTGGCGTTGGCTTTATTCCACTACAAGATACCCATTTGCGGAACGATGCTTCATATAATCGGACCTAATTTGTTGTAAACTATGCGGCTCTCATGGTGACAAGTGATGTTCGATTAGTGAACGCTTAAATTCTTGTAATCGAACAGTTGCAGGTGATCGGAGCGGTTAGTATGCTTATAAACTTCCAGTGATAAAAGCCTTTACGAGTCTTCAGTGTCAGCATTAGTATGATTACTGAAACAACCAAGTAATCAATTTTCTCATAGGGCTTCCTCATCCGAAAGCCCCTTTTCTTACACTCAAGACTGCTCATAATCCCCAGATAAGCGAGCCGCCCCACTCTTGACATGCCATTCTACCAACATCCCCAAAGGACGTCACCATGACTCAAGAGTACAAGCACTCAAGTAAACCCCCATCCTAACAACCATACATCCATACGAGCAAATCCTACAACTCCCCAAACCACTCCTCACCCAAAAAAAGGCAATAAAAACATAATTAAAAAACACATAATGGCGACCTCGGCACCAGGTTTGGAAGAAAGTCCGGGTCAAAAAGAAACCTCCGATCACGGACTCGCCCACTTATCACTCTCCTCGCAAACCCTTCATGCAGATGATTTCTTGAATCAGGGACAGGATGTTGCGCCTGCCATGCATGTCTCGACGACGTTCCGGTATAATAGGGATGCGACGCAGCTTAGGAAGTGGGAGGAGCTTGATGTATGTAACTAACCACTCTACTTTTCTCTTTCTCCTACAAAGAACCCCCATTAAAAAATCCAAAGATGAGAAGATAAAATGAAAACACAAAAATAAAAAACATCATCTAACAATCTCATAGCCAAACATCCCCTACGAAGGCCACATCTACTCCCGCCACACCGCCCCAAACACCACGCGCTTCGAAGCAATCTTGTCCCAAATCCTCAAAGGGCCCACACTAACCTACTCCTCGGGCCTCAGCGCCTTCCACGCCCTGCTGGTCTTCCTAAACCCCAAACGCATCTCCATCGGCCAAGGCTACCACGGCTGTCACGGGGTCATTTCGCTGCATCAAAAACTCACAGGCCTCCAAAAACTACCTCTAGACTGTCCCGTCGAGGACCTGCAACCTGGGGATATCATCCACGTCGAAACACCACTTAACCCCTCCGGCACGGCGACAAATTTGAAGGCCTTTGCAGAGAAAGCACATGCCCGCGGAGCCTTCCTCACCGTCGACGCGACGTTCGCGCCGCCGCCCTTGCAGGATCCCTTCCTGTGGGGCGCGGATGTGGTGATGCATTCGGGGACTAAGTATATAGGCGGGCATTCTGATATGCTATGTGGGATCCTGGCTGTGAACCCTATCCATGAGGGGGAGAAGTGGGTTGAGAAGATGAAGAGTGAGAGGTTGGTGTTGGGGAACGTGATGGGGAATATGGAGGGGTGGTTGGGGGTGAGGAGTGTGAGGACGCTTGAGATACGGGTTTTGAAGCAGGCGGCTAGTACGTCGAAACTAGTTCGATGGCTGGATGCTGGGTTACATCCAGAAAAGTATTCAGATGAGAAAACGGAATTGGGAGATGAGTTCCCTACACCCGAAGAAACAGAACTCATCCAAAAAGTCCTAGAGCAAATCAACCACGCCTCTCTCCAAGCATCAGACATCGCCGACGGCTGGCTACCTACCCAAATGCCCCACGGCTACGGGTCGGTCTTTAGTATCCTGCTGAAAGGAGAGCATCTTGCGCGCGTGCTGCCTAGTAAATTGGACCTCTTCCATCATGCGACGAGTCTGGGGGGTGTGGAGAGTCTGATTGAGTGGCGGGCGTTGACGGATCCGACGGTTGATACGAGGTTGTTGCGCGTGAGTGTTGGGATTGAGGGCTGGGAGGATTTGAGGGGGGATTTGGTGAGGGGTTTTAGGGGGTTGTGAGGGCTGTGAGGGTTGATAGATGATGGGGGAGGGTGGTGGGTGTTGTAGTGTAGCTTAGTTGGCTTGAAGGAGGGTTTAAGGAGAGTCTAAAACGTAAATTGAAATGCAGATCAACTGGCTTGGTTTTGCGATGTAGATGATCCAGTGGTGTCTTGTGAAATCTTCCTGATGGTGTATTGACTTCAAAACTGCTACCACTTGTGAACAACATCATGAAATCGAGAATGGCCTGCAGATGAGATAGATCTTCAAGATCCCAAGTATTGCTTGGTAGGGGGTTGACATACCGTCATCCCCAAACTCGTAATTACCTCACACAAGATCACTTTCTTCAGAAAGAAACTCTCACCAAAGAATATTCCGTCAGCAGCATGGTCATTCCCCTCAAAGACTACAAGTCCAAACATCAAAACACATCATATCACATCATATCACATCACAAAACCCAAAGATCAATTCTCAGAACAACTCTCTATCGGTATTACACCATCTAGCAGAAAGTTCTATCACTATGTGAGTGGTGTGATTTTATGCTCTAAACTAAAGTGACCCGATGCTTTCCACTGCTGCATTTGTACAAACTCCACCCATCCCCAATCCCCTAACAAGATACAAGAAAAAACTCCATCTTGATCGCGAAAAGGGCACCATAAAAAACAGCAGGAACGCAACGGGTATCGTAATGTACTTGCAAAGAAAACAAACAGGAACATGAAAAAGGAAATCATATGAGCGAGGTCTATCCTTCCGTAATAACGCCGTGTGCGGGGGTATATGCCAACCGAGAAAAGCACAAAGGCCTATGAACAGCAAAAAGTTCCCGTATTTACACGATGCAAATGAGGAGTGGCGGGATGAAAAGGAAGGGATCATGCGGCGCCCACGCTGACATTCTTGCCCTTGACTGATTTCCATTCTACGATGGTGGATCCCAGGATGGAAAAGGTGGCCATGGCGGCAGAGACAAGGAATGCTCGGGTAAGAGCGTCGTTGTATGCGAGAATGACTCCTGGGAGGATGTCTTTTGGTAAGCTCTTTTGAAGAGAGGTCGCTCCGACAGCGAGGACTGTAGCGGGGTCAATTGACGGTGCGTATCTGGCAAGTCCTTCCGCGAGTTTGTTGGTGAAGACACTTTGGCCAACTGACACAAAGAGAGCGCCTCCCAAGGTCTGGACAAATATGATGATTGATGTTCCGACAGGAACTTGGGAAATGTCGAGTACAGTCTGCACTGCAATCATTCTGGAAACAGTGCGTTAGTCACTGGACCACAAACAATCAAACACCTCAACTTACGGTTGCTGCATGCCCAAACCTACACCAATACCACCCAATGCTTGATAGCCGCTGTGTTGTGTTAGCGCGCGAATTGCGAATAGGAGACGGATAAGGTGTTACTTACATCCAGTATGCGTGGTTGGATTCCGGAGTAAGAGTTGTCAGTAGTCCAACTCCAATAGCCGCGAGGATGGAGGAAGCGATCATGAAAGGCGCATCTGCGAAACATTAGTACTTGTCTGAAAAGGGTGTCAAGTTGAAGGAGATACTTACATTGCCCAAGAATCGTAACTGCAGCACCGCCAAAAACACTGCAGACAACCAAGGACATGATCAATGGCAAATTCATGATACCAGACTTAACTGCACTCGCTCCCTTGACAGCTTGAAACCAAATTGGCAGGTAGTAAACAAGCAACAAGAAGCATGAGCCGATGGTAAAAGAATACCAGGAGCTACTCCAAACAGTTCTCTTCTTCATGATTCCTGGTGGGATTGTGGCAGAATCTTGCTTCCAAAGTTGAATTCCGATGAAGATCGCGATCAAGACACCAAAAGTAACGAGAAGTCCAATGATCTTGGCATCGCCCCAAGGGTATTTGGTTCCACCCCATTGTAAGGCCAACAAAAGCGAGATAATTGCAGGAATGAATGCTGCTGTACCTTCTAGATCAAACTCCTTGATTCGAGCCTTCCAACCAAGGCTAGCAATAGCTTCTCGATGTGGTGGCTTGAAGAACAACAAGATGACGATAACAGTGATCGCGCCGATGGGTAAATTGATATAGAAACACCTGTTCAATATTAGCTCTGAAAAAAAAATCGTCACGAGAGAAAGACGTACCATCTCCAGGTGACCTTGTCCGTAAAGACGCCACCTAGTAAGGGACCAGCGACGGATGCTATGCCATACATCGCTCCGATTCCTCCGGTATATAGGGGTCTCTTGGATAGAGGCACCGAATATGCAACGATGATTAATGCTCCAGAGAAAATGCCAGCAGACCCGAGACCAGCGACAGCTCTTCCTAGAATGAGTGCAGTGGAGTTTGGGGCAACCCCACATACGAGACTGCCAAGTTCGAAGATACCAATAGCAATTAAGTAAACCCACTTAATAGAAAAATAAGTGTAAAATTTACCAAAGAGTAATTGGAACGATGCGGTGGTCAAGAGGTACGCAGAACCATACCACTATCAAGTGTTAGTAACTGAAGTGTTTGTGTTTGGGTGGAAATTTGACATACTCCGACATCTGGGAGACTTGCGACTAGAAGATATAATATTAGCTGGGGGTCACAGCAAAGACTGGGTTCAAATACTTACATTGGTCTGTGATGGATGGGATAGCAGTCGCAATGATGGTATTGTCAAGGGCGACTATATCCAGTTAGCGACATTGGTTTGCGAAAGGTGTAAGCGAACTGACTGAGAAAGACCTATCAACAGATTAGCTATGAGACTCAATGACAGACCTCGCTTGAGATGAACTCACAGAAAGGCAGAGGGCCAGGGAGATAAGAGCGAGTTTTGCACCAGTAGGGTATTCTACATTAGCGCCGCTCGTCATTATACGATCCAGTTCTTGTTGAGCATCTTTGGCAGACATGATCGACTTCGTGGTCGCAACCTTTGTCAATCCAATAGGCTCATCATTTGCAGAAACTTCAGGGGTTGTTGAGTTGGCTTTAGACAAATCCTTCAATTCGACACTCGTTCCCTTGTCTGCAGTTTGGTCGTCCAAACTGGGTGGAGCAGTCTTGTTATTGAGGGTGGAGGCATCCATATTCGACTGTTGGTCGGTTCCAACCATGATGTCCAGTGTTGTGCGCGCAGTCGGTCTATATTTCTGGATGTGGTGTTGTTTGTATAAAAACAGGGAGGTCAAGAAAAAGAGAGGAGAATATTTTCTGACGACTTGATATCGAGGAGAAGCCGACGCGTTCCGACGGCACGGCAACGCGGGGATACCCGGAATTAGAGTTTCGGTATGTGGGATCGGCCGGAAGCTTAGCGTTTACCAGGCAACCGGTTGACAGCCGTGGAGGTGGAGGTGGGTCGAAGAGCTTGTTCCTCTTGTGCACGCACCAAATGTACAAAGATTGCTGCAGGGTTCCCTGAAAGAGTGAAAGGCAACTGAACTGGCTGGAGCGGATGGATATTCTTTGGTCTTCCAGAAACGAGCGACCAGACCAAGATTGGTTTGACTGATATACAAGGGGGAAGGAATGGGAGAAGAATATGTCCGGATTTAAGAAGGGCCTTATATCCGACCAGGGTGAGTCAAGTTGAATAAAGATGTGCAACCGTGAATAAAAGTCGTTGTGCACGTCACTCGCACAGTGTGGTGAAGAAAGATGTGGGTGCCGATATTTAGCGGCCTGCTTCCCTCTTTAATAGAACAGATCCTTGAGCCCAAATTAACAGTCCCAATAGGAGGTCAGCAATGCAGAATCCGTTCCGATCCAGTCAGCCCTCCAATGACCATGCAGATAAGCTCGCTAAACAACCCTAGATGAGCAATACCGACCATGGAGGGCGCTGGTGGCGCCATTGTATTACCTACTTCATCCCATCATGGCATGCGATTTGATGGAATCTCGGATCTAAATCTACCCTCCACTCCGAGCCCTTTGCAGCCTGTTCTCGAACGAGTTTCCGAGATGGCGGAGGCGTATCCATCATATATAATAAATCCAGTGATGCCAGCACCACGAGAAATGATGTGTATCTCCCTGCTGACGAAATCCGTATTCCAGCCTTTTTGGACCAACGTTGCATGGACGAAGCCACGAGGGTTCTTGTGCGACATTGCACAAGTCAGCAAGTTGCCCACGTTTCCCTTCCTGTGAGATTCCATCTGCGATATTACCCGAGAGAAAGAACCCTTGGGGGCGAGAATACCACGCGAGATCTCCCAGACTTCTCTTTGTTCTCTTTGTTCTCGTTGCACCTGTTGATGTCAGGAATTTCTGAAAATGGAGTTTAGGTAATTGCTTATGTTGCTTGAGAGGATCAAAATACGAGTATATATCAATATGACTCTTGTGAGAACGTTGGCTGGGGGGGAGCGGCACAGAAATACACTGGCAGGGCTTATTTTAAAAGCCGTCTTTGATTTAACTCCGCTTCCCGCCGGAATTAAGACATATTGCAAAAGAAAAGGGATTCAAGTACACGTGGTAAGTCAATTTTACACTCAAGCATTGTACTAGAATCTCTCATACAAACAACTGATCAGTAGGAAATCGTTGACCTTCTGCTATGTTCATTAGCCAAAGTATTCCAGCACAACTGAACTCTCTAGTGTCAAAGCCTATTTGAGACATTTAAATTCTTACGGAGAACCCTTTAGATCCCCTATTCCAAAAGACTCTCTACCCACTCCACTCCCCAAATCCAAATCTAATACCCAAAATCCCATCAGTACCAACCACAAACTCATAACCTCACATACAAAAACCCATTCCAATATATCCATTCAACACCAGTCATCCCATATCATAAACCCACCTGTTCAAGCTCTGTACATCAATTACTCAAACACCCCCACTCCTTCAGCACCAGGTCACAATCTACACTTCTCATTTCTTCGCTTTGATATCCTAGATATCCTAGATATCTCTACACCAACAACTCCGTGTACCGTAAGTACCCGTTACTCAAACACAGCCACCCAGCCAGCCGTTTACCCGCGTACTACGGTAACAATACCCACGTTCTCGGCCTCTGTAAAACTACCAGCCCTGAAAACTACCAAACCTGTGACACGAATATCTGAAAATACGTTTATGTTGAGATCTATGTAGAACCTTACCACAACCACGTTTTTCAACCTCTACAAATTAAAACGTTCGAACATATGAAACGAAGATTGGAAAGATCGTGATAAGATCTGTTAAAATACATTCAAAAAAGATGGTATAACGCTCGGTTTCTTTTCACGTAGGGATTTTTTGATTTCCCTGCTAAAGTAAGTATGCTTTGGAATTAGTAATTTTTGGCAGAGAGAAACTTTTGATGTTCTTTTTTTGAAAAAAGGAAGTTCTTTGAGATATTATATCTATAATTATATCAACCGAGATATCTCAGTTTGAAATCGCTTTGTTCTATTGATCCGGGGATTCATGGTTTCTTAATAATAATTCATAGGACTACCTACGATATGATATATCCGAAACACGTTTAACTTTAACTTTTACTTCCTCCACAAGATATATATTAACACCAAGACCAAACATACAGGATTTCTTCTTTGATCCTTTTCCGTAATATCCTCTTATCCACGGAATTTGAATAGCACACACGCATCCACACAATCATCCCAAATTCCAAAAGCAGAACCCAATCGTATATTACCACCCTCTCCTTTCCTCAGACATCAACAAAATCTCCAATTACAAGTTCCTACAATCACCGTAGCACCTCACATCTCACCCCATCAAGCAACAAAATAATCAAAAACAATCAACTACACTCTCACACACACATAAACAAACAAAGAAAACAACCAACACCTCCCCTTTCCCCATTCCCCTTCCCTCCTTCCCTCTTAGCATCCAAACTCCCTACCAAACAGCACAAACCCACAACATCATTCAAACAAAACCCCCTCCTACAAAAGACAAACCCCCTTCCCACCAAACATCTCAAGCAACATACCATCCAAAGTGCAATTTAGATTCAAGCATATCTACTCTACAGCAAGATTTCCCTCCAGACACCACAGCCATCACTAAATCCAGCTTATATCAATCTACTCTACTCTGTCGTTTTTCCATGAATATAATTATACGAAAAAGAAGTTCATGGAAGTTACGGTCTAACAAAATTGCAGAGGGTGCGAAGTATTGGATGTAGATGCAGAATAAAGCAACTGGTACAAGCCATGCTTCCCATTGCTACAGTAATAGAATGGAATGTTACTGTTATTGAGGTTATTGTGTTAATATCTCGTACTTAACTGTTTCACTTCTGTTCAAGGTCATGATATGAAGTTCTTACCTCACACAAGATTTACAGCAGAATGAGAATATTATTGAGTGTGTATGATAGAAGAAGAAACTACAATGCCAAAGAGATCTGGGGTTCTTCTCACCAGAGCTTCGGAGGGGAAATTGAAAATTTGGGTGGAGAACTGGAGTACTTGCGAATATGCTACTGCTCTCAATTCATGGGAAGTTCTATCACATGGCCTAGTAGAGGTGTGAAAACAAATCCAGAAAAAAAGACTTGCTAGCAGGAAAGACGAAGGATCAATTCATCAACCATTGACACTCCATGGCGAGATATTCCTTGTCAAATACAAGCATGGAAAAGCAATATCTTATTGCTCTCACTCACAATCCCATACCTCAGAGATCCCCCATATGATATACACAGGCCATCGCCCACCCCACGTCCTCAAGTTCAAGACGGCACTCCGAAAGCAAGCAAATATCATGCAAACCGTCCAAAGCACTCTACACAGGCATCATATCTCCTTCAATTCTCCCCGCTAGAGTGTATCATATTTATTTCCCAGCAGCAGCCTTCGCCTTCTCCACCCCCTCCTTAATCCCACCCTCAATCTTCCCCGCAACGCTCTTGCTCTGCTCCTTTAACCTCTCCGCCTCCTCTTTGCCGCCCCATTTATGGTAGTTCATCCATCGGTATCCCTGCGTGAGTTGCGAGCCCTCGTTGATGAAATGGCAGGCGAAGAGGAGGTAGTTCTTGGGAGACACGGCGAGGGCGTACCGCATGAAGGTACCCGAGTAGATGATCAGAGCTCCAGTCATTTGGCCGGAGATTCTGGGGAGTAGGAACATTAGCTTGGGTAATTTGAAATAGATGCAGAGAATTGCAGTGGTATCAGATGAGAAGAAAGACATGATAAAAGCAATCCAGACTCAAGAACCCCCATCTGCCAACTTAAAACAATAAAGAACCGCCCGCACTTACAACTCAGGACTCTTCTGCGTATCCATAACAGCTGCAATCGGGATCCCGAAATTCGAGACTGGACCCCAGAAATCTGCCATCCCACAGTATCATTAGCCAACGTTCTTTCCTCAATTGGTTCTCTTCCAAGCTTCCTCCATCCTCTCCAATTCCTTTGATTCCCGAGATCCGCTAGCTCGGTTGGGAATTGCGCGCTTACGTGTGGAACAAACATAGTTTGCCATGGGGTTGGAGCGAATCTTCGCATTGAGTGCTGAGAAGAAGGTCGCCATTGTGAAGGGGTTTTTGGTGTGTTGGTGGGGGTGGTAACCGTGGAATTGTTGTGGTTGCGACCAGAGGATTTCGGGTTGATGGGAACTGTTGAGCTCCGGTCTTGCGCCGATGTCATGTCACGTGTATCGTGGAGTTTCCTTCGCCCTGGCGGGCATTACCAAATCTCTGAATTTATAGGTTGATTTGTATTTCCATAGAGGCTATGGAGAGGTCAAGTAGTGATAGGAGTAGCAATGTGGCAGTAATCAGGATCTCAACATTGTAGCAGTATCTCAAAAACATCCATATTCCATTCTGATATGGTTGGCGGTGCCTATTCTACAGTTTAGGATGAACGCTTTTTGCTTTGAAGCCAAACTCCCCATCAACGCCGTGACTGTGCTTGAATTTCTGCGCCTATGGCAAATTTCAATGAATGATATTCATTATTATATTTCTCATCTCGTTTCCTTCATATCTTATCTTCTTGGAGGGGCAAATCCTGGTGGGGGACCTTGTCCAGGAGGAAATCCCGGGAATCCTGGTGGTGGGCCTAGAAATTGGTTAGAACATATTCGAAACAGAAACAGGAATTTGCTATATTACCTCCTCGACCGCCAAATGGTGGAGCTCCTGGGAAACCTCCGAAAGCTGGGGGTGCACCAACACCAGCAGCAGGACCCTACAACACAATTAGCGGACTCCCTCAAATTACATTCATATAAACATACAGCCAATCCAACAGCAGCACCTCTTCCAGCCGGTCTTGCAATTCCAGTTCCAGCGGACAAAGCAGAAGGAGCACCGCCTGGTGCACTAGCTCCCAATCTTGCAGCTGGGTCCGCTGGAGGTGGTGACTCTACGGAGAGGGAAATGATGTGGGCGCCTCGAACAATTGTAAGTCCCAATGTACGCTTCTCTTCGGATTCGACGAGTGGTGCAGTGGTACTGCTTGCGCCTGGGGCGGTGGAGGTCTTGGGGGCTTTGCGCTTGACGCGTCGAAACTCTTCAGTATCTGCGAGAACGAGGTTCATGTGCTGTGAAAAGAGTTAGCACGAAAGATGCTTGCAACTGCAAATAAATCTCACTTTGTCGAATGCCAACATCTGTCCCACCATTTGGCGCCCATCATTCATGGTCACTCTCATCCGGTAGTTGATCTATTTCCAAATCAGCCTCACCATTCTCTTCTCTAAACATTGCGCACACGTCTGGAATATAATCTGGAGGAAGGGCAACGTACGAGACCGGCCTAGGATGGGAATAAAGTCAGCCTATATTGTCAACATAAAGCTATGAAGGAGGGGAAGAGGAGGATAACTGACCATCTTTCCTTGCTTGTTTGCCATGTTGAACGAAATGCACGATGATACGGCGCTTCTTCCGGGAATCCAAATAATTTGTATTGAAGTTTTTAGGCTTCAACTGGACTATGCGGCTCTTGCAAGCTTGTCAAGTCACTTTTGATAGGTATGGCGCTGGTGGAGCTCCAAGTTCCCCCATACAAATATTTCGGGTTCGCTAAGTCACTAGCGCGCCTCGACACGTGACCAGCCGCACCTCGCCCGAAATTCCCACAAACACCTCACATTGAAATCGCCAAAAAGTTCGAACTCCCGATCAACGAACAAATCGCCCAACTTTTTCCCTCGACAACCCTCACGACATCAATTAAGATGGCTGAATCCGGAGACAAGACCGCCAACCCCATGAAGGAGCTTCGTATCCAGAAGATCGTCCTTAACATTTCCGTTGGAGAGTCTGGAGATAGACTTACTCGTGCCGCAAAGGTGTTGGAACAATTGAGTGGTCAAACCCCAGTCTACAGTATGTGAATCCGTCTCGCATTACACGGCGCATAATTAATAGATTCTTCATAGGCAAGGCCCGATACACCGTCCGTACCTTCGGTATCCGTCGTAACGAAAAGATCTCCGTTCACGTCACTGTCAGAGGACCAAAGGCCGAGGAAATCTTGGAGCGTGGATTGAAGGTCAAGGAGTATGAGCTTCGCAAGCGCAACTTCTCCGAGACTGGTAACTTTGGTTTCGGTATCAGCGAACACATCGATCTTGGTATCAAGTACGACCCAGCGATCGGAATTTACGGAATGGATTTCTACTGCTGCATGTGAGTATATTCGCAGATGGAACAGATGGGATGGATACTGATAAATGATAGGACCCGTCCTGGTGAGCGTGTTGCCAAGCGCAGACGTTGCAAGACCCGTGTTGGTACCAACCACCAAATCAAGCGTGATGAGACTGTCAAATGGTTCAAGAACCGATTCGAGGTATGTTTAGACTGGACAGTCTTCCCAAGGCGCATCGCTAATAGTTTATACAGGGTATTGTCCGATAAATCTTCCAAAATCTTCTGGTCTGCATGGAACAACGGAGTACAAGGGATGACTACATGACATGGGCATCATTGGCTGTACATTACTGAATCTACGGATCAGAAACGCAATGAAGCAGTTCACCAACTGTTCAGCGATCATTATGATCTGCTACGGCCTTAGAGTCCGACCGGCGTTTATGCCGGCTTTTCAAGTGCTGAAGTTTTCTACTTCGTAATGTGTGAAACGAAAGCTTATGAACTGTGATTGGATTCTCTTGCGTTTTTCTCTTCCGTGACTTGATAGTAATATCTGGCCCCAGCAAGGAATCTTATATAGCAGTTGTTCCAGACTGACTGGGCATCAGTATATGTTAGAAAGCATTTCTTCTCCCTTTAGACCTGCCATTGTACATGGTAGTAAGGTATAATCTTGGTAGCAAAGTAATGACGGAGATGATTATAAAACAGGCCGACTGAAGACAATGTTCAACACAACTGACCGAGAAGTTTCTTGGGCTTTTGAATCCGTGGCCTGTCATGAGACCTATTTCCCCCTAGTCACATTACTATCGATCTCACTGGTATTGAGCAACTGTAGGTGATCTCAAGTAGTCAAGTGACCAAGATTCACAAACGCTTCTTATCAGCGAGGTTTTAACTTTCTTGATTCCAATATACTCCCATTAAATTCCAATTAACCCCCCTCCCCTCCTGAAAGAACCCCCCTAAGCAGGTATATTACATATACACCATTACAAGAAAAAAAAACCCATGAATACTATGCATCACGGTCCCGCAATTCAATTCAGTAAATCAACATTACTTTAGGTTGTTGAACGAACGTTTTTCTTTGAGTGCCGACTGGAAAGCAGAACATGTTAGCATGTGTTCCTTCCATGAAAAATACCTGCTTCACAATGGTTCTTCTCGCAAGCGGAGATCACAGTTTCAAGTGGATAGCATCCCTTCCTCTCAGTATCAAAAAAATCAACATACCTCAGCAGCCTCAAACCTCTTCCCAATCCCATGCACACTCCCCCCAAAACGTTCCTGGCTCGCATTTCGCCCATACAGCTTCTCACTGGACGGTTTCTTCCTCAAGTCCTCGGCCATCAGATCCGCGAGGTATCCTGATTTCTGCGGTGCTTCTTTGGCAGTGGTTGGGGTGGAAGTGGTGGGCGAGGGGACGGAGAGCGAGGACATGGGTGCGGATGTTGAGGGCGAGGAGAGAGCGCTGTTGGTGGGACTCGAGGCGCTGGAGAGGGAGTAGTTGGAGGCCATGCGGCGGGGGGTTCGTGGTGGGGGGTATTGGAAGATGATGGCGTTGTGTCGCTCGCGGGTGAGGTGGGTGTTGTGGAACATTTTGATGGGTGGGTGGTGGTTGGTTTGGTTGGTAGGGAGTGGATTGGGGTATTCGGAGGATGGATGTTATGTATATATTTGTGTGGTTTTAATTGTGTGGTTTAATGTATGTATACGGAGCGTAAAGGAGAGTGATGAATAGATGGTTGGATGGTTGGCTGTACGGTATTTGACGGGTATATACAAGAATTGGCGACCGGCGATGAGTGGCTAGAAGGTAGAAAGCCTCGATAGAAGGGAAACGGAGCAAAGGAAGGGACGGACGAGTTCAGGTGAGCAGCAACGTCGGTGAGGCACGAACGAGGACAAGAGAGAGAGGGAGAGAAACGGAAAGGACGCAGGAGAAGACGAGAAAGATCCAACCACCTTTTGAGCACCGCCGTCTCGCTACGCTTTGGGCATAATAGCATAGGCTACCTACTTGGTACAAACTTACCCCCTGGGTCGGGGACCAGTTGAAGCTTGGGGAATTGATCATTGCTCTTTGGGACGGACCTGGCGGACGGATCTGGAGGGCGTGCCTGCGTGCCTGCGTGCAAACCAAAAAAGTAAAATTTGCCCTTAGCCTTTTCATGTCGTTCATCTCCTCTTTGGTGTCTGTGGGGTAGCATCAAAGCGTCTCTGCGCTGCGCTGCTGTGGGCTGATTGGGTGGTCGATGGTAAAGGCGTGTTGGCGATGCGATGGGATGATGTCTTCCGGTTCATCGTTTTACGTTGTAGATTGGAGATCTTCGTTGGATGGAAGATCGGGTGTCGTTGGTCATCGCAATAATCAATAGTGTTGGAATTCATTTGGTGAAGTGCTTCTATTTCGATGCGAAGATGTAATGCACGGCTTTAGACCCATGATTGAGCTCACGATGTTGCAGGGGACGGTGGGGTCCACGACGCGGTTTTCCCGGGCGGATACGAGATCTTTTCGACATCCCTCGCATGCCCGTGGGTGCTGGGAGTCGCTGGGCCGTGGCTGCGGTGCCTTTTTCAGGGGACGATGTCTTTGCTCAGTGCTCAACTGCAGATTCTCAACTTCAGGGCGGATTCATGACTTCGTGGAATCGTGGCGTGGCCATGGCCCGAACAGCCTTTGATGGGAGGCGGGGCGGCGGATATGGAGGTTTGAGAATTGTGCTGAGGCGCAGGTTGGAGGTCATGGCCATTGGCATGGTTTTGCCTCGGGAATATATCTTCATGTCATTTCCCAGCGTCTTGAACGATTCCACATGTTGGGAACTGATGCCTTTAAATGATGAAGAAACTCCACATCATGCTGAGAATCTTAATGTGATATTCAAGCACTTTGATATCACGGGAAAATGATTGGCAGCATCACGAATATAATTCACACTGTGGATCTCGAGTCATATCTGTCTATCACAATTTCTCAAGTCAAAAAAAATATATCGGATTTTGCCCACGACATGTTATATAACGCCCATATCGTGCTATATTACAAACAATGCATCCCTCGCAGTTCCATCACTTTGAAACCGCATCCATCGTCTATAAACTATGCTATGCCATCGTCGACTTTTCTCGAAAACATATCCACCATCAGAAAAAGCTGCCCATTTATTTGCCATTAGGCTGTCCCGTCACAAAACTGTGGGAATATTGTTAGCTCAAGTTCTTGAAGGGTGTTTTGCGCTCTTCCTTAAAAAGGATATAGTATGGATGGATGACTTACTTGTTCCACATCTTGCCAATGAACCCTGGCGCGGGCTTTTGCTCATTGAAACTCATCCGTCTGGCGTTTGCGGCTTCGTCTGTACTGTTTCTCTTTTGGTTCATGAGACCTGAGAAGAGGGAGTTTTGAGATCCCGCAGAACCCTATAGGAAAAAAATGTTAGATGGAATGCCTTTGGACGAGGACAGGGAGAGTGGGGAAGTGAGGACTTACTCTTCTATTACCACCGACGTTGTTGGCTGGTGTAGACATAGCTCCAGTTCCTCCGCTGACAGCGCTGGCTCCGTTGTTGTTCATTTTGATGGTTATTGGGAGAGAGTGATAGAATGAGTTTGTATTTGTTTCTTGAAAGTCTTGTGGATGTAGACTGATCACTAATGGTACCAATAGACAATCTTTGGGGAGACGACTCAATACATATACCCTCTCACATCTACCTACAGCCATCATAACCGACCGATATAGATAGCACCCCTCATCGATCATGCAAGTCCACCATCGGCACGAGACAGAGTTGTAAGCACACGACACTCCCCAAAGGAAAAGCGACGAAACAAAAGCGAGGGATCGATGATCTCATCAACGCCCCTGACAGCCCCACTCCCATCCCAGCGAATCACAAGCGCCAGACATACACCAATATCGCGGGGTAAGCCGTGGTACGGTGGTAAACACATTGAAAGGGAACCTCCCAGGCCCTCTCAAAAATATTGAAAGCTCGTGCGAAATCAGATGTCAAAGTTTAGAGTATAAAAGTGGCATGACCACCTGGACACTTTCTCGATCGAGTCTTCTCTCACAGATAAATCCTTCGATTTCCCTCCCGAGTCCAGAAATCCAAATCCAAATCCAAATCGACAAAACAGGAGCAGGATAAGAAGAAAAAGGGGTGCAAGAGAGGCTTATTCCTGTCTGTAAGTCAACATCCCTACATACCTATCCCTCCCCACGATCGACTAACTCGATCACCCAATCACCATCCCCCATTTTGTCAAGTACTATATTTCCCTTTGCCGTTTCATACACATGAACCTTACCTTCGATAAAGCTTCGACGGGCTGTCACTGATTCAGTGTTAACACCCTTACATCATACCCCTCCCTCCCTCTTCCAAATCACCCTAGGTGCTGTGATAGGAGAGCTCGTCCATGACGATGGGGAATCCCCGTGCTCTTTTTGTTGGTGCTGTCAACCTACTGTAGTTCGGAGCTTAATCTGATTTCACTAGTCCCATCTTGAATCGATCGTGGCTACTGTGCGGCCATCGACGTAAGGAGATGCCCCCATAGCCTCGATAGTGTCTAACTAGGTAGGTACGTATTTCGCGGGATCCGTGCTAATCGTAGACACGCCACTTTTGCTTCGTTTCTGGGGTGTGGAAGTGAAGCGGTGTGTTTCGATGCTGTTAACGAACGGTACAGTATTTGAATTTTGGTATGAGATCTCGGATGTCATGTGAATACCTAGTTGCCTGTACTCATACGATTACCAGTATTTCAGTCGGGGATCTTGGGATGGTTCATCTACCGGTACTGTTTACCGTATCCTGAAAGGATATTTCCGCGATTATAGATTCCGCTACGAGGTACCTACCTAACCTTCATATAAAGCAGAGTTTACTCGTCAACTAAAGTAGAGTAATAACTTACTCTTACCTAGGTAGATATATAGAAGTTCTCATACCGAATACTGGCAACCGAGAGGGTCAGGGATTCATACCTCTTCTATAGTAATATACAAGTATTATAAAAGACAGGAAGGATATGATAGTATATATTCCATCGATTTTACCATAGTCATTATCTCTATCTGCTTTCTACCTTTTTTTCCCCATCTACTTACAATCACCTATTCTGATTCCCACCAGCCAGGTTCAACTAACATCCCATGCCATAATAGGAGACACCTACCTTCCTTAACCACGCTCACCACAATACAACCTATCCCCCCTAAAGCCCTATTCTCACCTAAACCCCTCCCCCTCCTAAAACCCAACCGTGACCTCCTACCTCTTTCCTCTTACCTCATCTCATCTCCCAGCTCTCTCCGTCCACATCCACCCTCACAGCACCAATAAGGAAAACTAATAACCGATCCCCACCGCGCCTCACTAAAGACCCCACAGCTAAAAATGAAATGCCGCTTTCATTAGCACAAAATTGGCGAGGCATCTTGCTGATTTCGGGAACTTGTAACTTGGAAGCTTTAAGCTTTGATGTTAGTGCCAGAAGAGAGAGAGAGAGAGAGAGTGAGAGAGAGAATAATAAGTTGGACTTTGGACTTTGAACTTTAGACTTAATGCTGAGTTGTCGAGGGTAATGCTTCTTGGGATAAGGTGGTGATAGTTCTGGAGATGGAAGGGGCTTGGAGTTTTTACCAGGAGTAGTAGTAGTAGTATGATAAGGAAGTATAGAGTGTTAAGAGAGGGGAGGAAGAGGGGTGGTAGTTAGAGTCAAGGCGTAAGTTATGTACGTGAAGATCAAAACAGGTGTCAGGAGAGAAATTAGAGAGCGAGAATAATCTATAAATGAAAAAAGCAGGTTAGAAGTCGTTAACTGAACTGAGGCTATTGTGGTTATAAACCATACATTTTCAAGCTTGACGTCTTTGAGGGGACATCTGGCTTTTGTTAGCTTGAAGTAGTCTTACTCGTACAGGTATTTCAATAGTAAAGCGTGTATGTGATTCCCAGTATCCTTCTATGTACCACTCAATCCAAATTGGCACTAGACATTACCACGTTCACAAATTTGCTGATATTTCCATTCATGAAGAAATTTCTAAATAATACAACCTCATCTACAAGCCTCCCAAAGTCCCCAAAGCCCCCTCAAGTTTTCATCTCATGCTCGAGTACCACACCCCACTTGAAACCACCCACTCACGAAACTTCTTGAATAAGCTTGCCTCCCATTCCCATACCACCATCAGGCTTAGCAGCACCACGGAACAATCCTCCGACGGGAGCACCCAGCCACTCCTCAGGGACACCGATACGATTACCATCTTTGTTGCTGACCCATCTGACGAATAGAGGATCTGCTTTCTGGGGCTCCACATTGGGAGTTCCATCACTATTTCCGTTGAGTTCTCGACGGCGTGCATTGGTTTTGGGTGCTTGTTTTTTGAGGAGTTTATTGATGGTTTCCATCTGAATTAAATCAGCTCATGATACTTATGATACATAACATTTTGGGACATACCTTTTCCTCTTCATTACGTTTCTCACTGAGATTTTTCCGACGACGTGCCATCTCTGCTCGTCGCATAGCATGCTCTTCAGCAGTCAAATGTTTCTTGACTTGTACTTCTGTGAATATGGTCAGATAAGGGACGCTGAAAGTGGAATTGAGAACTTACCATCTGGCAGGGACAACAAATGACCGCTTCCATGCTCTTCAATTCTTGCTCGTTGTCTCTTTGTCAATTTGGTAAGATCAGGAGTTGAAGCTCGACTACCATCGCCAGGTGTTTCGTCATCGCTATCAAGTTCTTCATCATCTTCGCCCTCGGCATCAATGTCTTCCTCGCCTTCAGCGTCTTCTTCATTGCCCGTCTGCATGGCTTCCTCCTCTTCAACCTCATCTCCAATTTCACTATCTAATTCGCTCAATTCCTCATCGTCATCGCTGTTGATCCCAGTTTCTTTTTCTACGACGGTCTTGTTGTCGAGTTTTGGGCCTGGCTTGGCGACAATGGTCTGTTTTCCATTTTGCGCCCTAGAAATTTTGATGACTGGTGGTGGAGGCGGGGCATCCATATCAATATCGCCTTCGGCATCTTCGCTGCCCAATCCGTCCTCGTCCATATCCTCATCTTCAATTTCCTCGTCTTCACCCTCAGCGTCCTCATCTCCCAGATCCTCCATCTCTTCATCCTCATCCTCTTCCTCATTGCTATCAGATTCCAGGACATAACTTTTTCTGACATTTCTGGTTCTCTTATCCTGGATGATCTCGCCTCCAGAAAGACCCTCTTTTTTTGCAATACTGGCTGGAGGGGCCAGGGGACTTGATCGAGTGGCTTCTCGCAGTTTACTAGATGAGAGTTTGACTGTTAGACTTCCACGTGAAACAGTTGCGCTAGAAACATTTTCAAACACCCTGCGACCTGATCGAGACGAAGCTCTATCGAGTATGGCATTGTCGGTAATTGCTTCTTTAGCCTTGACGGCCGCAGAGCGCTGACTGCGACGACCTGACATGGCGGGAGATGTGGTGGGAGTTGTCCGATTTACACCGAATTGTGGTGGAGGAAAGTAACTGATTTGCGACGGTGGAATTGGGCAAGGAGCAAATGAAGAGAGGGGTTCTGATTCAAAAAGTGACACCAGGCCACCACGGGTAGTTGCACAGCCCAGCCTTCCCCTTCTGGATGATAACGAAAACGCTCGTGATGCGCGATGTGCGATGCACTCGAACTTGACGCGAGGGAAGCAAACGAAACGAGGGTTGAAGCCAGTTCGCCACTACCTCTACCTCTACCCGCACTCGCAGTTGAGTTGATGAGACGATGAGATGAGATGAGATGGATGAGGCGCTTGGCGAGGATTAATATTGATTGGTGCTGGTGCTGGTACTGGTGCTTGTATGCCATGTCCCCCCCGCGCTTCCATCGCCATTCAGCTTCTTACACTCAGCGGCGAGACGAATTGCGGCGCCTTGCTTGTCAATGTCGTCCAACCAACACTCGTGCTGACGGTGACTTCCAGGTTCTTGGATTTTTCCGTAACAAAGTTGCATTCATCCATATCATCCCATAAACGACATCTCGAGTTTCAGGATCATACCTTCACCAAAATCCCGGGCAGAATTCACACAACGCAATAGGATGCAATAAACGAAAAGAACAACCACATATAAAAACTAGGGTTGACTTACGGCTTTGGCTTCGGAGTTGGCACTGGCGCTGGAGCCCGTTTCCCCTTAGATTGGCCCCAATCGTACCCTCCTTGGTCCTCCGATCCCTCCGAATCTGTACTCAATCTCCTCATCTTCTTACTGGCTCGTTCCCCTTTGCTAGCCATGATGAATCTCAACCGTGGAGAACAGAGGATATATGCAACAGTTGCCGATTATGATTCGCAGGGCGAAAGGGTTAGACAGATGGGATGACTGTCACCTCACACTAATTGTCTCGTGTAGTTGTGAAAGTTAAAGATTGCGTGGTGAAAACCCGTAGAAGTGAATAAAGCGAATGGTTCATTAATTGGGCTGAAGTGTAATGTGAACATATGGGGAACATCGATGATGCTAAACCTGACCGTCCATTTCCCGGCCTCAAATCGGCGAGATATGGCCGGATGAGTAGGCCAAGTTTCCTCACTTCCAGCCAATCATGATGGTGTACTATGGTTTATGTAAGCGAACTCTCTTGCCTCGGGTCCCAATACACTGACGCCCCGGCGTCAGTTTAGAGCTGACTAAGCGCGGGTTTTCACGCCCCCCCACCATCCACGAACACTCTACTTATACCTATAATTAATACATGCTTAACAAAATAACATATAATAAATCCTACAATATATATCGCTCCGAGTCTCGCGCATACTCCTCCTCAAGTCTAGCCCATATATCCCTACTCCTATTCTCAGTATTCCTATTCCTATTCCTAATAAACTCTGATTCAAGCATATTATACTCATCTTGCTCCTTCTTTTCCTCGTTATCTAGCCATGCTATAATCTCCTCATTTGTCCAGTCAGCTTTATTTGTAATAATAGTACCTGTAAGATCACGCCGCTCCCTAGGCATATAAAATACCTGCTCTTTTAAAATTTTCGGCCTTGGTGTTTTCCATTTTCGGGCCTTACGATATTCTGCTGGCCGTATAGTAGGATGCTGGGCTAGCCAGGCTGTTTTTTCAGCTAGGTAGGCCAGAATTAAGACTTCTGGCCGATCTGGTGAAAGCTGCTTAGGTACAGTTGGTGCTAGAGATGCTAAAGGTGCTGATGCTAGAGGTGCTGAAGGTGCTGTAGGTGATGTGGATAATGTGGGTGATGTGGGCACTGTATCTAATTCAAGGAGAATCTAGCTTTGAGCAGCAATTGATGCTTGTAGTTTCAACGGGCAGCTACGGCTACTCATTGTGTGGCCTTGCCTGTGGCTAGCAGAGCATTTAGGTAATTGCTTTGCTTTTTTCTCCCCTTTTGAGAGAATCCGGCCTGTGTGAGCAACCTCTGCGTTTGCTATACGCTGTCTACCAGCCCATAGAGGGTTAAGTAGTGGCTGTATAGTGCTTTTACGGTCCCAGTACCAGTGCTCATGAAAGTCTGATGGAGTAAGCCCAGTAGTGTCCTTCTTTATCTCGCATATATGTGCACAAGGCAAGCCCATTGCCCGGGTAAAAGCACCAGTACAGGGCAGTAGTGGCCGAGAAACAGTCTCTTGATGTCGTTGTACAAGTCGTAGTGCATACCAAGTGACTACCCCAAAACAGCCTTGATATAGCTTCTTGTCTATATCAAGTGGTGCGCGGTCCTGTAACATACTTATACGAGTTGATACAGCTGTAATTTGGTTGATTACAGCTGCTTCAATAAGTAGCCATGATGAATAGAGGTCCCCCTTGGTTTTTTTGCCCCCTAGGTAGCGCTTAATATATGCATGAGCTCCTTCAGCACGGGAGGTTACTCGTATACCGAAGTGTAAGTATTGATTTGTCCAAGCCTCAACTAAACGCTCCTTTTGACCAGGTTTTAGCCACTCGTTTTGTAGGTATGCCACACACTGTTGAGTCTTAGGGTTTGAGTATTGAGTCTGAAACTCAAGCCAGCGCTTATCAAATTGCTCAATTGTCTGTGCTTGAATAACTATACGCCAGGCAGCCTCAAAAGCCTTCCAATCCTCTTCCCCGACTACATTCTTACATTTAGCAAGTACACATTGGTTTACATGCCAAATACAGAGTAGTGTAGGGGCGTGCGGAAACACCTCTTCTGACGCATTCTTTTGAGCCTGGTCACCGTCTATAACTATAGCTCCAGGGTTAATTCCAAGCTCTTGAAAACATTGGAATCCCCATATAAAGTCTTCCTGTGTTTCACCGGGAAGGAAGCAAAATCCAATTGAGAACGTTAATCCAGAGCTTGTAACACCTATGAATACTTAGTATTATAAGCGTACAAATAAGTCAAAAGCGGTACTTACCAATCATATGTAAGAGTGGCATCTGAAACTTATTTGTCTTATATGTATTATCAACTAATACAACATCTTGATTAGTCTGTGCAAGCTGAATTGACTGTGGATATGCAATGAAGAGGTGTTGTGTCCGGTTCTCTGACGTGACATTGATTTTGAAGTGTATTTTGTTATCTGTAAGGTGCTGAATAAGGGCGTCGTTTGGAGAGAGTCCATGTCTTTGCTCTCTTTTAAAAGAGGCATTCAGGTTATATATGTCGTACGGTTGAAGTGGGGTAGTAGTTATCTGGCGAAGGTATGTAATTGCTTGGCTTGGCTTAATCCCTAAATATATATTAGACTTAAATTATTTCAAGTTACTTTCTATCTTACCTGCATTGTGTAAAGATCTAGCCTGATTTATCTCTGCTTGTGCTAGCTTCCGGTGTGCTGGATGAGAGCTAACTGATTGACTTGGAAGGTGGTTATGTAGACTATACTCTACGCCAGGCCTATAGCGTAACTCCCATTGAGAATTTATACATTCAAGCGCTACTATTGAGAACTGGCAGCCAGTTTTTCGAGTAGTTGTCTGTCGCTTACGTGCTTGTAAATGCTGTTGCGGATGTTTTTCGGATGGTGGTAGGCCGTAACGGTCGCAATTATACGTGATCTTCGTCCTAGGACCGCCATGGATCTTTGTTGACCGTCCAATACGAAAAGCATAGCAATGATGTGCTGCCCAGGCTTGAATTGAAGTATATAGCTCTTCTTTAGAGCTATATATAGCCTCTGGAGGCAGTGGCATAGACGTATGAGGGGTGGCATCTGCTGACGCTGGCTCAAGTGGTTGCTCAGGTGAATGTAAGGGCAGTGGCGACAGCGAGAGTTGAACGTCCATTTTCGCTATGTAGCTATGTCAGGCGTGCATTGATTACAGTCCAAAGTACAGTGCTGGTAGATGCAAATGCGACGCGCGCGCATTTCGGTGGTGGGGGGGCGTGAAAACCCGCGCTTAGTCAGCTCTAAACTGACGCCGGGGCGTCAGTGTATTGGGACCCTCTTGGCTCGGCTTGCAGCTCCCCCAGGTCAACATGCCAAAACATAACATATACTTGCGCCTTCCTACCTCTTTTCAACCACGCAACTCTTCACGATGAGCGACTCGGATGCCGGAGAAAAGAAAGCAGACGGGCCTTCATGGCAACAAGATCCAGCACAAAAACCTCTACAGGAAGACGATAAGCCCGCTGAGGAGCCCAAACCAAATCGAGAAACGATCCTAGCCAGCGCACGAAAGTTCCTACAAGAAGAGGAAGTAAAAGACGCTTCTACGGACAAAAAGATAGCTTTCTTGGAAAGCAAAGGACTGGGAAGTGAGGATATACAGGAGCTGCTCAGCGTGTCAAAGGATTCTGAGGCTAGCAGTAGTACAACACCTCAAGTGGAAGCGGTATGTAGTTCTATCTCTCAAATACCACTAATTCATATACTTACTCAATCACAGACGACCGAAAAGCCAGATGAAATTTCAGATGCAATCCCAGACGAAATCCCAGATTCAAGTCCTCCGCCTCCAGCAAACTATCCAGCTGAATTTCCACCGCAGCCTCCCATCATAACATACCCCGAATTCCTGATTGCCCCATCACAACCCACTCCAATAATAACGAAACCCCGCCTCTTAACGACACTTTACCTATTCTCATCCCTTTCTCTCCTACTATACGGTACATCAGAATTCCTCGTTGCACCTATGGTTGCCAACTTGACCGCCTCCCGGATCTCTCTCGCCTCTACTGCGTCAGCGAACCTCTCCAAGATGATACAGAAATTAGAAGGGATGGTATCTGAAATCCCAGAAGAATGTTCAAATGACAAGACAGAACAAGGAAACACCGCAGCGGAAGATTCTGAGGCGGAAGATCCCTCTGAACTCTTTCACAGAGATATTGGAGTTCAAACCTCACCTCCCCAGAGCCGAGCTGCGTCCCCATCACCACTCTCCCCTCTGAAATCCCAAAGTACTCGTCTGGCTTCTTTGACGAAATCCATGCAAGGCTTGATTTCGGACGGCAATAGCGAAGGCGAGGGTGCAAAGGAGCTAGAAACTACGATTGGTATATTGAGAGAATATCTGGATGGGATTGCGTATGTGCCACCAGTTTATGGTTATAATAATGGATTCGGAATGGGAGTCACACCTAAAGAGGATGATGAAATTGCTAGGGTCAAGGCCGGAATCCGAGGTGTCAAAGGGGTGCTGCTCAGTGCTAGGAGTTTTCCTGGGGGCGTTAGGGCTGGGTCAAAATAGTGTCTGGTAAGTTATTAATGATAATACGATATTTAATTGTGCCCTACTTGCTAGCTATCCAGGTCTTCTCCTTTCATTGGTCTTTGGGGACGTAGTATATAGAGTACTGGTCCATTTCAACTCCTGCGGCCGCCATGCAACTCCATGCTCCCATCTATGATGTCCATCACTATTTCTTTTCTGCATCTTCAAGGTTCGATTCATCATCAGTACGGTACAAACCTAGTACATGGGCTTATTTTCCTGATTAAGCGATCAGTTCGCCGTCAGCACCACCAAAACAGGGCGTCGACGATACCACCCTTTTGCCAGGGTCATTGCCCAATGCAACCCACCACAAGAAGCAGCGTCTTATTTCAGCGCTGGATTTCCAAGGCTCTCAGATAAGGATGGCCGCTCCTCCCACCAGACTTCTCTCGCCAAACACGCATACAACCACACCGTTTACCCATCGAGTCCTTCAACAACTTCGTTGCTGCCCTATACACCACCATGTCGGAGCCCTTCGATGACCAGGCTTTCAACTTCAATGATTGGATGAACCTCCCGGAGGACCAATCATTCATGGATCTTGATCCCAGCTTTGATTCAATGCTGCCTGTTGAGGGCGGGATGGATCTTGGCGGGTGAGTTTTTTTTTAGTACTTGCTAACAAAAAGGGTGTCAGGCGGCTCAGGGACATGCGAGCCGCCACATGGGCCCCATTGGTCAATTCAGATCATAGGAATAAAATCCAATCCAGTGTGGAAAGTGCTACCCAGAGCCAGCCTCCTGCTTTAGCTGCAAAAGAAATGTATGTTTAGCTCAAAGACCCAAGGCCTAACTTCAACCGAACTTATGCTCTGAATAGATTCATTCAGGCCTGCGTATCATGTAACGAAGTCTTTGAAGGCGCATCAGAGTACCATGCCCAATACTTCCTGCTCAGTCACGCAAAAAAAGCAAGCCATGCAGGGCTCGCTTGCTCTATTCGCGGCTGCGATCAGGTATTTCTCGACTACCGAGAGCGAGATGCCCATCAGAAAAGACCTCATACGCTTGGCCATGGACGGCGCCCAACGGCAGCACCACACGACTGTATTCAGTGCGGAGGATCCTCGTCTTCAAAGGCTGATCTTCTTCGGCATGCTAAAGAACAACAACACCAGCCTTACGCATGCGAATGTGGTGCATCTTTCTCTAGATTAGATGTTCCGAATCGACATCTTGACAAATTCAGCGACGAAGAACCCAAATATCCGTGCAAGTACTGTAAGCGTCACCGTGGACCAGAGGGCTTCAGGCGCCACGATCACCTCCTTCAACACATGCGCAATTATCACCACCATGATATAGAAAGCAAAAACATATTGAAATACTCATTCCCGGTTTGTTCTTATCCCGAATGCCCGGAGTACCGCGATGATTCGTTCACGAAGATGTCAAGAAAGGAGCAGGACCAAAACAAGCCATCTTCTTCCAGATCCGCGTACACCAAACACATGCGTGATGCTCACAATGAGACGCCGTATCCTTGTGATATTCCTGGATGCCTCCGTGTGGGAAGGAAGGGGTATTTCAGAGAGAAGGATCTCATAAAGCATCGCAAGGACGAGCACCCAGGAAGCGATGCATATCAGGTTATATCACGACCTATGCGCACCAATTGTCTTGGTTGCGGCGTTTCGTTGGATCCCTCTTCTCTGAATCACCATCCTTGCACTTGGAAAAGGAACAAGTGAGATCATAGGCCATTTTATTTTCTTGGTGGATTCTTGATTCAGTTATTTCCTGATAGTTTATTCTTCGCGGAATCTTGTATTCTTTACTGTGTATCTTCTCCTTGCATTTGACAACGTATTTCTTATCTACTTAAGTTCCAAAACACCAAAAAAGTTGAAACATTTCTGATCTACAATCAGTAACGACATCATGTTTCTCTGGTCGCTGTCTTCTTTTCTGCTACAATTGTCATGTCTACATTCCACTCGGAAGTTTCGAAACACCAAAAAAAGTTGAAAAATAGTCAAATAAAAATCAGTAACGACCATGTTTTGTTCCACACACAGCGGTGATATGATGAATCAGTGATGTTTGTGATTCGTACCTACGACTTGATGTGAAATGCTCCATCTTCCATGATCTATAGCCTCTTCTGACTAAAACTTGAGCCCAAGAGATGTTGACGAAGGGGACTGAATATGACTCAGGGATTTTATGTGACTGACTGCGTAGGAATGATTGTGACTTGCTGGGCTCAGTAGCACTAGCTCAACACCAACTTGGGAGAAAGGCTCTGATTCCAGGAAGTTGGGAAGACGGAAATATGGTTTTGAGAAAGGAGTCTAATGTAGAAAGTAAGATAGCGAGATGCTTAATTGCTGTGAGAATGTTCCCACGTGGCTCTAGTACAAAGCTTGATCCTACCTAGTAATCCCAACTTCAGATGGAGCGGGTTGGCCAACAGATGTGGCGTTTTCTGCATTTGACATCTGCCTTTGACATCTGCCTACTTAGAGATGCCAGAGATGTCAGAGATAAACATGTTAGATAATCACTTGGCTTTATATCGTCAAACGCTATATTTTAAGCTTCTTTTCCGCCCTCCAAAATTTGGCGATCATGAATGCGCTTCCTGATTTTCCCATGGGCATAAATGAGTGCGGTTTCCGATCGTCTACAGGGATCACCAGGCCCCAGAGAAAAATGGGCATTCTCGAAAAGCCATGAAAAGTGGCTCATGACCCCGCGCGAAAGTTTGTTTGGAATCTTACCAACGACATCCGATTCTCTTTTTAAGTTGGCTTCCCCGCTACCCGCTATGGACTTTTGTTTACGTTTTGGGTGAATCTGAACTTTCTATTCCCTCGTGGTACCAAATGTCGGCCACTCATGCAGAAGACGATGCACCAATCAGCAGCACTACCACATCTCGCACAGGAACGGCAGGAAGTTTAGTGGCGGATCCGATTCATCACCAACGAGGGGAAACGCCACCGCCATCGCCATCGAGAGCGAAGGTAAATGCTAGTGTCAAAACTTGTAGTGCTGCTACTGTAGCTGCAGAACCTGAAATCATGGCGACTGCCATATCGAGTCTACCCCGATCTCCACTTACTTCACTACCGACACTAAAACCCGTGGAAGAAGGGGATGCTGTGCCACTGGCTGCCGCCCCTGCCGCTAAAGCTTCCCCGCATACGACAGCATCGCATCCGCTGCAAAATCAGCATCACGAGCTTCACCAGCAGTGCGCCGGATTGGGATTGGAGGCTACAGAGGCTACAGAGGCCACAGGAAAGGGAAGCAAAGGTGGGGAAGCCAATCATTCTGTAACCGCACCAGAGAATCATAGTGCGACGGAACACCAGAGCCAGGACAAGGACAAGGACAAGCAAGGGCACGGCAGCTTCGTCGCTTCCCACGAAATGACAATGAGAGTCAAAGGAGGTAAGACACGCGAGCACTTGCTCCCTCCTCTACAGTCAAGGAATGTTCATTATTCGAGCAGCTCTATCATCCCCCAACCAAGGAACACAATTAATTGAATTTATTAGAAGCAGCACACTCAACAGTAACTCTTACCTCCAATCCACATCAAGCAGACATCACACCACTCTCCCCAAAGACAGCAGACCCTACCTCCGATAATAAAGCTCCTATTCCTCCAACCGGACATCCTTCGGGTCGTCAACAGCCACCTCCTCTCTCCAATATATTCCACTTTCATCACGGTTCGGGTGATAATCCACAAACACCTGCACCACATCCACACATGTTTTTCAAAACTTCCCATGGCCCAGGCACTGCTGCCCACCGTCGAAAAAGTCTGGCAAATACAACAGCAATCACCAATTACGAAGCCGACTTGACGAGTCGAGACCGAGTCAAGCTGAAGGAGGCAGTCAAAAAATACTTGGTAGAAAAGGTCAAGGATGATTGGAAGTGGGAGTGGCCGCGGCCGGAGGAGACGAGCTCCCCTGATAATACGCGGGTTCTGGAACTTGATGGAGCTACGGAAGAAACTCCAAATGAAGACCTAGAGCCTACAGAAAGTATTGAGCAACAATGGCAGGAGAGGGATGAATGGATTAGTAACGCGAGTGAAAGCGAGCCAGAACCTGCGTCCAAAGTCTTGAATGGTATAACCTCAAATCCCAGGACGAGTCCATTTCGATTCGAGAATCCAGATGTTGTAGGAGAGACAGTTCAAAATGCCCTCCGGGATCGCAAGCGAAGACGGAAGAGGAGGAATAAGGAGGAAATGAATTGGAATGATGGAGTGCGATGTTTCACAGAACGGCGAGATGCATGGACTGGGGCTCGTCGAAAACGTGCCGCTCCCCAAAATACGGCCCAACAAAAGCGAACTTCAGTATCCACCGAAGATGGTGGTAGTTCTACGGCCATCGAGAACGAAGCCGACGATGAATGGGAAGATTCTGATACTGAGGTTCCAATTGCCCCACCAATACTACCCCCTACCAACGCTATGCGGCAAAGCATCACCCCTGAGGCTTACAATACGATATACGACAAAGTAATCCTTCAGCAATTGACCCCCAGTTGCCCTATGAATCTTCAAGATGTGATACGCAGTTGTGTCCATGGTTGGAAACGAGATAATGAATGGCCACCGAAAGCCGCAGGTGGACCAATCCAAGTACCCAAACCGAAGAAAAAGTTGAGAAAGTTGAGTGTAGCGGGTATCTTTGGACTCGACAAAGACAAAGACGGGAATAAAGATCAGCCGACCAGTCCAGGGGGTATTCGAAGGGGATTACAGAGATTGATGAGTTTTGGAAAGGATAGTGTATCGTCGCCTACCAGTCCAGGACTTAATGGTCATGTGGCTAATGGGAATGGGAATGGGAATTTGCATGCAGATGGACAGGTTGGGAATGGACATGTGGAGGTAGAGGGAGAGGAGGTTGCTAAACCAACTCCTCCTCCCCCTTGACGAGGCTCTGTCTACTTTTCTACTCCTCAGTATTTGTTTTTGTTGCGGCATGTGTATAGTACTCATGGCGGTTTTTTGGACGTTGCATATATGCATGATACGGCGTTTTTTCTCTCTCCTCCCTACGACCTTGCACGCTTTCTTTTGATTCTGGTATAGCTAGCTATCTAGCTAGCTGTGTTCTTATATGTTTTGGGTGCATGGTGGTTAGTGGTGCTTGGGTATAGCTAGCCTTTTTTGGGGGTTTTTGGTGGCACTCGTGGTCATTTTATGATGAGAGATGAAGTAGTAATTGTATTAGCTATGGGGTGGGAGATTGTAGAAGGGTGGAAAGGGGGAGAGAGAGGGCTAGTCTTGTCGATAAGGTAGATTTGGTTAGGTTATGTACTTGGGATAGTGGTTTAATCGTAATTATTATACTTACTATTCTACTTCCCTTTTTAAGGGGGGGGGGAAGCTTTTACAACGCTTCTTTTGAAATGTGTTTTCAAGGGGTAAGTGAGAGTATAGAGGTAGGTTAGTAGGGTAGGCTAGTATAAGGGGTAGGGTGTTTTATTATCATTCTAAGGTCAGAATAGAGTAGCTTATAGATAATAAGTAGGACTTGGGTAGGTAGAGGATATACTCTTTTTATTAGTATAGGAGTAGAAGGGAGGAGAGGAAGTCAGAGAGAGGGGGGGTAATTTAGTTAGAGGGTAGAGGGTGTATTAGTATAGAATACCTAGGTAAGTATACGAGTATTAAGAAGGGGTATATTATTTATTCTTTTTGGTTTTTCTATTTAAAGAGATTAAAAGAGTTAAATAATAAGTATAGGTAGAGGGAGTAAAATAGAGATTAGAGAGTATTAAGTAATGAGTATATTAAAGATAAATTATTTCATAAAGATAGAAATAATTTATTTCTTTTAGGTATGTTAGATAACAGAATAAGGTTTGTTATATAAGGAGAGGGGTTTTCGTGTAAGGGTAGAGGGGTAGTTTAGAGGTTTTAGGGAGGTTAGGTAAGGGGGTTAATTATTAGTAAAATAGTAGTTAGAGGTAGAATAAGTTATTTTATAGAGTTTTAGTTTATTAAGTGTTTAGTATAAAGGAATTACTTAAAAGGGTTCTTTTCATGTGTTTTTTCTAGAGTATTAAGATATAAGAAAATATATACTTAAAGTAAATTATAACTTCTAAGTAGGTTAAATTAGAGCTTAAATATTTAGAATTTATTTAGTTAGATAAATAACTTTCTATTTTATAGGGAAGATATTATAAAGGTAGATAGATAATCTTACTCTACTTTAATTATGTATTTCTTTTATATTTTAGTACTCTAGAAGGAATAAGTAGGTTACTTAATTTAAGAAGTTTTTTACTTAGGAATAGTTTAATAGTATTTAAACGTGATCTCGAGAATACAAATCTTCGTTTATATTAAATCATCGTATTATAAAGCCTCGTCAGGCACGTCTAAGGGTATTTGGGCGTCTTGCCCTCTTCGAGCGTCTTAGCTCCCCTTCCTCTACTTCCACCGGAGCCTCTACCTCCTCCCGTTTCCTCTTCCCCTTCCCTCTCACCGGTTCCGCCTCTGGTTCCTTCTCTTTCGCCTCGGCTTTCGCCTTGGCTCCCTTCTTCCAAAGATGCTGCACCCGAAAGTGTTCCACAACCCCCCCCTCCCCATGCTCTACCCCACACCCACAAACCCTCTCCCTCAACCCCTTCCTCCCCAAAAAGTCATCCCACACCACCATCGCCTTCTTCCTCCACTTCCCATTCCCCCTCCCAAACTCCCGCACCCTCTCCCCAGCCGCAACCCAAGCCTCCACCGCCTCCCCCTCCTGCTGGCCATCCAGGCCCAGCTCCACACAATCCAGGAACCACCCCAGCACCTCCTCCGCGAAGGAGGTGCTGTTCCGATCAATGCTAGCCGAAAGCAACAGCGGATACGTCTTGATCGAATCCGGTGTTGTGAAGTCGAGGGCGTTGTGGAACCCCCCGGAGGTGGTAAAGACCCCGTGGATATAACCTACTGGTAGGTAGATTGCGGAGGACGAGGTGGTGGTGAGGATTATACCGCCCTCCAGGAGGTGCCCGATTCGTTGGGTCTTTGACCGGCGGCCTTCGTTCTTGGCGAGGAGGGAGAGGTTCTTTGGTGTGGGGGGAAGAGAATCCAGATTTTGGTGCAGGCACCGAGGGGGATGGAGAATCCTTCTGTTGGGTCTGTGTGGTGGTTAGCTTTCGGCTATTGAAAAGGGGGGAGGGGAGGAAGGTGGGGTGTTTTTGGAAAGGTGTGGAGGGAAAATCTAAAAGTGTTAGTGAGAAAAGGGGGAAGATTCACTAACCTATGTGCAGATCGGAGCTTGACAGCCTTGGGGTCAGGAGAAGTTGATGGCCGCTTTCCAGGTATGGCTCCACCGAAGTGGATAAGCCCAATGGGCACTTGAAGAAGTTATCTGGAAGGGAAGGAAGTTTCAAACCAATGAGAGTGACTGGTGATGCCGCATCCGGTTCAATCAATTGGGCGACGGCGATCCTGGGATCGAAATCTGCAGCTGCTTGTTGGCCCCGCTGGTAGGTGGTTGGCTGCGGTTGGGTGCGATCACCCAGGATATCAAAGGTGGAAAGCACGAGAGTTGCGGCCGAAGGGGATTTTTGCACCCAGCACCGCTCAGCCGGGAAAATTCGTGGTGGTGTTGTGGTAGTGGTGTCCCAAAGGGTCTTGACTCGTCGGGGAAGGTTGTCCAGAGTGCTTAATTCCATTCGGCGAAGTGCATTGATAGTCTCATCATCAAACCCTACCATGGTATCAATGATCTCTGCAACCGAGCTTTGAGGGGCGGCACTACTGCGCTCGATGGCGCCTGTGACCGTTGAACTGTCGAGCGAGATGTTGAGATGGAGCTTCATTGCTGCCATATCGAAAAGAAGAAAAAGAGGAAAGAAAAAGAAGAGGAGAAACGAAGAAGGGGGACATAAAGAAGAAGAAGGGGTTGGTGGCGATGAGGTTGTCGACCAGCGACAAGAAGAATTGAAGAGTTGAAAAGACAAGTCGACCAGCGACAAGAAAATTTCGAAGTGAAAGAAGGGTCCAATAGACAGAAGAAGAGAAAGTTGTGACTGAGGAGAGAAGAAAACATCTTTTCAGAGCAAGATGCTCGGAATATATATTCATTCCGTCTCTCTGGATAGTAATTGAGACTGCCGACTGCTATTGTGTGGTACTTTTACAGACTGAGCTCGCTGCTTGCAATTGTGGTCATGTTATTGTTGGTAAAGCTGCTTGTGGGTTTTGGTGGGGCGAATAAAGGGTTAACGAGAAGACAATGGTTGGCGACAATACTTGATTTTTTCGCAATTGTGCGAATCTGTGGCGCATTTAAAAGTTGATATTGTTGCAATTGAGCTGAGGTAGGTTTCAAGTGGTCAATTGTAAATCTGATCTGGTTCTTAGTATAGAGCTTTTAGGTAGTCTATTGTCAATTTGTTTTGGTTTCTTATTGTAGGGATTTTATGCGATTGCCAATGCGGCCAGAATCAATTCTGCAACAATCCTAACATCTGAACAATTGATGATCTCTTGCGTAATTGAACCTTCTTCCCATTTTAGAGAAATGGGGAATGCATCGCTTGTCTGTCTCCCTCACTTTGTGGATATGGTAACGTTCAATGACCTTCTCTGATACCCGATCCGATTGTGCCGCACTCACAATTGGGTTCTCTCCTCTTCAGAAGCCCCCGTATCTTCAGTCTTCCAGTGGTATTACCATTAGCAGCAGCCTCTGCTACTCCTCAGACCAGGGAAGCTTGTTGTATGGGTAAATGATACAATATTTGAAAGCCTATTCCCGCTCTTTATTCCCTGCTGCCGTAAATAGCATGTCTTATTGTATTATTTCCACCCGTCAGCTTTCAGTGCCGCACCACTTAGTACACCTGCGTCAAGTACCAACGTGGCCATTTTTATTTCACCCCTTTTTCTACGATTAAGAATTGAAAGCTCGCTTCCGTAATTGCTCAAAACCGCAGCGTTCAATATACTATTTTGTGAATTGATACCTCTCGCGCACCTTGCCATTGAGAATTTCCATAATACTCTTCCCCTCAAACTTGGCTATGTTACGAATACCCATTTCTGTATTCGAAAGGTCATCCAGTTTTCATTCTTCGAATCATTGTTGTGTTCCCAGCGCCTTTCTCCTCTCAAATATCGGTACCTCTTGGTCCTTCCGGTGGCGATGGGGGTTTGTCCAGCTCTGACAGCCCCCAGAGAGTTTTGAATTCATAGGGAGGCTGTAGCAATACTATAATTTCTGATATGTCTTCAAACGATCTTACAATTATTACGATAAAAGTTTAGCTCTGAGATTGCTTCATGACCGCGTTTGCAGCAAGTCTCTCAAAGGCACAAGGCATATGATTATTTTCGACAAAGCTACCTCATATTGTAAATGGAAGGGTGATCTGATCGCATTGAAAAATCCTCACGCAGCTCTCAAACAGTCTGTCTCTTTCTTTCTATAACCAACCTTATATTCGGTCTATTCTAATCGCGAGCACGGTATATATCTGCAACCTCGCCGAGAATCCAAGCTCTGCTTTCTACAATCAATCACCCCTTGGCTATCCAGGGTTGAGATGAACGACTCTGACCAATGACGAAGCGAAATTTTGCGAATCACTTCATTCAGCGAAACCTTCTGCCAAGTAGTCTATGAGAAACGCACCTGGAACGTCGAGACTCGCACTTTCAAACCAGTGTGCCATATAGTTTGAAATTTTAGTTTCGCGTGAAGGGTACAGTACATGTTGATCATTTTACCCAATGGTTGATTATTTAAGGTCGTGCAGCGAAAGAAATGAGTTGAGTTGAGTACGAGTAGGTGCCACTACGTAAGTCAAACTTAAGAACTTGGCGCGAAGTGCTCAAGTAGTTGAGTAGTGCGGAGCCGAGTCGGCCCGGGACCCTCTAGCGCACCTGGAGTACTTCTGTTGGTCGGTATGACCACTTGGATTTACCGTATCTCCCTGCGAGAGTGGATATGGGTCTAGCCGAATGTGGAAGTCACGTGTGACATGGAAAGGGGGGAGGCATAGGTTATTTTGTAAACAAATACTAAATTCATTGAATCCTAGCCTATTTAACTACTATAACTATATCGCAAGCTATAATCCTATATATATAGACTCTAAGGGTTCCTCTAGACGAGGTTTCTACTAATTCCTTAATCTAGTATAATACGCTTATCTTAATATAGATTTTTCCCTTATTCTTCTAATCTCTAAAAGAGACTCTAGAATCCTTCGTATAAGCTAGAATGTTAAACCTTGAATACCTACTAGATTAGGTAAGGCGTAGGAATACTTACTAGATTAGGTAAGAAAAAGTAGGCCGGTAGAAATACTAAAACTCGTTCGTAGCGTATAGCTCTTTATACCTACGTAGTAGTACTTCTACCGGTCGGAAAGACGTATAACGTGGTTTATCAGCGAGTCGATCATATCACCGAGTCGATCACTTTTTCTTGGCACAGAACTTTACACCTAAATAAATCAACCACAATATATTAAATTAATTATCGCTCTCTATATCTGACGAACTAGATATATCTATAACTTCTTGACAAGTTCGCGCGTTATGACCAGCTTTTCCACAAGTTCTACAGCGCCGCCTAGAAGGTTGCCCCTCCTTGTAACCAACCCCCGCCTCACGCATGTCGCGTCGTACTTGCTCATCTACATCCTCCTGAGCTAACATATCCTGTACATCCTCTACTATAAGTGCCCCTCCTTGGCGGACACGAGTCTTTTTAGCCCTACGGCGTTTACTTAGGGCTTCATTTGCAGCGCGAAGGGTACGGACCTCAGCAGACAAAAGGGTCATCTCATGTGCCATTCGCTCTGTACCCTTTGCTAACGCAGCAACTGTTTGAAAAAGTGGAGTTGGCGAGCTTCCTTGATGACAGGCTATACGATTTCGTACAAGAGTTGATTGTGAAAGGGCTTCAGTTGGGTTGGAAGGGGTCTGGGACACCCAGGGGAGGGAGTTGGCACTACACGTCCGAGGGGGAGTTGGAGTCCGTAACCTTACGTCAAGCTTTGAAAGCACTGCTTGCGGGTTAAATGGTACTAGGCCAGCTCCGCGGAATCCAGACTGACAGTTTAGGACTGTCATTGTTTCCTTGTATGCTGCTGTAAAGGCTAGAAAGAACTCAACCTTTGTAATATGGTTGATATGGGCCTTGATAAACGTCTCAATCTGCCGACCATACGCTCGTTTTAACACACTATAGCACCCAACATCAAGTGGCTGGGTTAGATGGGATGAATGAGGAGGTAGTCCAAGAGTAATAATGTTGTGTTTCGTACAGTAGTCTTGGAACTCAGCCGATTCATGACTCTCGTGCCCATCCAAAACTAGTATTCGATACAGACCCTTTGCACGAGCTGTAGTGTGTTTATCAAAGTGCTTTAACCATTCCAGGCCTGTTTCATTATTTGTCCAACCATTGCTTGTCGGTTTCATAACCCAGTTAGGTGGGAGGCCGCCGTCGGTATACCAGTTGGAGAGATGGTTCTTGCCCTGAACTACCAAGAATGGAGGAATACTCCAGCCCTCCCCATTAATACAGGCAATTGCTGTAGCCCATTCCCGATTGCCTGGCTGAACTGCCTTGCCTCTACCACGTCGGTCTGCACGAGTAACAACCATTCTAGGACAAATAACACCCATCATAAAGCCTGTCTCGTCGAAGTTGTAGAAGTCGGAGTCTGTAACCCCATATTTCGCCCTCATATTCTCTACTAGCCGGAACCATGCGCCTAGCACGTCAGGATCTTCGCATAAGGCCCTCTGGAAGTCGTAAACGCGATTAAAACGCGTCTTAAGGTCTGGTTGTCGTTGTACGAATCGATGGGCCCAGAGCTTGCCGACGCGTCTTCCCCCCCGCGATTCAAGGATAAAATTAGCCATATCTTCTACACCAGCGAGCCGGGGCGCAAATCCTCTGGAATCCATATCCAGTATATACCGAATAATCACTTCCTCTTCTAACTCAGTCAACTTATGACAATTGGCTTGAGAATCTGGGCGGTAGGTTCGGCCAGCCATTCTGTCGGAAAGAGTCGTATATGGTACATTGTAGATCTTTGCCGCAGAGCGTTTGCTTAGTTTTTTGGACGACCGAATAGCCTCGATAGCTAGAGTAATTCGCGCTTCTTGAGTTTGAATTTCCATGGTAAATAGTTGAAGAAAACATGTGTTGAAGTTTGAGGAGGTAGTGCCAAGGAAAAGTGATCGACTCGGTGATATGATCGACTCGCTGATAAACCACGTTACATAGAGTTGTCCTTATTAGTGAACTTGTCTGGGTGAGACTGCGAGTGGCGAGGCTTCCTCTCATACTGAGTTTGAGCTGAAGCTGTAGAGGGTGTGCTAGTTTGAGCAGTGGAATCGTTGATATTGTTGAATTGTGACATTAATTGAAAAAACTGTGCCATCCATTGTGGTGGATCTTGGTGTATCGCGTAGGGTTGCTGAGCATGCTATGTTTGTTGGGCATCAAACTGGGTTGCTCCAACGGGTTCTTCCTGGGCCGGATGATATTGCTGGAATTGCTCTTCCTGAGCAGTGTATTGTTGATTGGTGTCCATGTGGTGGTCCATCTTAACCGACTAATTGACTGCCTAATTGACTGATGCTGACTGAATAGCCTCAACGTAGGTGAGGGCTTCTGCTGACTGACTGATGACTGACTGAATGGCCTCAACGTGGGTGAGGGCTTCTGCTGACTGATAACTGACTGACTGACTGACTGAATGGTTGACTGAATGGCTGACTGATTGGCTGACTGATTGGCTGACTGATTGGCTCTGGTCCAAAGTGGATGAGAGTGACGCACTTCTACTGTGAGAGGCCAGACCTCGAATAGCTCAAAGGTGTGGTTTCGAATATTCAATTAAGAAGTGCGTGAAGACTACATGCAATCTCTTCCTCTATATATAGAGAGAGGAAGAGTTTCTGGAGTCTTCCAAGAAACTGTTTGACAAATACGTGACGTCAAAAGAATAGAGTAGAAAAGTGTAGAAAAGGAGATACCAATTTAGCAGTGGAGCAATGGCCAATGCTGAGCGGGGACTTTGGTCAGTGCTTAGCGAGGGCATGGCCCGAGCCTCCNGGAGATACCAATTTAGCAGTGGAGCAATGGCCAATGCTGAGCGGGGACTTTGGTCAGTGCTTAGCGAGGGCATGGCCCGAGCCTCCATCATGGGTTCCAACCCTCACAGGATGTCGGTGATAGCTTTCACATGCGGGTGTAAGATTGTACCATCATCGTTGATACCGTGTGCGACCTGGTTATATGCTTTTGAGGAGAGTAGGCTAATAACATAGCCCATTCGTTGTTGTTCCGAGGTCCACCAGTCGTTATTCATTCTGAGTTTCAACTGGAGCTTCCGAAGGAATGAGGGGAGTTCCTTTGGGTCCTCTCCTGAGAATTCGAGTGGGTCTGGGTGGAATGGCGATCGTAAAGTAGCTTGTAACCCTCCATTAGGTGGTCGAGTACTGAGTGCGCTGATTATGGTATCTTTTTACTTTTCTCTCAAGGGCGTGCGCTTCTATAAGATCGTGATTCTGGCTCAGTAATTCGCCGTATCGGGCTTCGTATTCCTGGGCTTTGTGGGAAGAGTCTGTAAGGGACTTCCGGAGTTCCTCAATAGTTGTTTCCGAGTCGACATGAGCTTTAGCGAGGGCATTGATCTCATGGAAAAGTTGTTGTTGGTGTGAATTCCATGTCTCTTGGTAGTTTTCTTCACCTTTGATAGCGTGGTCTAAAAGAGGGTAGGTTTGCGTAAGGCGATTCATTACTACTGGCGATCTCGATCTGAATCTAGGAGCTTCTGAGTTTACTGGTGTGTTGATAAACGAGGTACTGTTGGCGGAGGTCATTGTAGCGGTGGTTGGTGTAAGGTTGTGGTGGGAATCGTGATCGACGTCGAGGACAAGTTAGATCGCGATTATGTGTGCGGTAATCAATGTCACGGTACAAGTGCAAGTCGAGGACAATTGCGACTTGGTTGAATAGATTGATTACAGGGAGAGAAGAGATTCTTAAGGAGATCTATCTTTTAAGTCGGTTGACACTGGTCTGTGCTGGTTTATCCATAATTGTGAATAGCTTCATGAATGAACGCAGGTCACCTGATCTGACTCCT